AGCCTGCACAGCTTGACTGCATCTCTACGACATTACAAAAGCATTTGAAGTGATGAAGTGATGTGTCCCCTTATCCTCTCTCTCTCTCTCTCTCTCTCTCTCTCTCTCTCTCTCTCTCTCTCTCTCTCTCTCTCTCTCTCTCTCTCTCTCTCTCTCTCTCTCTCTCTTAGCCTTCTTGCCACCATTTTATTAAACCCTCTTTAATTAGTCCCCTTAGCCCCACCCTCCCCAAGGGCTCATGAATATCTAAGTCTTTATCTAAGCTTTCCTTTCCTAAGAGGTCCACCTCATTGCCTTCAACCCCAGCATGCTCTGGAAATCAACAGATTGTGACCTCGCATCCTGATCCTTATCTGCACATGATACTTAGCATTTCCATCACTAGATCAAGACAGACTTTGCTTTTACCCACTTCTAAGGCCTCCAGTGCTGCTGCAGAGTCAGAGCATATGACGACCTCTCTAGGCTTTACACCCTCCACCCACTTCAGAGCCAAAAGGATTTGCCATCAACTCTGTGGTGAAAACTGAAGTTTCATCCAATACTCAGAAACTTAACTTCAATTCAGACTGCTCTATAAATCTGCTCTACGACTAACTGGATCTCTGGATCCATCTGTGAAAATTAGTATCTCGTCCCCCTCTGGCTGCCCTATGATACTCACACATTTTCACCTCCCTTTTGTCTTCCTTCTGGAGGAAATTGAGCTCATTGTTAAGCTCGGGTATTACCCATGGTGGTATTGGTGACCTGCTATCATCTCCTGTCTCATTCCTGGCTTCCTGGCCCACTGAATAACACTGGAGGTGAATGAATGAATGATTCATATATGTTTATTTCTTCCATCTCTTGCAGTAGGCACTTAGCTTTAAATGTTTATGTACATCCACTAATCCTTGTCCAGTGCAGTAGTCTGAACTGTAAGCACTTTATCCATATATTTCCACATTGTGGAGGTTCTGGAGGCCCCACAGCAATGCCTCAGCGCCTTGGCTTGCAGGACACCCAGCCTGATGAATGCTGTTTTTGGAGCAGTGCCATATACAATACTCCCATAATCTAGTGTCGATCTGATCATGGCTTGATATATCAGCAGCAGCGTCTCCCTGTCAGCTCCCTACTCATACCCAGCGAGACTTCTCTTAAACATGATCCCCTTTTCACATTTTTCCACTATTTTACTTCTGTGTACGGCCCAAGTCAAAAGCTCTTCAAACCATACCCCCTAAAATTTAAAAACCTTTATATTTCCAGTGGAGACTCATACAATCTCAGTCTAAGGTCAGGAAGCTTTCTTTTAAAACCAAAGATGACATACTTTGTCTTGGACACTGAGATCCTAAAACCCCATGTCTCCTCCAATCCCGTCACTGCCTGTAGTAATTTTTGGACACGTCTCAGAATATACCGATCATTTCATCCCCTTTTTCCAGATTGCCCAGTTACACACCAAGCATGAGTAAAATCATTCGCACGAATGCATTACATGTTAAGCCAACGCTAAGATACAATTAGACGCTCCTACTACTCTGGTGGCACGAATGATGCGAATTGGGCGGGAGCTGAAAATGTCTCAACTTGAACAGATATTCGCATTGCGATAACTGATCTGTACGGAGGTTGCCTTATGAAACCGTAGTTTGCCGTACGGGTGACGTATGAAAATGGACGGTTGTTCACTGGTATCTGAAATGGAGGACAAACTGATTGTGTTGGTGTGTGGGTGCCCCGAATTATATGATACCTTTTCTTTCAATTACTGAAACTGGAATAAAAAGGAGCTCACCTGGAGGCAAGTGAGTGAGGAGGTCTGATTTCCTGGTAAATCTAAAAAAACCTTTGTCTATCACTTGATCCTGCTACTTGAATTGGCAGGCTTGTTTGGGTTCTGTCCTTTAAAAAATCTTGTATCCAATTCACATTTGACCTCTTACCTCGAGATCATAGATTTTTATTAGTAGCCCCTCTTTCCACAGAGAGTCCTATGCTTTCTCAATATCCAAGAATATCCAACACACCCACTACCTCCTCTTTGCTGCCTTATGTAGTCTCCCTGCTGCAAGTTATAAGGTGGACTGGACCACTTGAAGGGGGCTTGAAACCAGATGATACTACACTAATTTATCCAATAAGATTCATTCTTTGCATCTTTGCCTGTATAGTGTTGGATTTTTGCAACTACTGCACACTAACAATCAAAAATATCTCATAAATACACATTTTTTGTGCCATTGTTTCCCTTCCCCTCAACTTAATGGTACACTCCAGTAGCTTTTAAAAGGGGGCCTTGTCCTGCCTCACTCTTTTAGCTCCTCCCCCCTGCTGAAGAGAGAACCAGGAAGAGGTGAGTGCTGCAATCACTTGAATTTGCTTATTCATGGAGATTTGATGGAGAGATTAAGCCTTATGAAGCTCTGGGGCTTTTTAAAGATTCAAAACTTTGAAGCTTAAGAATTTGTTTCACGTATCTGTGTGTATATGCGTCATATGTTATCTGCCAACCTTTTTCTTTTTGTCTGTTTTTCTCTTGTTCACCCATTTGCCAGATTTTATTGGCTCATATTTCCGACATTATTTATTTACAAAGTAGCCCCAAAAAGCCAATATAGAGTACTGTACTACCGACCTGTAGAAGTATTTACACAGTTTGTACTTTATTAAATGTTCATGAAGAACTGAGTTTAATTTGCTCCAACTCTCCAGGTGGTTAGAAAACTCATTAACACAAGACATTTTTGTATTAATAAGCAACAAAATGCAGCATTTCCCTCCTCCACCTTGGCACACAGTAACTAAACAACTGCAAAACAGACCAACAAACAACTACAATATTAATTTGTATTTTGTGAACGTGGTGCATTCATCCAGTTAACCAGGGGGTGGACTGTGCAATCAATAAAGCAGCTCTAACTGAACTCAGCTCATTTTCTCCACCTGTTTGGTCCCATTCGGTGCTGTAGAGGTGGGGGTTGCAGGTGGTTCTGCTCTGGTCTAGTCTCCACAATGCATTAGGTGGATGCATTAGGCTATTTAAGCCACTAAGGGTACAATCAAACCAATCAGAACCACCCAGATGCATAATGGCGCCAATTTGGCGAAGAGATCCATAGATGGCATCGACTTTACCTGTAAATCATTTATGTTTCACTTCTCTTTACACTTTTCCCTGGTATAAAGTGAATAAATATCACAGAGGCCAACTGGAGAGATGTTTATCCTCTCTTTTACCACATGCTTATGATTTCATGTATCTGTGTTTGGTTTTAACCAAAGAATAACCGTAATATAACGTGCAGCTTGGCCGTATAACTTTATAAGAGACTGTTTTACAACTTACTAATGCCACTCTTTGAGCTCTGAACGCAAATAAGACCATCAGCAGTAAGACTGACAGGGTCTAGATTTTTACTTCCCACAGCAAACACCACAGCGGGGTGACAAATCTCACTGTAAAGAGAATCATTTTTTTGGTCAATTAACACCAGTTTTACACAGATGAGACAAAATCACCAACATTGTAGGAGTTATCTTTGTTGAGCTAACATTTGTAGGTTAGCTTTGTCCAGAGGGGACGCCAAAGTCAACACAAGCATAATGTTCCTTACAGGAGCTTTAACATAGGAGCCAAGAAAAAAAATGTCTAATCCAGGTCTGTTTGTAATGGGATAAAGTATTTTTGATTGTAAGATATTGAATGTCCTTTTGTGAGGCTGCAACAGCGTCACTCTGCTCATGTTGCTTGGATGGAAAACACAAAACTTCAGTCACAATGTCAAAAGTAATATGCACTTTGTGTCAAATAGAATGAAATATTACCAGAGTGTTAAAGTTGGAGCTTCCACTTGAGACTAAACATACAGGTGCCGCTAATAGGACAGATGTTGTAAATTGCAGCTATATAAACAAAAGACTGACTCAGATCAACCCTGTGTATGACAGAATAAGCACTTGGAAAGCTGTCTCTGAGCTCTAAGTCATGGTTTAAGACGACGCAGATGTAGCAGTGCAGCTTTTGATTAAATAATTTATCTAAATGTCAAGATCATGGGCAGCCGCTGGACTAGCTTTATAAGTAAGTACCTTGTATGTGGAGGTCAGGCCTCAAGTGGGTCCCCTGGAATCCAACAGCTCTTGTAAATCCCTCCCTGATCTCACCCCTCTTCTAGCTCAATCCACTGTCCAAGATTGTCCGATAAAGGCACATTTGGCCCAAAATGAAATATTTAAAAGACCATAGAGAACATTTCATCCCATTTGTTTGATTCTTAAATCAAGTCACTGGTAAGAAATTACACTTATTTTACATGTTGTACTCTGACAAATTGCTGGTTTGAAATTAGGGAAATAATAAAGACTGTTTGACTACAGAGGAATAATTAGCTTTAGGACAAATTCTCCATGATTCATTATTTGTATTGAATCACTGGGCCGCATAATGGATGATTCATGCAGATAGTGTAAATAGAAATGTGAGCCAAACACTTATGAGTCCCCGAGCTTTTAAATAGAGGGTTGTTCATTAATAATGTAACAGTTTAAAATATCATAAGGCAGAATAGAGCCACTGTTACCTTTTTTTGTGTTCATTTTTTTGTGTTCATTATTTTGGTGCTTTAAACCACTCCACTTGTTTTCTGACCACTCAAAGCGCTTCACCATAAAACACCACTCACCCTGAACACACACACACACATTCACACACTGATGGCAGAGGCTGCCATGTGAGGTGCCAACCTGCTCATCAGGCAAGATTGTGACAATCATTTACACACACAAACTGATGGTCCAGCTTCAGGGAGCAATTTCACTTTCTGTTTTTTTTGCCCAAGAACTCTTCTACATGGCGACCAGCCGAGCTGAGGATCAAACCGTCAGTTTTCCAATTAGTGGGCTCTCCCCCCGAGTCACAGAGTCTCGTAATGGTGAGATGCTTTTTACATGGTACTGCCAGAAATACAACAAACAGTGTGGTAGCATTTGGTTTAGGTTTGAGTTGCTGGTTTTCCAGAATTTAGGAAGATTGGAGCAGCTGGCAGAATACTAGTCTATGCAATTGTCACCTCCAGGCTGGATTACTGTGATTCCCTTTTATCAGGCTGCCCGAACAAGTCTGGTCCAAAACACTGCAGCCGGAGTACTGACCAGAACCAGGAGAAGAGGGCACTGGTATTCTCCTTGTATAAGCTTCTCTACACTGACTTCCTTTTGGTGTCATATCAGACCTTATGTTAAACAGGTCTTGTAAATGATCACATTTGCACCCTCCTCATCCTTGTATCTCTTTGACTGAAGGCTGCAAAAAGCCGCACTGATTGATGATAATTGGCTTGTCTGCTTCCTTAATGGCTGCCAGTCTCCCCTGAGCTGTCATCTCCCTCCTGATGAATCCATGTGACACCCATTTTATGAGGAGCATGATCATTTTTGAGCAAACAAACCATCCCCCGTTGAGATGTGTTAATCAGGAACAACCTGTCGTCTAATTTCCAGGAAAGAACATCTTATTTTATCCAGCAGTCAGAGTGACAGCCTGCACTGAGAGGGACAGATGAATGAGGATGTATTAAGTGAAGAGGCCCTGATATAAAGACCACAAAGGGTGCTTGGTTGGTGAAATAGAGTAGACTAAATATTTGAAAGTTTGTCAAGTAGATAAAACATATTTCCCCAAAACTGTGGTTCAAAGGTTTGGCCGACTGGTTGCACAAGATGTCATAAAAATGTCATCACAGTCATAGTCACTGTGAGGACTACAAATGCATAAAATGTGATTTTTTGCAGTACATCCATTATATGTTCACATTGCCATCCATGAATCCATCCACCAAACAGAGTAAGTAACTCCCATCAATCTATCGGCTCATTTCCTCTCTACTTTACCAGATCGGCTAAGCAGCCACTGAGCAATATCTCAGAGCCAAGACTTTCTTTTCTAAGTAGTTTCCTCATCTTCCCAGGGGATCCCTGAGGACTTTGAGCCTGGTCAGGGGATTTGATCTCCCCAGGGGGTTCTGAATCCCTGGGGTTTCACCCTGTGGTTTCCCCCTTGTCCATCATACACCTTCAAAGCTGAACCCCGAGAGCACCAGAAGACTTCCTTGACTTTTGATAGGAACTTTTTTTCATGTAGTTTCAATGACAAAAATGTAAATCCAGTCTTCACAGGCCTCTAACATTTCATGCTTTTCAATGCTTTAGTTAAATGACATTCAGTCTAAATCAGGATGTAGGAAGTCTCATTACTCCAGCGGTCCTATTGCTAATCCATCTGCTAATGTTGTCAATTGCCGCCCAGTCACATATAGCAGCACCCAATTATCCTGCTCTGCTCGGGACCCTCATCATTTCTCCAGAGTCACATCTGTGGCAGCTTCCCAATCTTATTTGTCTCTGCCATCCCTGCACTGAGCTATTGGAGCAGAGAGGCTGGCGAGATTGAAACCACACGTGTGCCGCCATTGTGGCTCAATTCAGTGTTCAAGGGGACTCGATTTGTCTTCTGAGCCCATTAGAAGGACCACTGATCAAGGTGAAACTGAACAGGTGTTCACACACTAGAGGTTCGTTTCAGAACAGCCCTTTATTGATTTTGTTAGAGGTTTAGGGAATGTAATTACCTGATGGCTATCCGTTTGATGGGAAACTATTGCCATTTTGTCATTTTGTCAAATGCAGCGCTAATTCAAGAAAAATGGTTTTACATTCACGGCAAAGAAAAGATGGAGCTTAAGTTCAATATCAGCATAACAAGTTAAGCATGATGTTATCTTCTATTTTTCTTTTGGGACCAAACTTTGAAAAAGAGCGCCTGAGTTTGTCATCAGCAGCAGACACAAAAAGGAGCTGGTCGTAATACAGCAAAGAAAGGGATCTAACCCGAGCCTTGCACCTCTGTCTTGGTGAATTAAATGTGATATACTTGCAGTCTTGAAAGTCTCAGCTTTGTGACTCTCAAATAGGTGAGGTAAATATTCAATCTGGGGAGAAAACAAACAAACCCGAACGATTTAAATCTCTAAATAAGCTCACCTTTTCGTTCATTCTGTTGAATAAAATTGTTTTCATCGAGGTGCCCGTTCAGCACAATGTGTGACCCATTACAGAGAGCACAGTGACACAAAGACAAAAGGTTTAGCTCTCACATTCAACCCCTTGTTGTATGTTCTTTGCCACTTTTGTTCTCCTGGTACCATCTGTCCTTTTTCAGCTCTTTTGTTGATAAAAGGGTAAAGTGGCCCCAAAGATATCCAGTAGATAACCTTTTTTTTCCAACAGAAAGTACTCTTTTCACTCAAGATTGATTTTCCACTCGGTGTGTCCACGTGACTTTTAAGGTTGGAGCTAGGGTTAGGGTTAGGTGTGGGGTTGGAGCTAGGGTTAGGGTTAGGGTTAGGGTTGGAGTTAGGGTTAGTGTTGGAGCTAGGGTTAGGGTTGGGCTTGGAGCTAGGATTTTTCTGAGTGCAATGAACCAACTCCCGAGTCTCTAGGACGTTCCTAAAAAAATTTGATTTTTTCCCATAGGAATGCATGGGTTAGGGTTAGGGTTAGGTGTGGGGTTGGAGCTAGGGTTAGGGTTAGGGTTAGGGTTGGAGTTAGGGTTAGTGTTGGAGCTAGGGTTAGGGTTGGGCTTGGAGCTAGGATTTTTCTGAGTGCAATGAACCAACTCCCAAGTCTCTAGGACGTTCCTAAAAAAATTTGATTTTTTCCCATAGGAATGCATGGGTTAGGGTTAGGGTTAGGTGTGGGGTTGGAGCTAGGGTTAGGGTTAGGGTTAGGGTTGGAGTTAGGGTTAGTGTTGGAGCTAGGGTTAGGGTTGGGCTTGGAGCTAGGATTTTTCTGAGTGCAATGAACCAACTCCCGAGTCTCTAGGACGTTCCTAAAAAAATTTGATTTTTTTCCCATAGGAATGCATGGGTTAGGGTTAGGGTTAGGGTTGGAGCTAGGGTTAGGGTTAGGGTTAGGGTTGGAGTTAGGGTTAGTGTTGGAGCTAGGGTTAGGGTTGGGCTTGGAGCTAGGATTTTTCTGAGTGCAATGAACCAACTCCCGAGTCTCTAGGACGTTCCTAAAAAAATTTGATTTTTTCCCATAGGAATGCATGGGTTAGGGTTATGGTTAGGGTTAGGGTTGGAGCTAGGGTTAGGGTTAGGGTTAGGGTTGGAGTTAGGGTTAGTGTTGGAGCTAGGGTTAGGGTTGGGCTTGGAGCTAGGATTTTTCTGAGTGCACTGAACCAACTCCCGAGTCTCTAGGACGTTCCTAAAAAAATGTGATTTTTTCCCATAGGAATGCATGGGTTAGGGTTAGGGTTAGGTGTGGGGTTGGAGCTATGGTTAGGGTTAGGGTTAGGGTTGGAGTTAGGGTTAGTGTTGGAGCTAGGGTTAGGGTTGGGCTTGGAGCTAGGATTTTTCTGAGTGCAATGAACCAACTCCCGAGTCTCTAGGACGTTCCTAAAAAAATTAGATTTTTTCCCATAGGAATGCATGGGTTAGGGTTAGGGTTAGGTGTGGGGTTGGAGCTAGGGTTAGGGTTAGGGTTAGGGTTGGAGTTAGGGTTAGTGTTGGAGCTAGGGTTAGGGTTGGGCTTGGAGCTAGGATTTTTCCGAGTGCAATGAACCAACTCCCGAGTCTCTAGGACGTTCCTAAAAAAATTTGATTTTTTTCCCATAGGAATTCATGGGTTAGGGTTAGGGTTAGGGTTGGAGCTAGGGTTAGGGTTAGGGTTAGGGTTGGAGTTAGGGTTAGTGTTGGAGCTAGGGTTAGGGTTGGGCTTGGAGCTAGGATTTTTCTGAGTGCAATGAACCAACTCCCGAGTCTCTAGGACGTTCCTAAAAAAATTTGATTTTTTCCCATAGGAATGCATGGGTTAGGGTTATGGTTAGGGTTAGGGTTGGAGCTAGGGTTAGGGTTAGGGTTAGGGTTGGAGTTAGGGTTAGTGTTGGAGCTAGGGTTAGGGTTGGGCTTGGAGCTAGGATTTTTCTGAGTGCAATGAACCAACTCCCGAGTCTCTAGGACGTTCCTAAAAAAATGTGATTTTTTCCCATAGGAATGCATGGGTTAGGGTTAGGGTTAGGTGTGGGGTTGGAGCTATGGTTAGGGTTAGGGTTAGGGTTGGAGTTAGGGTTAGTGTTGGAGCTAGGGTTAGGGTTGGGCTTGGAGCTAGGATTTTTCTGAGTGCAATGAACCAACTCCCGAGTCTCTAGGACGTTCCTAAAAAAATTAGATTTTTTCCCATAGGAATGCATGGGTTAGGGTTAGGGTTAGGTGTGGGGTTGGAGCTAGGGTTAGGGTTAGGGTTAGGGTCGGAGTAAGGGTTAGTGTTGGAGCTAGGGTTAGTGTTGGGCTTGGAGCTAGGATTTTTCTGAGTGCAATGAACCAACTCCCGAGTCTCTAGGACGTTCCTAAAAAAATTTGATTTTTTCCCATAGGAATGCATGGGTTAGGGTTAGGGTTAGGGTTGGAGCTAGGGTTAGGGTTAGGGTTAGGGTTAGGGTTAGGGTTAGGGTTGGGCTAGGGTTAGGTGTGGGTAAGAGATACAGTGATAGCCCCCGCTTTCGTCTGTTGACTTGGCGGTTTGGGGTAGGCTAATCAAGGGCTTGCACTGGCCGTCGCATGTCGACCTGTCACATGTTCCCAGTCGAGTCTCCGAGCTCAATCTGTGTGTAAAAAACTATGTGTGGGTAGGAAGTTTAATTACTCAGCTCAGTTGGTATGCTATGCTGTCTATCTTTTAGACTATGTGTTTGTAGAGCAATTATTTCTTGAGGTTCAGTTAGGATTTAGAGTTGGTATGGTTACCGGTTAAAACAATAATAATAATAATAATAATAATAATAATAATAATAATAATAATAGTAATAAACATAATAATAATAATAATAATAATAATAATAATAATAATAGTAATAATTTTGTTTATTGAGAAGGACTAGGTGATATTAGTAGGGAGGGAAAAGGGTGAAATTTATCTAAGGGAGTAGGGTTAGGGTGTGTTAGTACAAAGTCTCAGAGGATGGGGAGAGGGAAACAGGTGGTCTGGATTAAAACCATTCTGTTTCTACAGGGATTCGAGTGATAGAGAGAGAATAGAACTTGCCACAGTGACTAGCCAGAGAAACTCTCCTCACCTGTTGTTTTTCATCCTCTGATACGAAAAAAGAGGGAGGGGTAATTAAGTAAAGATAGAGGTTAGTAAGGTTAGGGTTAGGGTTCGGGTTAGGATTCGGGTTTAGAGGTTAGGGTTAGGGTAAGGGTAAGGGTTCGGGTTAGATTTAGGGTCTAGAGGTTAGGGTTAGGGTTAGGGTTAGATTTAGGGTTTAGGGGTTAGGGTTAGGGTAAGGATTAGGGTTAGGGTTAGATTTAGGGTCTAGAGGTTAGGGTTAGGGTTAGGGTTAGGGTAAGGGTTAGATTTAGGGTCTAGAGGTTAGGGTTAGGGTAAGGGTTAGGGTTAGATTTAGGGTCTAGGGGTTAGGGTTAGGGGGTTAGGGTTAGGGTTAGGGTTAGATTTAGGGTCTAAAGGTTAGGGTTAGGGTAAGGGTTAGGGTTAGATTTAGGGTCTAGGGGTTAGGGTTAGGGCAAGGGTAAGGGTTAGATTTAGGGTTTAGAGGGTTAGGGTTAGGGTTAGGGTTAGGATTTAGAGGTTAGGGTTAGGGTTAGGGTAGGGTTAGGGTTAGGGTTAGGGTTAGGGTTTAGGGGTTAGGGTTAGATTTAGGTTCTAGAGGTTAGGGTTAGGGTGAGGGTGATGGTTAGGGTTAGTGCCTGAAGAGAGCTAACCATGGCTATTTGGAAGAATTGAAATTCAAAGAATACGACACTTCAGATTGTCTAGACTCTGGACTCTGCTAAAGGTAGCAAAGCTATGGTTGAAAGTATTGAAAATGCAGTATAAAATATATAAGGTTAGTTACTAATTGTTATTGATAAATTTTTAGTTAAGAGTCAAAAGTGGATGGTCCCGTGTAGAACCCTCTGTTCCACTCAGGCCTGTGTAGGCCAAAGACCCTGCTAAGGTCCCTCAAGGCTGTGACAAAAAATTATTTTAGATTAAATTGGAAATATAAATTATTACTTTTTAATAAATTTTAATTCAGAGTCAAAAGTGGATGGTCCCGTCTAGAACCTTCTACCACTCAGACCTGTCTAGGTCAAAGACTCTGCTAAGATCCCTCAAGGTTGTGGACTAAAATAATTTTGAATTGGAAATATTTATAAATTATTCCTTTTAATAAATTTTTAATTCAGAGTCAAAAGTGGATGGTCCCGTATAGAACCTTCTGTTCCACTCAGGCCTGTGTAGGCCAAAGACCCTGCTAAGCTTCCTCAAGGCTGTGACCTAAAATAATTTTAGATTGAATTGGGTATATTAATAAATTATTCCTTTTGAATAAATTTATAATTCAGAGTCAAAAGTGGATGGTCCCGTGTAGAACCTTCTGTTCCACTCAGGCCTGTCTAGGCCAAAGACCCTGCTAAGCTTCCTCAAGGCTGTGACCTAAAATAATTTTAGATTGAATTGGGTATATTAATAAATTATTCCTTTTTAATAAATTTATAATTCAGAGTCAAAAGTGGATGGTCCCGTGTAGAACCTTCTGTTCCACTCAGGCCTGTGTAGGCCAAAGACCCTGCTAAGCTTCCTCAAGGCTGTGAACTAAAATAATTTTGAATTGGGTATATTTAAAAATTATTCCTTTTTAATATTTTTTTTTATACATTTTTAATTTAGAGTCAAAAGTGGATGGTCCCGTGTAGAACCTTCTGTTCCACTCAGACCTGTCTAGGTCAAAGGCTCTGCTAAGCTCCCTCAAGGCTGTGACCTAAAATTATTCTAGATTAAATTGGAAATATTTATAAATTATTACTTTTTAATAAATTTTAATTCAGAGTCAAAAGTGGATGGTCCCGTGTAGAACCTTCTGTTCCACTCAGGCCTGTGTAGGCCCAAGACCCTGCTAAGCTTCCTCAAGGCTGTGAACTAAAATAATTTTGAATTGGGTATATTTATAAATTATTCATTTTAATAAATTTTTTAATTCAGAAGAATTTTAGGTTGAATTGGGTATATTAATAAATTATTGGTCCCGTGTAGAACCTTCTGTTCCACTCAGGCCTGTGTAGGCCAAAGTTGGGGTTAGGGTTAGGGTTGGAGCTAGGGTTAGGGTTGGGCTTGGAGCTAGGATTTTTCTGAGTGCAATGACCCAACTCCCGAGTCTCTAGGACGTTCCTAAAAAAAATTATTTTTTCCCATAGGAATGCATGGGTTAGGGTTAGGGTTAGGGTTGGAGCTAGGGTTAGGGTTAGGGTTAGGGTTGGAGTTAGGGTTAGTGTTGGAGCTAGGGTTAGGGTTGGGCTTGGAGCTAGGATTTTTCTGAGTGCAATGAACCAACCCCCGAGTCTCTAGGACGTTCCCCAAAAAAATTTGATTTTTTCCCATAGGAATGCATGGGTTAGGGTTAGGGTTAGGGTTGGAGCTAGGGTTAGGGTTAGGGTTAGGGTTGGAGTTAGGGTTAGTGTTGGAGCTAGGGTTAGGGTTGGGCTTGGAGCTAGGATTTTTCTGAGTGCAATGAACCAACTCCCGAGTCTCTAGGACGTTCCTAAAAAAAATTGATTTTTTCCCATAGGAATGCATGGGTTAGGGTTATGGTTAGGGTTAGGGTTGGAGCTAGGGTTAGGGTTAGGGTTAGGGTTGGAGTTAGGGTTAGTGTTGGAGCTAGGGTTAGGGTTGGGCTTGGAGCTAGGATTTTTCTGAGTGCAATGAACCAACTCCCGAGTCTCTAGGACGTTCCCTAAAAAAAATTGATTTTTTTCCCATAGGAATGCATGGGTTAGGGTTAGGGTTAGGGTTAGGGTTGGAGCTAGGGTTAGGGTTAGGGTTAGGGTTGGAGTTAGGGTTAGTGTTGGAGCTAGGGTTAGGGTTGGGCTTGGAGCTAGGATTTTTCTGAGTGCAATGAACCAACTCCCGAGTCTCTAGGACGTTCCTAAAAAAATTTGATTTTTTCCCATAGGAATACATGGGTTAGGGTTAGGGTTAGGGTTGGAGCTAGGGTTAGGGTTAGGGTTAGGGTTAGGGTTGGAGTTAGGGTTAGTGTTGGAGCTAGGGTTAGGGTTGGGCTTGGAGCTAGGATTTTTCTGAGTGCATTGAACCAACTCCCGAGTCTCTAGGACATTCCTAAAAAAATTTGATTTTTTCCCATAGGAATGCATGGGTTAGGGTTAGGGTTAGGGTTGGAGCTAGGGTTAGGGTTAGGGTTAGGGTTGGAGTTAGGGTTAGTGTTGGAGCTAGGGTTAGGGTTGGGCTTGGAGCTAGGATTTTTCTGAGTGCAATGAACCAACTCCCGAGTCTCTAGGACGTTCCTAAAAAAATTTGATTTTTTCCCATAGGAATGCATGGGTTAGGGTTAGGGTTAGGGTTGGAGCTAGGGTTAGGGTTAGGGTTAGGGTTGGAGTTAGGGTTAGTGTTGGAGCTAGGGTTAGGGTTGGGCTTGGAGCTAGGATTTTTCTGAGTGCACTGAACCAACTCCCGAGTCTCTAGGACATTCCTAAAAAAATTTGATTTTTTCCCATAGGAATGCATGGGTTAGGGTTATGGTTAGGGTTAGGGTTGGAGCTAGGGTTAGGGTTAGGGTTAGGGTTGGAGTTAGGGTTAGTGTTGGAGCTAGGGTTAGGGTTGGGCTTGGAGCTAGGATTTTTCTGAGTGCACTGAACCAACTCCCGAGTCTCTAGGACATTCCTAAAAAAATTTGATTTTTTCCCATAGGAATGCATGGGTTAGGGTTATGGTTAGGGTTAGGGTTGGAGCTAGGGTTAGGGTTAGGGTTAGAGTTGGAGTTAGGGTTAGTGTTGGAGCTAGGGTTAGGGTTGGGCTTGGAGCTAGGATTTTTCTGAGTGCAATGAACCAACTCCCGAGTCTCTAGGACGTTCCTAAAAAAATTTGATTTTTTCCCATAGGAATACATGGGTTAGGGTTAGGGTTAGGGTTGGAGCTAGGGTTAGGGTTAGGGTTAGGGTTAGGGTTGGAGTTAGGGTTAGTGTTGGAGCTAGGGTTAGGGTTGGGCTTGGAGCTAGGATTTTTCTGAGTGCAATGAACCAACTCCCGAGTCTCTAGGACGTTCCTAAAAAAATTTGATTTTTTCCCATAGGAATGCATGGGTTAGGGTTAGGGTTAGGGTTGGAGCTAGGGTTAGGGTTAGGGTTAGGGTTGGAGTTAGGGTTAGTGTTGGAGCTAGGGTTAGGGTTGGGCTTGGAGCTAGGATTTTTCTGAGTGCAATGAACCAACTCCCGAGTCTCTAGGACGTTCCTAAAAAAAATTGATTTTTTTCCCATAGGAATGCATGGGTTAGGGTTAGGGTTAGGGTTGGAGCTAGGGTTAGGGTTAGGGTTAGGGTTGGAGTTAGGGTTAGTGTTGGAGCTAGGGTTAGGGTTGGGCTTGGAGCTAGGATTTTTCTGAGTGCACTGAACCAACTCCCGAGTCTCTAGGACATTCCTAAAAAAATTTGATTTTTTCCCATAGGAATGCATGGGTTAGGGTTATGGTTAGGGTTAGGGTTGGAGCTAGGGTTAGGGTTAGGGTTAGGGTTGGAGTTAGGGTTAGTGTTGGAGCTAGGGTTAGGGTTGGGCTTGGAGCTAGGATTTTTCTGAGTGCACTGAACCAACTCCCGAGTCTCTAGGACATTCCTAAAAAAAATTGATTTTTTCCCATAGGAATGCATGGGTTAGGGTTATGGTTAGGGTTAGGGTTGGAGCTAGGGTTAGGGTTAGGGTTAGGGTTGGAGTTAGGGTTAGTGTTGGAGCTAGGGTTAGGGTTGGGCTTGGAGCTAGGATTTTTCTGAGTGCACTGAACCAACTCCTGAGTCTCTAGGACATTCCTAAAAAAATTTGATTTTTTCCCATAGGAATGCATGGGTTAGGGTTATGGTTAGGGTTAGGGTTGGAGCTAGGGTTAGGGTTAGGGTTAGGGTTGGAGTTAGGGTTAGTGTTGGAGCTTTGGTTAGGGTTGGGCTTGGAGCTAGGATTTTTCTGAGTGCACTGAACCAACTCCCGAGTCTCTAGGACATTCCTAAAAAAATTTGATTTTTTCCCATAGGAATGCATGGGTTAGGGTTATGGTTAGGGTTAGGGTTGGAGCTAGGGTTAGGGTTAGGGTTAGGGTTGGAGTTAGGGTTAGTGTTGGAGCTAGGGTTAGGGTTGGGCTTGGAGCTAGGATTTTTCTGAGTGCACTGAACCAACTCCCGAGTCTCTAGGACATTCCTAAAAAAATTTGATTTTTTCCCATAGGAATGCATGGGTTAGGGTTAGGGTTAGGGTTAGGGTTGGAGCTAGGGTTAGGGTTAGGGTTAGGGTTGGAGTTAGGGTTAGTGTTGGAGCTAGGGTTAGGGTTGGGCTTGGAGCTAGGATTTTTCTGAGTGCAATGAACCAACTCCCGAGTCTCTAGGACGTTCCTAAAAAAATTTGATTTTTTCCCATAGGAATGCATGGGTTAGGGTTAGGGTTAGGGTTGGAGCTAGGGTTAGGGTTAGGGTTAGGGTTGGAGTTAGGGTTAGTGTTGGAGCTAGGGTTAGGGTTGGGCTTGGAGCTAGGATTTTTCTGAGTGCACTGAACCAACTCCCGAGTCTCTAGGACATTCCTAAAAAAATTTGATTTTTTCCCATAGGAATGCATGGGTTAGGGTTATGGTTAGGGTTAGGGTTGGAGCTAGGGTTAGGGTTAGGGTTAGGGTTGGAGTTAGGGTTAGTGTTGGAGCTAGGGTTAGGGTTGGGCTTGGAGCTAGGATTTTTCTGAGTGCACTGAACCAACTCCCGAGTCTCTAGGACATTCCTAAAAAAATGTGATTTTTTCCCATAGGAATGCATGGGTTAGGGTTAGGGTTAGGTGTGGGGTTGGAGCTATGGTTAGGGTTAGGGTTAGGGTTGGAGTTAGGGTTAGTGTTGGAGCTAGGGTTAGGGTTGGGCTTGGAGCTAGGATTTTTCTGAGTGCAATGAACCAACTCCCGAGTCTCTAGGACGTTCCTAAAAAAATTAGATTTTTTCCCATAGGAATGCATGGGTTTGGGTTAGGGTTAGGTGTGGGGTTGGAGCTAGGGTTAGGGTTAGGGTTAGGGTCGGAGTAAGGGTTAGTGTTGGAGCTAGGGTTAGTGTTGGGCTTGGAGCTAGGATTTTTCTGAGTGCAATGAACCAACTCCCGAGTCTCTAGGACGTTCCTAAAAAAATTTGATTTTTTCCCATAGGAATGCATGGGTTAGGGTTAGGGTTAGGGTTGGAGCTAGGGTTAGGGTTAGGGTTAGGGTTGGAGTTAGGGTTAGTGTTGGAGCTAGGGTTAGGTGTGGGTAAGAGATACAGTGATAGCCCCCGCTTTCGTCTGTTGACTTGGCGGTTTGGGGTAGGCTAATCAAGGGCTTGCACTGGCCGTCGCATGTCGACCTGTCACATGTTCCCAGTCGAGTCTCCGAGCTCAATCTGTGTGTAAAAAACTATGTGTGGGTAGGAAGTTTAATTACTCAGCTCAGTTGGTATGCTATGCTGTCTATCTTTTAGACTATGTGTTTGTAGAGCAATTATTTCTTGAGGTTCAGTTAGGAATTAGAGTTGGTATGGTTACCGGTTAAAACAATAATAATAATAATAATAATAATAATAATAATAATAATAATAATAGTGATAACCATAATAATAATAATAATAATAATAATAGTAATAATTTTGTTTATTGAGAAGGACTAGGTGATATTAGTAGGGAGGGAAAAGGGTGAAATTTATCTAAGGGAGTAGGGTTAGGGTGTGTTAGTACAAAGTCTCAGAGGATGGGGAGAGGGAAACAGGTGGTCTGGATTAAAACCATTCTGTTTCTACAGGGATTCGAGTGATAGAGAGAGAATAGAACTTGCCACAGTGACTAGCCAGAGAAACTCTCCTCACCTGTTGTTTTTCATCCTCTGATACGAAAAAAGAGGGTGGGGTAATTAAGTAAAGATAGAGGTTAGTAAGGTTAGGGTTAGGGTTCGGGTTAGGATTCGGGTTTAGAGGTTAGGGTTAGGGTAAGGGTAAGGGTTAGGGTTAGATTTAGGGTCTAGAGGTTAGGGTTAGGGTTAGGGTTAGATTTAGGGTCTAGAGGTTAGGGTTAGGGTAAGGGTTAGGGCTAGGGTTAGATTTAGGGTCTAGAGGTTAGGGTTAGGGTTAGGGTAAGGGTTAGGGTTAGATTTAGGGTCTAGGGGTTAGGGTTAGGGTTAGGGTTAGATTTAGGGTCTAGAGGTTAGGGTTAGGGTTAGGGTAAGGGTTAGGGTTAGATTTAGGGTATAGGGGTTAGGGTTAGGGCTAGGGTTAGGGTTAGTTAGGGCTAGGGTTAGGGTTAGGGTAAGGGTTAGGGTTAGATTTAGGGTATAGGGGTTAGGGTTAGGGCTAGGGTTAGGGTTAGGGTTAGGATTTAGAGGTTAGGGTTAGGGTTAGGGTTAGATCTAGGGTTTAGGGGTTAGGGTTAAATTCAGGTTCTAGAGGTTAGGGTTAGGGTGAGGGTGATGGTTAGGGTTAGTGCCTGAAGAGAGCTAACCATGGCTATTTGGAAGAATTGAAATTCAAAGAATACGACACTTCAGATTGTCTAGACTCTGGACTCTGCTAAAGGTAGCAAAGCTATGGTTGAAAGTATTGAAAATGCAGTATAAAATATATAAGGTTAGTTACTAATTGTTATTGATAAATTTTTAGTTAAGAGTCAAAAGTGGATGGTCCCGTGTAGAACCCTCTGTTCCACTCAGGCCTGTGTAGGCCAAAGACCCTGCTAAGGTCCCTCAAGGCTGTGACAAAAAATTATTTTAGATTAAATTGGAAATATAAATTATTACTTTTTAATAAATTTTAATTCAGAGTCAAAAGTGGATGGTCCCGTCTAGAACCTTCTACCACTCAGACCTGTCTAGGTCAAAGACTCTGCTAAGATCCCTCAAGGTTGTGGACTAAAATAATTTTGAATTGGAAATATTTATAAATTATTCCTTTTAATAATTTTTTTAATTAATTTAATTCAGAGTCAAAAGTGGATGGTCCCGTATAGAACCTTCTGTTCCACTCAGGCCTGTGTAGGCCAAAGACCCTGCTAAGCTTCCTCAAGGCTGTAATCTAAAATAATTTTAGATTGAATTGGGTATATTTAAAAATTATTCCTTTTTAATATATTTTTTTATTTATTTCAGAGTCAAAAGTGGATGGTCCCGTGTAGAACCTTCTGTTCCACTCAGGCCTGTCTAGGCCAAAGACCCTGCTAAGCTTCCTCAAGGCTGTGAACTAAAATAATTTTGAATTGGGTATATTTAAAAAAATTATTCCTTTTAATTTAAATTTTTATTTCAGAGTCAAAAGTGGATGGTCCCGTGTAGAACCTTCTGTTCCACTCAGGCCTGTCTAGGCCAAAGACCCTGCTAAGCTTCCCTTAAGGCTGTGACCTAAAATAATTTTTGAATTGGAAATATTTATAAATTATTCTTTTTAAATAATTTTTTAATTCAGAGTCAAAAGTGGATGGTCCCGTGTAGAACCTTCTGTTCCACTCAGGCCTGTGTAGGCCAAAGACCCTGCTAAGTTTCCCTTAAGGCTGTGACCTAAAATAATTTTTGAATTGGAAATATTTATAAATTATTATTTTTAATAAATTTTTAATTCAGAGTCAAAAGTGGATGGTCCCATGTAGAACCTTCTGTTCCACTCAGGCCTGTGTAGGCCAAAGACCCTGCTAAGCTTCCTCAAGGCTGTGAACTAAAATAATTTTGAATTGGAAATATTTATAAATTATTCCTTTTAATAAATTTTTTAATTCAGAAGAATTTTAGGTTGAATTGGGTATATTAATAAATTATTGGTCCCGTGTAGAACCTTCTGTTCCACTCAGGCCTGTGTAGGCCAAAGTTGGAGTTAGGGTTAGTGTTGGAGCTAGGGTTAGGGTTGGGCTTGGAGCTAGGATTTTTCTGAGTGCAATGACCCAACTCCCGAGTCTCTAGGACGTTCCTAAAAAAAATTATTTTTTCCCATAGGAATGCATGGGTTAGGGTTAGGGTTAGGGTTGGAGCTAGGGTTAGGGTTAGGGTTAGGGTTGGAGTTAGGGTTAGTGTTGGAGCTAGGGTTAGGGTTGGGCTTGGAGCTAGGATTTTTCTGAGTGCAATGAACCAACCCCCGAGTCTCTAGGACGTTCCCCAAAAAAATTTGATTTTTTCCCATAGGAATGCATGGGTTAGGGTTAGGGTTAGGGTTGGAGCTAGGGTTAGGGTTAGGGTTAGGGTTGGAGTTAGGGTTAGTGTTGGAGCTAGGGTTAGGGTTGGGCTTGGAGCTAGGATTTTTCTGAGTGCAATGAACCAACTCCCGAGTCTCTAGGACGTTCCTAAAAAAAATTGATTTTTTCCCATAGGAATGCATGGGTTAGGGTTATGGTTAGGGTTAGGGTTGGAGCTAGGGTTAGGGTTAGGGTTAGGGTTGGAGTTAGGGTTAGTGTTGGAGCTAGGGTTAGGGTTGGGCTTGGAGCTAGGATTTTTCTGAGTGCAATGAACCAACTCCCGAGTCTCTAGGACGTTCCCTAAAAAAAATTGATTTTTTTCCCATAGGAATGCATGGGTTAGGGTTAGGGTTAGGGTTGGAGCTAGGGTTAGGGTTAGGGTTAGGGTTGGAGTTAGGGTTAGTGTTGGAGCTAGGGTTAGGGTTGGGCTTGGAGCTAGGATTTTTCTGAGTGCAATGAACCAACTCCCGAGTCTCTAGGACGTTCCTAAAAAAATTTGTTTTTTTCCCATAGGAATACATGGGTTAGGGTTAGGGTTAGGGTTGGAGCTAGGGTTAGGGTTAGGGTTAGGGTTAGGGTTGGAGTTAGGGTTAGTGTTGGAGCTAGGGTTAGGGTTGGGCTTGGAGCTAGGATTTTTCTGAGTGCATTGAACCAACTCCCGAGTCTCTAGGACATTCCTAAAAAAATTTGATTTTTTCCCATAGGAATGCATGGGTTAGGGTTAGGGTTAGGGTTGGAGCTAGGGTTAGGGTTAGGGTTAGGGTTGGAGTTAGGGTTAGTGTTGGAGCTAGGGTTAGGGTTGGGCTTGGAGCTAGGATTTTTCTGAGTGCAATGAACCAACTCCCGAGTCTCTAGGACGTTCCTAAAAAAATTTGATTTTTTCCCATAGGAATGCATGGGTTAGGGTTAGGGTTAGGGTTGGAGCTAGGGTTAGGGTTAGGGTTAGGGTTGGAGTTAGGGTTAGTGTTGGAGCTAGGGTTAGGGTTGGGCTTGGAGCTAGGATTTTTCTGAGTGCAATGAACCAACTCCCGAGTCTCTAGGACGTTCCTAAAAAAATTTGATTTTTTCCCATAGGAATGCATGGGTTAGGGTTAGGGTTAGGGTTGGAGCTAGGGTTAGGGTTAGGGTTAGGGTTGGAGTTAGGGTTAGTGTTGGAGCTAGGGTTAGGGTTGGGCTTGGAGCTAGGATTTTTCTGAGTGCAATGAACCAACTCCCGAGTCTCTAGGACGTTCCTAAAAAAAATTGATTTTTTTCCCATAGGAATGCATGGGTTAGGGTTAGGGTTAGGGTTGGAGCTAGGGTTAGGGTTAGGGTTAGGGTTGGAGTTAGGGTTAGTGTTGGAGCTAGGGTTAGGGTTGGGCTTGGAGCTAGGATTTTTCTGAGTGCAATGAACCAACTCCCGAGTCTCTAGGACGTTCCTAAAAAAATTTGATTTTTTCCCATAGGAATGCATGGGTTAGGGTTATGGTTAGGGTTAGGGTTGGAGCTAGGGTTAGGGTTAGGGTTAGGGTTGGAGTTAGGGTTAGTGTTGGAGCTAGGGTTAGGGTTGGGCTTGGAGCTAGGATTTTTCTGAGTGCAATGAACCAACCCCGAGTCTCTAGGACGTTCCTAAAAAATTTGATTTTTTCCCATAGGAATGCATGGGTTAGGGTTAGGGTTAGGGTTGGAGCTAGGGTTAGGGTTAGGGTTAGGGTTGGAGTTAGGGTTAGTGTTGGAGCTAGGGTTAGGGTTGGGCTTGGAGCTAGGATTTTTCTGAGTGCAATGAACCAACTCCCGAGTCTCTAGGACGTTCCTAAAAAAATTTGATTTTTTCCCATAGGAATGCATGGGTTAGGGTTAGGGTTAGGGTTGGAGCTAGGGTTAGGGTTAGGGTTAGGGTTAGGGGGTTGGAGTTAGGGTTAGTGTTGGAGCTAGGGTTAGGGTTGGGCTTGGAGCTAGGATTTTTCTGAGTGCACTGAACCAACTCCCGAGTCTCTAGGACGTTCCTAAAAAAATTTGATTTTTTCCCATAGGAATGCATGGGTTAGGGTTAGGGTTAGGGTTGGAGCTAGGGTTAGGGTTAGGGTTAGGGTTGGAGTTAGGGTTAGTGTTGGAGCTAGGGTTAGGGTTGGGCTTGGAGCTAGGATTTTTCTGAGTGCACTGAACCAACTCCCGAGTCTCTAGGACATTCCTAAAAAAATTTGATTTTTTCCCATAGGAATGCATGGGTTAGGGTTAGGGTTAGGGTTGGAGCTAGGGTTAGGGTTAGGGTTAGGGTTGGAGTTAGGGTTAGTGTTGGAGCTAGGGTTAGGGTTGGGCTTGGAGCTAGGACTTTTCTGAGTGCAATGAACCAACTCCCGAGTCTCTAGGAGTTCCTAAAAAAATTTGATTTTTTCCCATAGGAATGCATGGGTTAGGGTTAGGGTTAGGGTTGGAGCTAGGGTTAGGGTTAGGGTTAGGGTTGGAGTTAGGGTTAGTGTTGGAGCTAGGGTTAGGGTTGGGCTTGGAGCTAGGATTTTTCTGAGTGCACTGAACCAACTCCCGAGTCTCTAGGACATTCCTAAAAAAATTTGATTTTTTCCCATAGGAATGCATGGGTTAGGGTTATGGTTAGGGTTAGGGTTGGAGCTAGGGTTAGGGTTAGGGTTAGGGTTGGAGTTAGGGTTAGTGTTGGAGCTAGGGTTAGGGTTGGGCTTGGAGCTAGGATTTTTCTGAGTGCACTGAACCAACTCCCGAGTCTCTAGGACATTCCTAAAAAAATTTGATTTTTTCCCATAGGAATGCATGGGTTAGGGTTATGGTTAGGGTTAGGGTTGGAGCTAGGGTTAGGGTTAGGGTTAGGGTTGGAGTTAGGGTTAGTGTTGGAGCTAGGGTTAGGGTTGGGCTTGGAGCTAGGATTTTTCTGAGTGCACTGAACCAACTCCCGAGTCTCTAGGACATTCCTAAAAAAATTTGATTTTTTCCCATAGGAATGCATGGGTTAGGGGGTTAGGGTTAGGGTTGGAGCTAGGGTTAGGGTTAGGGTTAGGGTTGGAGTTAGGGTTAGTGTTGGAGCTAGGGTTAGGGTTGGGCTTGGAGCTAGGATTTTTCTGAGTGCACTGAACCAACTCCCGAGTCTCTAGGACATTCCTAAAAAAATTTGATTTTTTCCCATAGGAATGCATGGGTTAGGGGTTAGGGTTAGGGTTGGAGCTAGGGTTAGGGTTAGGGTTAGGGTTGGAGTTAGGGTTAGTGTTGGAGCTAGGGTTAGGGTTGGGCTTGGAGCTAGGATTTTTCTGAGTGCACTGAACCAACTCCCGAGTCTCTAGGACATTCCTAAAAAAATTTGATTTTTTCCCATAGGAATGCATGGGTTAGGGTTATGGTTAGGGTTAGGGTTGGAGCTAGGGTTAGGGTTAGGGTTAGGGTTGGAGTTAGGGTTAGTGTTGGAGCTAGGGTTAGGGTTGGGCTTGGAGCTAGGATTTTTCTGAGTGCACTGAACCAACTCCCGAGTCTCTAGGACATTCCTAAAAAAATTTGATTTTTTCCCATAGGAATGCATGGGTTAGGGTTATGGTTAGGGTTAGGGTTGGAGCTAGGGTTAGGGTTAGGGTTAGGGTTGGAGTTAGGGTTAGTGTTGGAGCTAGGGTTAGGGTTGGGCTTGGAGCTAGGATTTTTCTGAGTGCACTGAACCAACTCCCGAGTCTCTAGGACATTCCTAAAAAAATTTGATTTTTTCCCATAGGAATGCATGGGTTAGGGTTATGGTTAGGGTTAGGGTTGGAGCTAGGGTTAGGGTTAGGGTTAGGGTTGGAGTTAGGGTTAGTGTTGGAGCTAGGGTTAGGGTTGGGCTTGGAGCTAGGATTTTTCTGAGTGCACTGAACCAACTCCCGAGTCTCTAGGACGTTCCTAAAAAAATTTGATTTTTTCCCATAGGAATGCATGGGTTAGGGTTAGGGTTAGGGTTGGAGCTAGGGTTAGGGTTAGGGTTAGGGTTGGAGTTAGGGTTAGTGTTGGAGCTTTGGTTAGGGTTGGGCTTGGAGCTAGGATTTTTCTGAGTGCACTGAACCAACTCCCGAGTCTCTAGGACATTCCTAAAAAAATTTGATTTTTTCCCATAGGAATGCATGGGTTAGGGTTATGGTTAGGGTTAGGGTTGGAGCTAGGGTTAGGGTTAGGGTTAGGGTTGGAGTTAGGGTTAGTGTTGGAGCTAGGGTTAGGGTTGGGCTTGGAGCTAGGATTTTCTGAGTGCACTGAACCAACTCCCGAGTCTCTAGGACATTCCTAAAAAAATTTGATTTTTTCCCATAGGAATGCATGGGTTAGGGTTATGGTTAGGGTTAGGGTTGGAGCTAGGGTTAGGGTTAGGGTTAGGGTTGGAGTTAGGGTTAGTGTTGGAGCTAGGGTTAGGGTTGGGCTTGGAGCTAGGATTTTTCTGAGTGCACTGAACCAACTCCCGAGTCTCTAGGACATTCCCTAAAAAAAATTTGATTTTTTCCCATAGGAATGCATGGGTTAGGGTTAGGGTTAGGGTTGGATTTAGGGTTAGGGTTAGGGTTAGGGTTGGAGTTAGGGTTAGTGTTGGAGCTAGGGTTAGGGTTGGGCTTGGAGCTAGGATTTTTCTGAGTGCACTGAACCAACTCCCGAGTCTCTAGGACATTCCTAAAAAAATTTGATTTTTTCCCATAGGAATGCATGGGTTAGGGTTAGGGTTAGGGTTGGAGCTAGGGTTAGGGTTAGGGTTGGAGTTAGGGTTAGTGTTGGAGCTAGGGTTAGGGTTGGGCTTGGAGCTAGGATTTTTCTGAGTGCACTGAACCAACTCCCGAGTCTCTAGGACGTTCCTAAAAAAATTTGATTTTTTCCCATAGGAATGCATGGGTTGGGGTTAGGGTTAGGGTTGGAGCTAGGGTTAGGGTTGGGGTTAGGGTTGGAGTTAGGGTTAGTGTTGGAGCTAGGGTTAGGGTTGGGCTTGGAGCTAGGATTTTTCTGAGTGCACTGAACCAACTCCCGAGTCTCTAGGACATTCCTAAAAAAATTTGATTTTTTCCCATAGGAATGCATGGGTTAGGGTTATGGTTAGGGTTAGGGTTGGAGCTAGGGTTAGGGTTAGGGTTAGGGTTGGAGTTAGGGTTAGTGTTGGAGCTAGGGTTAGGGTTGGGCTTGGAGCTAGGATTTTTCTGAGTGCACTGAACCAACTCCCGAGTCTCTAGGACATTCCTAAAAAAATTTGATTTTTTCCCATAGGAATGCATGGGTTAGGGTTAGGGTTAGGGTTGGAGCTAGGGTTAGGGTTAGGGTTAGGGTTGGAGTTAGGGTTAGTGTTGGAGCTAGGGTTAGGGTTGGGCTTGGAGCTAGGATTTTTCTGAGTGCACTGAACCAACTCCCGAGTCTCTAGGACATTCCTAAAAAAATTTGATTTTTTCCCATAGGAATGCATGGGTTAGGGTTAGGGTTAGGGTTAGGGTTGGAGCTAGGGTTAGGGTTAGGGTTAGGGTTAGGGTTAGGGTTAGGGTTGGAGTTAGGGTTAGTGTTGGAGCTAGGGTTAGGGTTGGGCTTGGAGCTAGGATTTTTCTGAGTGCACTGAACCAACTCCCGAGTCTCTAGGACGTTCCTAAAAAATTTGATTTTTTCCCATAGGAATGCATGGGTTAGGGTTAGGGTTAGGGTTGGAGCTAGGGTTAGGGTTAGGGTTAGGGTTGGAGTTAGGGTTAGTGTTGGAGCTAGGGTTAGGGTTTGGCTTGGAGCTAGGATTTTTCTGAGTGCACTGAACCAACTCCCGAGTCTCTAGGACATTCCTAAAAAAATTTGAGTTTTTCCCATAGGAATGCATGGGTTAGGGTTAGGGTTAGGGTTGGAGCTAGGGTTAGGGTTAGGGTTAGGGTTGGAGTTAGGGTTAGTGTTGGAGCTAGGGTTAGGGTTGGGCTTGGAGCTAGGATTTTTCTGAGTGCACTGAACCAACTCCCGAGTCTCTAGGACATTCCTAAAAAAATTTGATTTTTTCCCATAGGAATGCATGGGTTAGGGTTATGGTTAGGGTTAGGGTTGGAGCTAGGGTTAGGGTTAGGGTTAGGGTTGGAGTTAGGGTTAGTGTTGGAGCTAGGGTTAGGGTTGGGCTTGGAGCTAGGATTTTTCTGAGTGCACTGAACCAACTCCCGAGTCTCTAGGACATTCCTAAAAAAATTTGATTTTTTCCCATAGGAATGCATGGGTTAGGGTTATGGTTAGGGTTAGGGTTGGAGCTAGGGTTAGGGTTAGGGTTAGGGTTGGAGTTAGGGTTAGTGTTGGAGCTAGGGTTAGGGTTGGGCTTGGAGCTAGGATTTTTCTGAGTGCACTGAACCAACTCCCGAGTCTCTAGGATGTTCCTAAAAAAATTTGATTTTTTCCCATAGGAATGCATGGGTTAGGGTTAGGGTTAGGGTTGGAGCTAGGGTTAGGGTTAGGGTTAGGGTTGGGGTTAGTGTTAGTGAGAGCTAGGGTTAGGGTTGGGCTTGGAGCTAGGATTTTTCTGAGTGCACTGAACCAACTCCCGAGTCTCTAGGACATTCCTAAAAAAATTTGATTTTTTCCCATAGGAATGCATGGGTTAGGGTTAGGGTTAGGGTTGGAGCTAGGGTTAGGGTTAGGGTTGGAGTTAGGGTTAGTGTTGGAGCTAGGGTTAGGGTTGGGCTTGGAGCTAGGATTTTTCTGAGTGCACTGAACCAACTCCCGAGTCTCTAGGACATTCCTAAAAAAATTTGATTTTTTCCCATAGGAATGCATGGGTTAGGGTTATGGTTAGGGTTAGGGTTGGAGCTAGGGTTAGGGTTAGGGTTAGGGTTGGAGTTAGGGTTAGTGTTGGAGCTAGGGTTAGGGTTGGGCTTGGAGCTAGGATTTTTCTGAGTGCACTGAACCAACTCCCGAGTCTCTAGGACATTCCTAAAAAAATTTGAGTTTTTCCCATAGGAATGCATGGGTTAGGTTAGGGTTAGGGTTGGAGCTAGGGTTAGGGTTAGGGTTAGGGTTGGAGTTAGGGTTAGTGTTGGAGCTAGGGTTAGGGTTGGGCTTGGAGCTAGGATTTTTCTGAGTGCACTGAACCAACTCCCGAGTCTCTAGGACATTCCTAAAAAAAATTTGATTTTTTCCCATAGGAATGCATGGGTTAGGGTTATGGTTAGGGTTAGGGTTGGAGCTAGGGTTAGGGTTAGGGTTAGGGTTGGAGTTAGGGTTAGTGTTGGAGCTAGGGTTAGGGTTGGGCTTGGAGCTAGGATTTTTCTGAGTGCACTGAACCAACTCCCGAGTCTCTAGGACATTCCTAAAAAAATTTGATTTTTTCCCATAGGAATGCATGGGTTAGGGTTAGGGTTAGGGTTAGGGTTGGAGCTAGGGTTAGGGTTAGGGTTAGGGTTAGGGTTAGGGTTGGAGTTAGGGTTAGTGTTGGAGCTAGGGTTAGGGTTGGGCTTGGAGCTAGGATTTTTCTGAGTGCACTGAACCAACTCCCGAGTCTCTAGGACATTCCTAAAAAAATTTGATTTTTTCCCATAGGAATGCATGGGTTAGGGTTATGGTTAGGGTTAGGGTTGGAGCTAGGGTTAGGGTTAGGGTTAGGGTTGGAGTTAGGGTTAGTGTTGGAGCTAGGGTTAGGGTTGGGCTTGGAGCTAGGATTTTTCTGAGTGCACTGAACCAACTCCCGAGTCTCTAGGATGTTCCTAAAAAAATTTGATTTTTTCCCATAGGAATGCATGGGTTAGGGTTAGGGTTAGGGTTGGAGCTAGGGTTAGGGTTAGGGTTAGGGTTGGAGTTAGGGTTAGTGTTGGAGCTAGGGTTAGGGTTGGGCTTGGAGCTAGGATTTTTCTGAGTGCACTGAACCAACTCCCGAGTCTCTAGGACATTCCTAAAAAAATTTGATTTTTTCCCATAGGAATGCATGGGTTAGGGTTATGGTTAGGGTTAGGGTTGGAGCTAGGGTTAGGGTTAGGGTTAGGGTTGGAGTTAGGGTTAGTGTTGGAGCTAGGGTTAGGGTTGGGCTTGGAGCTAGGATTTTTCTGAGTGCACTGAACCAACTCCCGAGTCTCTAGGACATTCCTAAAAAAATTTGATTTTTTTCCCATAGGAATGCATGGGTTAGGGTTATGGTTAGGGTTAGGGTTGGAGCTAGGGTTAGGGTTAGGGTTAGGGTTGGAGTTAGGGTTAGTGTTGGAGCTAGGGTTAGGGTTGGGCTTGGAGCTAGGATTTTTCTGAGTGCACTGAACCAACTCCCGAGTCTCTAGGACATTCCTAAAAAAATTTGATTTTTTCCCATAGGAATGCATGGGTTAGGGTTATGGTTAGGGTTAGGGTTGGAGCTAGGGTTAGGGTTAGGGTTAGGGTTGGAGTTAGGGTTAGTGTTGGAGCTAGGGTTAGGGTTGGGCTTGGAGCTAGGATTTTTTGAGTGCAATGAACCAACTCCCGAGTCTCTAGGACGTTCCTAAAAAAATTTGATTTTTTCCCATAGGAATGCATGGGTTAGGGTTATGGTTAGGGTTAGGGTTGGAGCTAGGGTTAGGGTTAGGGTTAGGGTTGGAGTTAGGGTTAGTGTTGGAGCTAGGGTTAGGGTTGGGCTTGGAGCTAGGATTTTTCTGAGTGCACTGAACCAACTCCCGAGTCTCTAGGACGTTCCTAAAAAAATTTGATTTTTTCCCATAGGAATGCATGGGTTGGGTTAGGGTTAGGGTTAGGGTTGGAGCTAGGGTTAGGGTTAGGGTTAGGGTTGGAGTTAGGGTTAGTGTTGGAGCTAGGGTTAGGGTTGGGCTTGGAGCTAGGATTTTTCTGAGTGCACTGAACCAACTCCCGAGTCTCTAGGACATTCCTAAAAAAATTTGATTTTTTCCCATAGGAATGCATGGGTTAGGGTTAGGGTTAGGGTTGGAGCTAGGGTTAGGGTTAGGGTTAGGGTTGGAGTTAGGGTTAGTGTTGGAGCTAGGGTTAGGGTTGGGCTTGGAGCTAGGATTTTTCTGAGTGCAATGAACCAACTCCCGAGTCTCTAGGACGTTCCTAAAAAAATTTGATTTTTTCCCATAGGAATGCATGGGTTATGGTTAGGGTTAGGGTTGGAGCTAGGGTTAGGGTTAGGTTTAGGGTTGGAGTTAGGGTTAGTGTTGGAGCTAGGGTTAGGGTTGGGCTTGGAGCTAGGATTTTTCTGAGTGCACTGAACCAACTCCCGAGTCTCTAGGACATTCCTAAAAAAATTTGATTTTTTCCCATAGGAATGCATGGGTTAGGCTTATGGTTAGGGTTAGGGTTGGAGCTAGGGTTAGGGTTAGGGTTAGGGTTGGAGTTAGGGTTAGTGTTGGAGCTAGGGTTAGGGTTGGGCTTGGAGCTAGGATTTTTCTGAGTGCAACTGAACCAACTCCCGAGTCTCTTGGACGTTCCTAAAAAAATTTGATTTTTTCCCATAGGAATGCATGGGTTAGGGTTAGGGTTAGGGTTGGAGCTAGGGTTAGGGTTAGGGTTAGGGTTGGAGTTAGGGTTAGTGTTGGAGCTAGGGTTAGGGTTGGGCTTGGAGCTAGGATTTTTCTGAGTGCACTGAACCAACTCCCGAGTCTCTAGGACGTTCCTAAAAAAATTTGATTTTTTCCCATAGGAATGCATGGGTTAGGGTTATGGTTAGGGTTAGGGTTGGAGCTAGGGTTAGGGTTAGGGTTAGGGTTGGAGTTAGGGTTAGTGTTGGAGCTAGGGTTAGGGTTGGGCTTGGAGCTAGGATTTTTCTGAGTGCAATGAACCAACTCCCGAGTCTCTTGGACGTTCCTAAAAAAATTTGATTTTTTCCCATAGGAATGCATGGGTTAGGGTTAGGGTTAGGGTTGGAGCTAGGGTTAGGGTTAGGGTTAGGGTTGGAGTTAGGGTTAGTGTTGGAGCTAGGGTTAGGGTTGGGCTTGGAGCTAGGATTTTTCTGAGTGCAATGAACCAACTCCCGAGTCTCTAGGACGTTCCTAAAAAAATTTGATTTTTTCCCATAGGAATGCATGGGTTAGGGTTAGGGTTAGGGTTGGAGCTAGGGTTAGGGTTAGGTTTAGGGTTGGAGTTAGGGTTAGTGTTGGAGCTAGGGTTAGGGTTGGGCTTGGAGCTAGGATTTTTCTGAGTGCACTGAACCAACTCCCGAGTCTCTAGGACATTCCTAAAAAAATTTGATTTTTTCCCATAGGAATGCATGGTTTAGGGTTATGGTTAGGGTTAGGGTTGGAGCTAGGGTTAGGGTTAGGGTTAGGGTTGGAGTTAGGGTTAGTGTTGGAGCTAGGGTTAGGGTTGCGCTTGGAGCTAGGACTTTTCTGAGTGCAATGAACCAACTCCCGAGTCTCTAGGATGTTCCCTTAAAAAAAATTGATTTTTTCCCATAGGAATGCATGGGTTAGGGTTAGGGTTAGGGTTGGAGCTAGGGTTAGGGTTAGGGTTAGGGTTGGAGTTAGGGTTCGTGTTGGAGCTAGGGTTAGGGTTGGGCTTGGAGCTAGGATTTTTCTGAGTGCACTGAACCAACTCCCGAGTCTCTAGGACATTCCTAAAAAAATTTGATTTTTTCCCATAGGAATGCATGGGTTAGGGTTATGGTTAGGGTTAGGGTTGGAGCTAGGGTTAGGGTTAGGGTTAGGGTTGGAGTTAGGGTTAGTGTTGGAGCTAGGGTTAGGGTTGGGCTTGGAGCTAGGACTTTTCTGAGTGCAATGAACCAACTCCCGAGTCTCTAGGACGTTCCTAAAAAAAATTGATTTTTTCCCATAGGAATGCATGGGTTAGGGTTAGGGTTAGGGTTGGAGCTAGGGTTAGGGTTAGGGTTAGGGTTGGAGTTAGGGTTAGTGTTGGAGCTAGGGTTAGGGTTGGGCTTGGAGCTAGGATTTTTCTGAGTGCACTGAACCAACTCCCGAGTCTCTAGGACGTTCCTAAAAAAATTTGATTTTTTCCCATAGGAATGCATGGGTTAGGGTTAGGGTTAGGGTTGGAGCTAGGGTTAGGGTTAGGGTTAGGGTTAGGGTTGGAGTTAGGGTTAGTGTTGGAGCTAGGGTTAGGGTTGGGCTTGGAGCTAGGATTTTTCTGAGTGCACTGAACCAACTCCCGAGTCTCTAGGATATTCCTAAAAAAATTTGATTTTTTCCCATAGGAATGCATGGGTTAGGGTTAGGGTTAGGGTTGGAGCTAGGGTTAGGGTTAGGGTTAGGGTTGGAGTTAGGGTTAGTGTTGGAGCTATGGTTAGGGTTGGGCTTGGAGCTAGGATTTTTCTGAGTGCACTGAACCAACTCCCGAGTCTCTAGGACATTCCTAAAAAATTTTGATTTTTTCCCATAGGAATGCATGGGTTAGGGTTATGGTTAGGGTTAGGGTTGGAGCTAGGGTTAGGGTTAGGGTTAGGGTTGGAGTTAGGGTTAGTGTTGGAGCTAGGGTTAGGGTTGGGCTTGGAGCTAGGATTTTTCTGAGTGCACTGAACCAACTCCCGAGTCTCTAGGACATTCCTAAAAAAATTTGATTTTTTTCCCATAGGAATGCATGGGTTAGGGTTAGGGTTAGGGTTGGAGCTAGGGTTAGGGTTAGGGTTAGGGTTGGAGTTAGGGTTAGTGTTGGAGCTAGGGTTAGGGTTGGGCTTGGAGCTAGGATTTTTCTGAGTGCACTGAACCAACTCCCGAGTCTCTAGGACATTCCTAAAAAAATTTGATTTTTTCCCATAGGAATGCATGGGTTAGGGTTAGGGTTAGGGTTGGAGCTAGGGTTAGGGTTAGGGTTAGGGTTAGGGTTGGAGTTAGGGTTAGTGTTGGAGCTAGGGTTAGGGTTGGGCTTGGAGCTAGGATTTTTCTGAGTGCACTGAACCAACTCCCGAGTCTCTAGGACATTCCTAAAAAAATTTGATTTTTTCCCATAGGAATGCATGGGTTAGGGTTATGGTTAGGGTTAGGGTTGGAGCTAGGGTTAGGGTTAGGGTTAGGGTTGGAGTTAGGGTTAGTGTTGGAGCTAGGGTTAGGGTTGGGCTTGGAGCTAGGATTTTTCTGAGTGCAATGAACCAACTCCCGAGTCTCTAGGACGTTCCTAAAAAAATTTGATTTTTTCCCATAGGAATGCATGGGTTAGGGTTAGGGTTAGGGTTGGAGCTAGGGTTAGGGTTAGGGTTAGGGTTGGAGTTAGGGTTAGTGTTGGAGCTAGGGTTAGGGTTGGGCTTGGAGCTAGGATTTTTCTGAGTGCACTGAACCAACTCCCGAGTCTCTAGGACATTCCTAAAAAAAATTGATTTTTTCCCATAGGAATGCATGGGTTAGGGTTATGGTTAGGGTTAGGGTTGGAGCTAGGGTTAGGGTTAGGGTTAGGGTTGGAGTTAGGGTTAGTGTTGGAGCTAGGGTTAGGGTTGGGCTTGGAGCTAGGACTTTTCTGAGTGCAATGAACCAACTCCCGAGTCTCTAGGACGTTCCCTAAAAAAATTTGATTTTTTCCCATAGGAATGCATGGGTTAGGGTTAGGGTTAGGGTTGGAGCTAGGGTTAGGGTTAGGGTTAGGGTTGGAGTTAGGGTTAGTGTTGGAGCTAGGGTTAGGGTTGGGCTTGGAGCTAGGATTTTTCTGAGTGCACTGAACCAACTCCCGAGTCTCTAGGACATTCCTAAAAAAATTTGATTTTTTCCCATAGGAATGCATGGGTTAGGGTTATGGTTAGGGTTAGGGTTGGAGCTAGGGTTAGGGTTAGGGTTAGGGTTGGAGTTAGGGTTAGTGTTGGAGCTAGGGTTAGGGTTGGGCTTGGAGCTAGGATTTTTCTGAGTGCATGAACCAACTCCCGAGTCTCTAGGACGTTCCTAAAAAAATTTGATTTTTTCCCATAGGAATGCATGGGTTAGGGTTATGGTTAGGGTTGGAGCTAGGGTTAGGGTTAGGGTTAGGGTTGGAGTTAGGGTTAGTGTTGGAGCTAGGGTTAGGGTTGGGCTTGGAGCTAGGATTTTTCTGAGTGCACTGAACCAACTCCCGAGTCTCTAGGACATTCCTAAAAAAATTTGATTTTTTCCCATAGGAATGCATGGGTTAGGGTTAGGGTTAGGGTTGGAGCTAGGGTTAGGGTTAGGGTTAGGGTTGGAGTTAGGGTTAGTGTTGGAGCTAGGGTTAGGGTTGGGCTTGGAGCTAGGATTTTTCTGAGTGCAATGAACCAACTCCCGAGTCTCTAGGACGTTCCTAAAAAAATTTGATTTTTTCCCATAGGAATGCATGGGTTAGGGTTAGGGTTAGGGTTGGAGCTAGGGTTAGGGTTAGGGTTAGGGTTGGAGTTAGGGTTAGTGTTGGAGCTAGGGTTAGGGTTGGGCTTGGAGCTAGGATTTTTCTGAGTGCACTGAACCAACTCCCGAGTCTCTAGGACATTCCTAAAAAAATTTGATTTTTTCCCATAGGAATGCATGGGTTAGGGTTATGGTTAGGGTTAGGGTTGGAGCTAGGGTTAGGGTTAGGGTTAGGGTTGGAGTTAGGGTTAGTGTTGGAGCTAGGGTTAGGGTTGGGCTTGGAGCTAGGACTTTTCTGAGTGCAATGAACCAACTCCCGAGTCTCTAGGACGTTCCCTAAAAAAATTTGATTTTTTCCCATAGGAATGCATGGGTTAGGGTTAGGGTTAGGGTTGGAGCTAGGGTTAGGGTTAGGGTTAGGGTTGGAGTTAGGGTTAGTGTTGGAGCTAGGGTTAGGGTTGGGCTTGGAGCTAGGATTTTTCTGAGTGCACTGAACCAACTCCCGAGTCTCTAGGACATTCCTAAAAAAATTTGATTTTTTCCCATAGGAATGCATGGGTTAGGGTTAGGGTTAGGGTTGGAGCTAGGGTTAGGGTTAGGGTTAGGGTTGGAGTTAGGGTTAGTGTTGGAGCTAGGGTTAGGGTTGGGCTTGGAGCTAGGATTTTTCTGAGTCCAGTGAACCAACTCCCGAGTCTCTAGGACATTCCTAAAAAAATTTGATTTTTTCCCATAGGAATGCATGGGTTAGGGTTAGGGTTAGGGTTGGAGCTAGGGTTAGGGTTAGGGTTAGGGTTGGAGTTAGGGTTAGTGTTGGAGCTAGGGTTAGGGTTGGGCTTGGAGCTAGGATTTTTCTGAGTGCACTGAACCAACTCCCGAGTCTCTAGGACATTCCTAAAAAAATTTGATTTTTTCCCATAGGAATGCATGGTTTAGGGTTATGGTTAGGGTTAGGGTTGGAGCTAGGGTTAGGGTTAGGGTTAGGGTTGGAGTTAGGGTTAGTGTTGGAGCTAGGGTTAGGGTTGGGCTTGGAGCTAGGACTTTTCTGAGTGCAATGAACCAACTCCCGAGTCTCTAGGACGTTCCAAAAAAAAATTTGATTTTTTCCCATAGGAATGCATGGGTTAGGGTTAGGGTTAGGGTTGGAGCTAGGGTTAGGGTTAGGGTTAGGGTTGGAGTTAGGGTTAGTGTTGGAGCTAGGGTTAGGGTTGGGCTTGGAGCTAGGATTTTTCTGAGTGCACTGAACCAACTCCCGAGTCTCTAGGACGTTCCTAAAAAAATTTGATTTTTTCCCATAGGAATGCATGGGTTAGGGTTAGGGTTAGGGTTGGAGCTAGGGTTAGGGTTAGGGTTAGGGTTGGAGTTAGGGTTAGTGTTGGAGCTAGGGTTAGGGTTGGGCTTGGAGCTAGGATTTTTCTGAGTGCACTGAACCAACTCCCGAGTCTCTAGGACATTCCTAAAAAAATTTGAGTTTTTCCCATAGGAATGCATGGGTTAGGGTTAGGGTTAGGGTTGGAGCTAGGGTTAGGGTTAGGGTTAGGGTTGGAGTTAGGGTTAGTGTTGGAGCTAGGGTTAGGGTTGGGCTTGGAGCTAGGATTTTTCTGAGTGCACTGAACCAACTCCCGAGTCTCTAGGACATTCCTAAAAAAATTTGATTTTTTCCCATAGGAATGCATGGGTTAGGGTTAGGGTTAGGGTTGGAGCTAGGGTTAGGGTTAGGGTTAGGGTTGGAGTTAGGGTTAGTGTTGGAGCTAGGGTTAGGGTTGGGCTTGGAGCTAGGATTTTTCTGAGTGCAATGAACCAACTCCCGAGTCTCTTGGACGTTCCTAAAAAAATTTGATTTTTTCCCATAGGAATGCATGGGTTAGGGTTAGGGTTAGGGTTGGAGCTAGGGTTAGGGTTAGGGTTAGGGTTGGAGTTAGGGTTAGTGTTGGAGCTAGGGTTAGGGTTGGGCTTGGAGCTAGGATTTTTCTGAGTGCACTGAACCAACTCCCGAGTCTCTAGGACGTTCCTAAAAAAATTTGATTTTTTCCCATAGGAATGCATGGGTTAGGGTTAGGGTTAGGGTTGGAGCTAGGGTTAGGGTTAGGGTTAGGGTTGGAGTTAGGGTTAGTGTTGGAGCTAGGGTTAGGGTTGGGCTTGGAGCTAGGATTTTTCTGAGTGCACTGAACCAACTCCCGAGTCTCTAGGACGTTCCTAAAAAAATTTGATTTTTTCCCATAGGAATGCATGGGTTAGGGTTAGGGTTAGGGTTGGAGCTAGGGTTAGGGTTAGGGTTAGGGTTGGAGTTAGGGTTAGTGTTGGAGCTAGGGTTAGGGTTGGGCTTGGAGCTAGGATTTTTCTGAGTGCACTGAACCAACTCCCGAGTCTCTAGGACATTCCTAAAAAAATTTGATTTTTCCCATAGGAATGCATGGGTTAGGGTTAGGGTTAGGGTTGGAGCTAGGGTTAGGGTTAGGGTTAGGGTTGGAGTTAGGGTTAGTGTTGGAGCTAGGGTTAGGGTTGGGCTTGGAGCTAGGATTTTTCTGAGTGCACTGAACCAACTCCCGAGTCTCTAGGACATTCCTAAAAAAATTTGATTTTTTTCCCATAGGAATGCATGGGTTAGGGTTAGGGTTAGGGTTAGGGTTGGAGCTAGGGTTAGGGTTAGGGTTAGGGTTGGAGTTAGGGTTAGTGTTGGAGCTAGGGTTAGGGTTGGGCTTGGAGCTAGGATTTTTCTGAGTGCACTGAACCAACTCCCGAGTCTCTAGGACGTTCCTAAAAAAATTTGATTTTTTCCCATAGGAATGCATGGGTTAGGGTTAGGGTTAGGGTTGGAGCTAGGGTTAGGGTTAGGGTTAGGGTTGGAGTTAGGGTTAGTGTTGGAGCTAGGGTTAGGGTTGGGCTTGGAGCTAGGATTTTTCTGAGTGCACTGAACCAACTCCCGAGTCTCTAGGACGTTCCTAAAAAAATTTGATTTTTTCCCATAGGAATGCATGGGTTAGGGTTAGGGTTAGGGTTGGAGCTAGGGTTAGGGTTAGGGTTAGGGTTGGAGTTAGGGTTAGTGTTGGAGCTAGGGTTAGGGTTGGGCTTGGAGCTAGGATTTTTCTGAGTGCACTGAACCAACTCCCGAGTCTCTAGGACATTCCTAAAAAAATTTGATTTTTTCCCATAGGAATGCATGGGTTAGGGTTAGGGTTAGGGTTGGAGCTAGGGTTAGGGTTAGGGTTAGGGTTGGAGTTAGGGTTAGTGTTGGAGCTAGGGTTAGGGTTGGGCTTGGAGCTAGGATTTTTCTGAGTGCACTGAACCAACTCCCGAGTCTCTAGGACATTCCTAAAAAAATTTGATTTTTTCCCATAGGAATGCATGGGTTAGGGTTATGGTTAGGGTTAGGGTTGGAGCTAGGGTTAGGGTTAGGGTTAGGGTTGGAGTTAGGGTTAGTGTTGGAGCTAGGGTTAGGGTTGGGCTTGGAGCTAGGATTTTTCTGAGTGCACTGAACCAACTCCCGAGTCTCTAGGACATTCCTAAAAAAATTTGATTTTTTCCCATAGGAATGCATGGGTTAGGGTTAGGGTTAGGGTTGGAGCTAGGGTTAGGGTTAGGGTTAGGGTTGGAGTTAGGGTTAGTGTTGGAGCTAGGGTTAGGGTTGGGCTTGGAGCTAGGATTTTTCTGAGTGCACTGAACCAACTCCCGAGTCTCTAGGACATTCCTAAAAAAATTTGATTTTTTCCCATAGGAATGCATGGGTTAGGGTTATGGTTAGGGTTGGAGCTAGGGTTAGGGTTAGGGTTAGGGTTGGAGTTAGGGTTAGTGTTGGAGCTAGGGTTAGGGTTGGGCTTGGAGCTAGGATTTTTCTGAGTGCACTGAACCAACTCCCGAGTCTCTAGGACATTCCTAAAAAAATTTGATTTTTTCCCATAGGAATGCATGGGTTAGGGTTAGGGTTAGGGTTGGAGCTAGGGTTAGGGTTAGGGTTAGGGTTGGAGTTAGGGTTAGTGTTGGAGCTAGGGTTAGGGTTGGGCTTGGAGCTAGGATTTTTCTGAGTGCACTGAACCAACTCCCGAGTCTCTAGGACATTCCTAAAAAAATTTGATTTTTTCCCATAGGAATGCATGGGTTAGGGTTATGGTTAGGGTTAGGGTTGGAGCTAGGGTTAGGGTTAGGGTTAGGGTTGGAGTTAGGGTTAGTGTTGGAGCTAGGGTTAGGGTTGGGCTTGGAGCTAGGACTTTTCTGAGTGCAATGAACCAACTCCCGAGTCTCTAGGACATTCCTAAAAAAATTGATTTTTTCCCATAGGAATGCATGGGTTAGGGTTATGGTTAGGGTTAGGGTTGGAGCTAGTGTTAGGGTTAGGGTTAGGGTTAGGGTTAGGGTTGGAGTTAGGGTTAGTGTTGGAGCTAGGGTTAGGGTTGGGCTTGGAGCTAGGATTTTTCTGAGTGCACTGAACCAACTCCCGAGTCTCTAGGACATTCCTAAAAAAATTTGATTTTTTCCCATAGGAATGCATGGGTTAGGGTTATGGTTAGGGTTAGGGTTGGAGCTAGGGTTAGGGTTAGGGTTAGGGTTGGAGTTAGGGTTAGTGTTGGAGCTAGGGTTAGGGTTGGGCTTGGAGCTAGGATTTTTCTGAGTGCACTGAACCAACTCCCGAGTCTCTAGGACATTCCTAAAAAAATTTGATTTTTTCCCATAGGAATGCATGGGTTAGGGTTAGGGTTAGGGTTGGAGCTAGGGTTAGGGTTAGGGTTAGGGTTGGAGTTAGGGTTAGTGTTGGAGCTAGGGTTAGGGTTGGGCTTGGAGCTAGGATTTTTCTGAGTGCACTGAACCAACTCCCGAGTCTCTAGGACATTCCTAAAAAAATTTGATTTTTTCCCATAGGAATGCATGGGTTAGGGTTAGGGTTAGGGTTGGAGCTAGGGTTAGGGTTAGGGTTAGGGTTGGAGTTAGGGTTAGTGTTGGAGCTAGGGTTAGGGTTGGGCTTGGAGCTAGGATTTTTCTGAGTGCACTGAACCAACTCCCGAGTCTCTAGGACATTCCTAAAAAAATTTGATTTTTTTCCCATAGGAATGCATGGGTTAGGGTTATGGTTAGGGTTAGGGTTGGAGCTAGGGTTAGGGTTAGGGTTAGGGTTGGAGTTAGGGTTAGTGTTGGAGCTAGGGTTAGGGTTGGGCTTGGAGCTAGGATTTTTCTGAGTGCAATGAACCAACTCCCGAGTCTCTAGGACGTTCCTAAAAAAATTTGATTTTTTCCCATAGGAATGCATGGGTTAGGGTTAGGGTTAGGGTTGGAGCTAGGGTTAGGGTTAGGGTTAGGGTTGGAGTTAGGGTTAGTGTTGGAGCTAGGGTTAGGGTTGGGCTTGGAGCTAGGATTTTTCTGAGTGCACTGAACCAACTCCCGAGTCTCTAGGACGTTCCTAAAAAAATTTGATTTTTTCCCATAGGAATGCATGGGTTAGGGTTAGGGTTAGGGTTGGAGCTAGGGTTAGGGTTAGGGTTAGGGTTGGAGTTAGGGTTAGTGTTGGAGCTAGGGTTAGGGTTGGGCTTGGAGCTAGGATTTTTCTGAGTGCACTGAACCAACTCCCGAGTCTCTAGGACATTCCTAAAAAAATTTGATTTTTTCCCATAGGAATGCATGGGTTAGGGTTAGGGTTAGGGTTGGAGCTAGGGTTAGGGTTAGGGTTAGGGTTGGAGTTAGGGTTAGTGTTGGAGCTAGGGTTAGGGTTGGGCTTGGAGCTAGGATTTTTCTGAGTGCACTGAACCAACTCCCGAGTCTCTAGGACATTCCTAAAAAAATTTGATTTTTTCCCATAGGAATGCATGGGTTAGGGTTATGGTTAGGGTTAGGGTTGGAGCTAGGGTTAGGGTTAGGGTTAGGGTTGGAGTTAGGGTTAGTGTTGGAGCTAGGGTTAGGGTTGGGCTTGGAGCTAGGATTTTTCTGAGTGCACTGAACCAACTCCCGAGTCTCTAGGACATTCCTAAAAAAAATTTGATTTTTTCCCATAGGAATGCATGGGTTAGGGTTATGGTTAGGGTTAGGGTTGGAGCTAGGGTTAGGGTTAGGGTTAGGGTTGGAGTTAGGGTTAGTGTTGGAGCTAGGGTTAGGGTTGGGCTTGGAGCTAGGATTTTTCTGAGTGCAATGAACCAACTCCCGAGTCTCTTGGACGTTCCTAAAAAAATTTGATTTTTTCCCATAGGAATGCATGGGTTAGGGTTAGGGTTAGGGTTGGAGCTAGGGTTAGGGTTAGGGTTAGGGTTGGAGTTAGGGTTAGTGTTGGAGCTAGGGTTAGGGTTGGGCTTGGAGCTAGGATTTTTCTGAGTGCAATGAACCAACTCCCGAGTCTCTAGGACGTTCCTAAAAAAATTTGATTTTTTTCCCATAGGAATGCATGGGTTAGGGTTATGGTTAGGGTTGGAGCTAGGGTTAGGGTTAGGGTTAGGGTTGGAGTTAGGGTTAGTGTTGGAGCTAGGGTTAGGGTTGGGCTTGGAGCTAGGATTTTTCTGAGTGCACTGAACCAACTCCCGAGTCTCTAGGACGTTCCTAAAAAAATTTGATTTTTTCCCATAGGAATGCATGGGTTAGGGTTAGGGTTAGGGTTGGAGCTAGGGTTAGGGTTAGGGTTAGGGTTGGAGTTAGGGTTAGTGTTGGAGCTAGGGTTAGGGTTGGGCTTGGAGCTAGGATTTTTCTGAGTGCACTGAACCAACTCCCGAGTCTCTAGGACATTCCTAAAAAATTTGATTTTTTTCCCATAGGAATGCATGGGTTAGGGTTATGGTTAGGGTTAGGGTTGGAGCTAGGGTTAGGGTTAGGGTTAGGGTTGGAGTTAGGGTTAGTGTTGGAGCTAGGGTTAGGGTTGGGCTTGGAGCTAGGACTTTTCTGAGTGCAATGAACCAACTCCCGAGTCTCTAGGACATTCCTAAAAAAATTTGATTTTTTCCCATAGGAATGCATGGGTTAGGGTTATGGTTAGGGTTAGGGTTGGAGCTAGGGTTAGGGTTAGGGTTAGGGTTAGGGTTGGAGTTAGGGTTAGTGTTGGAGCTAGGGTTAGGGTTGGGCTTGGAGCTAGGATTTTTCTGAGTGCACTGAACCAACTCCCGAGTCTCTAGGACATTCCTAAAAAAATTTGATTTTTTCCCATAGGAATGCATGGGTTAGGGTTAGGGTTAGGGTTAGGGTTGGAGCTAGGGTTAGGGTTAGGGTTGGAGTTAGGGTTAGTGTTGGAGCTAGGGTTAGGGTTGGGCTTGGAGCTAGGATTTTTCTGAGTGCAATGAACCAACTCCCGAGTCTCTAGGACGTTCCTAAAAAAATTTGATTTTTTCCCATAGGAATGCATGGGTTAGGGTTAGGGTTAGGGTTGGAGCTAGGGTTAGGGTTAGGGTTAGGGTTGGAGTTAGGGTTAGTGTTGGAGCTAGGGTTAGGGTTGGGCTTGGAGCTAGGATTTTTCTGAGTGCACTGAACCAACTCCCGAGTCTCTAGGACATTCCTAAAAAAATTTGATTTTTTCCCATAGGAATGCATGGGTTAGGGTTAGGGTTAGGGTTGGAGCTAGGGTTAGGGTTAGGGTTAGGGTTGGAGTTAGGGTTAGTGTTGGAGCTAGGGTTAGGGTTGGGCTTGGAGCTAGGATTTTTCTGAGTGCACTGAACCAACTCCCGAGTCTCTAGGACATTCCTAAAAAAATTTGATTTTTTCCCATAGGAATGCATGGGTTAGGGTTAGGGTTAGGGTTGGAGCTAGGGTTAGGGTTAGGGTTAGGGTTGGAGTTAGGGTTAGTGTTGGAGCTAGGGTTAGGGTTGGGCTTGGAGCTAGGATTTTTCTGAGTGCACTGAACCAACTCCCGAGTCTCTAGGACATTCCTAAAAAAATTTGATTTTTTCCCATAGGAATGCATGGGTTAGGGTTATGGTTAGGGTTAGGGTTGGAGCTAGGGTTAGGGTTAGGGTTAGGGTTGGAGTTAGGGTTAGTGTTGGAGCTAGGGTTAGGGTTGGGCTTGGAGCTAGGATTTTTCTGAGTGCACTGAACCAACTCCCGAGTCTCTAGGACATTCCTAAAAAAATTTGATTTTTTCCCATAGGAATGCATGGGTTAGGGTTATGGTTAGGGTTAGGGTTGGAGCTAGGGTTAGGGTTAGGGTTAGGGTTGGAGTTAGGGTTAGTGTTGGAGCTAGGGTTAGGGTTGGGCTTGGAGCTAGGACTTTTCTGAGTGCAATGAACCAACTCCCGAGTCTCTAGGACGTTCCTAAAAAAATTTGATTTTTTCCCATAGGAATGCATGGGTTAGGGTTAGGGTTAGGGTTGGAGCTAGGGTTAGGGTTAGGGTTAGGGTTGGAGTTAGGGTTAGTGTTGGAGCTAGGGTTAGGGTTGGGCTTGGAGCTAGGATTTTTCTGAGTGCACTGAACCAACTCCCGAGTCTCTAGGACATTCCTAAAAAAATTTGATTTTTTCCCATAGGAATGCATGGGTTAGGGTTAGGGTTAGGGTTGGAGCTAGGGTTAGGGTTAGGGTTAGGGTTGGAGTTAGGGTTAGTGTTGGAGCTAGGGTTAGGGTTGGGCTTGGAGCTAGGATTTTTCTGAGTGCACTGAACCAACTCCCGAGTCTCTAGGACATTCCTAAAAAAATTTGATTTTTTCCCATAGGAATGCATGGGTTAGGGTTATGGTTAGGGTTAGGGTTGGAGCTAGGGTTAGGGTTAGGGTTAGGGTTGGAGTTAGGGTTAGTGTTGGAGCTAGGGTTAGGGTTGGGCTTGGAGCTAGGACTTTTCTGAGTGCAATGAACCAACTCCCGAGTCTCTTGGACGTTCCCTAAAAAATTTGATTTTTTCCCATAGGAATGCATGGGTTAGGGTTAGGGTTAGGGTTGGAGCTAGGGTTAGGGTTAGGGTTAGGGTTGGAGTTAGGGTTAGTGTTGGAGCTAGGGTTAGGGTTGGGCTTGGAGCTAGGATTTTTCTGAGTGCACTGAACCAACTCCCGAGTCTCTAGGACATTCCTAAAAAAATTTGATTTTTTCCCATAGGAATGCATGGGTTAGGGTTATGGTTAGGGTTGGAGCTAGGGTTAGGGTTAGGGTTAGGGTTGGAGTTAGGGTTAGTGTTGGAGCTAGGGTTAGGGTTGGGCTTGGAGCTAGGATTTTTCTGAGTGCAATGAACCAACTCCCGAGTCTCTAGGACATTCCTAAAAAAATTTGATTTTTTCCCATAGGAATGCATGGGTTAGGGTTAGGGTTAGGGTTGGAGCTAGGGTTAGGGTTAGGGTTAGGGTTGGAGTTAGGGTTAGTGTTGGAGCTAGGGTTAGGGTTGGGCTTGGAGCTAGGATTTTTCTGAGTGCACTGAACCAACTCCCGAGTCTCTAGGACATTCCTAAAAAAATTTGATTTTTTCCCATAGGAATGCATGGGTTAGGGTTATGGTTAGGGTTAGGGTTGGAGCTAGGGTTAGGGTTAGGGTTAGGGTTGGAGTTAGGGTTAGTGTTGGAGCTAGGGTTAGGGTTGGGCTTGGAGCTAGGACTTTTCTGAGTGCAATGAACCAACTCCCGAGTCTCTTGGACGTTCCCTAAAAAAATTTGATTTTTTTCCCATAGGAATGCATGGGTTAGGGTTAGGGTTAGGGTTGGAGCTAGGGTTAGGGTTAGGGTTAGGGTTGGAGTTAGGGTTAGTGTTGGAGCTAGGGTTAGGGTTGGGCTTGGAGCTAGGATTTTTCTGAGTGCACTGAACCAACTCCCGAGTCTCTAGGACATTCCTAAAAAAATTTGATTTTTTCCCATAGGAATGCATGGGTTAGGGTTAGGGTTAGGGTTGGAGCTAGGGTTAGGGTTAGGGTTAGGGTTGGAGTTAGGGTTAGTGTTGGAGCTAGGGTTAGGGTTGGGCTTGGAGCTAGGATTTTTCTGAGTGCACTGAACCAACTCCCGAGTCTCTAGGACATTCCTAAAAAAATTTGATTTTTTTCCCATAGGAATGCATGGGTTAGGGTTAGGGTTAGGGTTAGGGTTGGAGCTAGGGTTAGGGTTAGGGTTGGAGTTAGGGTTAGTGTTGGAGCTAGGGTTAGGGTTGGGCTTGGAGCTAGGATTTTTCTGAGTGCAATGAACCAACTCCCGAGTCTCTAGGACGTTCCTAAAAAAATTTGATTTTTTCCCATAGGAATGCATGGGTTAGGGTTATGGTTAGGGTTAGGGTTGGAGCTAGGGTTAGGGTTAGGGTTAGGGTTGGAGTTAGGGTTAGTGTTGGAGCTAGGGTTAGGGTTGGGCTTGGAGCTAGGATTTTTCTGAGTGCACTGAACCAACTCCCGAGTCTCTAGGACATTCCTAAAAAAATTTGATTTTTTCCCATAGGAATGCATGGGTTAGGGTTAGGGTTAGGGTTGGAGCTAGGGTTAGGGTTAGGGTTAGGGTTGGAGTTAGGGTTAGTGTTGGAGCTAGGGTTAGGGTTGGGCTTGGAGCTAGGATTTTTCTGAGTGCACTGAACCAACTCCCGAGTCTCTAGGACATTCCTAAAAAAATTTGATTTTTTCCCATAGGAATGCATGGGTTAGGGTTAGGGTTAGGGTTGGAGCTAGGGTTAGGGTTAGGGTTAGGGTTGGAGTTAGGGTTAGTGTTGGAGCTAGGGTTAGGGTTGGGCTTGGAGCTAGGATTTTTCTGAGTGCACTGAACCAACTCCCGAGTCTCTAGGACATTCCTAAAAAAATTTGATTTTTTCCCATAGGAATGCATGGGTTAGGGTTATGGTTAGGGTTAGGGTTGGAGCTAGGGTTAGGGTTAGGGTTAGGGTTGGAGTTAGGGTTAGTGTTGGAGCTAGGGTTAGGGTTGGGCTTGGAGCTAGGATTTTTCTGAGTGCACTGAACCAACTCCCGAGTCTCTTGGACGTTCCTAAAAAAAATTTGATTTTTTCCCATAGGAATGCATGGGTTAGGGTTAGGGTTAGGGTTGGAGCTAGGGTTAGGGTTAGGGTTAGGGTTGGAGTTAGGGTTAGTGTTGGAGCTAGGGTTAGGGTTGGGCTTGGAGCTAGGATTTTTCTGAGTGCACTGAACCAACTCCCGAGTCTCTAGGACGTTCCTAAAAAAATTTGATTTTTTCCCATAGGAATGCATGGTTGGGTTAGGGTTAGGGTTAGGGTTGGAGCTAGGGTTAGGGTTAGGGTTAGGGTTGGAGTTAGGGTTAGTGTTGGAGCTAGGGTTAGGGTTGGGCTTGGAGCTAGGATTTTTCTGAGTGCACTGAACCAACTCCCGAGTCTCTAGGACATTCCTAAAAAAATTTGATTTTTTCCCATAGGAATGCATGGGTTAGGGTTAGGGTTAGGGTTGGAGCTAGGGTTAGGGTTAGGGTTAGGGTTGGAGTTAGGGTTAGTGTTGGAGCTAGGGTTAGGGTTGGGCTTGGAGCTAGGATTTTTCTGAGTGCACTGAACCAACTCCCGAGTCTCTAGGACATTCCTAAAAAAATTTGATTTTTTCCCATAGGAATGCATGGGTTAGGGTTATGGTTAGGGTTAGGGTTGGAGCTAGGGTTAGGGTTAGGGTTAGGGTTGGAGTTAGGGTTAGTGTTGGAGCTAGGGTTAGGGTTGGGCTTGGAGCTAGGATTTTTCTGAGTGCACTGAACCAACTCCCGAGTCTCTAGGACATTCCTAAAAAAATTTGATTTTTTCCCATAGGAATGCATGGGTTAGGGTTATGGTTAGGGTTAGGGTTGGAGCTAGGGTTAGGGTTAGGGTTAGGGTTAGGGTTAGGGTTGGAGTTAGGGTTAGTGTTGGAGCTAGGGTTAGGGTTGGGCTTGGAGCTAGGATTTTTCTGAGTGCACTGAACCAACTCCCGAGTCTCTAGGACATTCCTAAAAATTTGATTTTTTCCCATAGGAATGCATGGGTTAGGGTTATGGTTAGGGTTAGGGTTGGAGCTAGGGTTAGGGTTAGGGTTAGGGTTGGAGTTAGGGTTAGTGTTGGAGCTAGGGTTAGGGTTGGGCTTGGAGCTAGGACTTTTCTGAGTGCAATGAACCAACTCCCGAGTCTCTAGGACGTTCCTAAAAAAATTTGATTTTTTTCCCATAGGAATGCATGGGTTAGGGTTAGGGTTAGGGTTGGAGCTAGGGTTAGGGTTAGGGTTAGGGTTGGAGTTAGGGTTAGTGTTGGAGCTAGGGTTAGGGTTGGGCTTGGAGCTAGGATTTTTCTGAGTGCACTGAACCAACTCCCGAGTCTCTAGGACATTCCTAAAAAAATTTGATTTTTTCCCATAGGAATGCATGGGTTAGGGTTAGGGTTAGGGTTGGAGCTAGGGTTAGGGTTAGGGTTAGGGTTGGAGTTAGGGTTAGTGTTGGAGCTAGGGTTAGGGTTGGGCTTGGAGCTAGGATTTTTCTGAGTGCACTGAACCAACTCCCGAGTCTCTAGGACATTCCTAAAAAAATTTGATTTTTTTCCCATAGGAATGCATGGGTTAGGGTTATGGTTAGGGTTAGGGTTGGAGCTAGGGTTAGGGTTAGGGTTAGGGTTGGAGTTAGGGTTAGTGTTGGAGCTAGGGTTAGGGTTGGGCTTGGAGCTAGGATTTTTCTGAGTGCAATGAACCAACTCCCGAGTCTCTTGGACGTTCCTAAAAAAATTTGATTTTTTCCCATAGGAATGCATGGGTTAGGGTTAGGGTTAGGGTTGGAGCTAGGGTTAGGGTTAGGGTTAGGGTTGGAGTTAGGGTTAGTGTTGGAGCTAGGGTTAGGGTTGGGCTTGGAGCTAGGATTTTTCTGAGTGCACTGAACCAACTCCCGAGTCTCTAGGACGTTCCTAAAAAAATTTGATTTTTTCCCATAGGAATGCATGGGTTAGGGTTAGGGTTAGGGTTGGAGCTAGGGTTAGGGTTAGGGTTAGGGTTGGAGTTAGGGTTAGTGTTGGAGCTAGGGTTAGGGTTGGGCTTGGAGCTAGGATTTTTCTGAGTGCACTGAACCAACTCCCGAGTCTCTAGGACATTCCTAAAAAAATTTGATTTTTTCCCATAGGAATGCATGGGTTAGGGTTAGGGTTAGGGTTGGAGCTAGGGTTAGGGTTAGGGTTAGGGTTGGAGTTAGGGTTAGTGTTGGAGCTAGGGTTAGGGTTGGGCTTGGAGCTAGGATTTTTCTGAGTGCACTGAACCAACTCCCGAGTCTCTAGGACATTCCTAAAAAAATTTGATTTTTTCCCATAGGAATGCATGGGTTAGTTATGGTTAGGGTTAGGGTTGGAGCTAGGGTTAGGGTTAGGGTTAGGGTTGGAGTTAGGGTTAGTGTTGGAGCTAGGGTTAGGGTTGGGCTTGGAGCTAGGATTTTTCTGAGTGCACTGAACCAACTCCCGAGTCTCTAGGACATTCCTAAAAAAATTTGATTTTTTCCCATAGGAATGCATGGGTTAGGGTTATGGTTAGGGTTAGGGTTGGAGCTAGGGTTAGGGTTAGGGTTAGGGTTGGAGTTAGGGTTAGTGTTGGAGCTAGGGTTAGGGTTGGGCTTGGAGCTAGGATTTTTCTGAGTGCACTGAACCAACTCCCGAGTCTCTAGGACATTCCTAAAAAAATTTGATTTTTTCCCATAGGAATGCATGGGTTAGGGTTAGGGTTAGGGTTGGAGCTAGGGTTAGGGTTAGGGTTAGGGTTGGAGTTAGGGTTAGTGTTGGAGCTAGGGTTAGGGTTGGGCTTGGAGCTAGGATTTTTCTGAGTGCAATGAACCAACTCCCGAGTCTCTAGGACGTTCCTAAAAAAATTTGATTTTTTCCCATAGGAATGCATGGGTTAGGGTTAGGGTTAGGGTTGGAGCTAGGGTTAGGGTTAGGGTTAGGGTTGGAGTTAGGGTTAGTGTTGGAGCTAGGGTTAGGGTTGGGCTTGGAGCTAGGATTTTTCTGAGTGCACTGAACCAACTCCCGAGTCTCTAGGACATTCCTAAAAAAATTTGATTTTTTCCCATAGGAATGCATGGGTTAGGGTTATGGTTAGGGTTAGGGTTGGAGCTAGGGTTAGGGTTAGGGTTAGGGTTGGAGTTAGGGTTAGTGTTGGAGCTAGGGTTAGGGTTGGGCTTGGAGCTAGGATTTTTCTGAGTGCACTGAACCAACTCCCGAGTCTCTAGGACATTCCTAAAAAAATTTGATTTTTTCCCATAGGAATGCATGGGTTAGGGTTATGGTTAGGGTTAGGGTTGGAGCTAGGGTTAGGGTTAGGGTTAGGGTTGGAGTTAGGGTTAGTGTTGGAGCTAGGGTTAGGGTTGGGCTTGGAGCTAGGATTTTCTGAGTGCACTGAACCAACTCCCGAGTCTCTAGGACATTCCTAAAAAAATTTGATTTTTTCCCATAGGAATGCATGGGTTAGGGTTATGGTTAGGGTTAGGGTTGGAGCTAGGGTTAGGGTTAGGGTTAGGGTTAGGGTTGGAGTTAGGGTTAGTGTTGGAGCTAGGGTTAGGGTTGGGCTTGGAGCTAGGATTTTTCTGAGTGCACTGAACCAACTCCCGAGTCTCTAGGACATTCCTAAAAAAATTTGATTTTTTTCCCATAGGTATGCATGGGTTAGGGTTAGGGTTAGGGTTAGGGTTGGAGCTAGGGTTAGGGTTAGGGTTAGGGTTGGAGTTAGGGTTAGTGTTGGAGCTAGGGTTAGGGTTGGGCTTGGAGCTAGGATTTTTCTGAGTGCAATGAACCAACTCCCGAGTCTCTAGGACGTTCCTAAAAAAATTTGATTTTTTCCCATAGGAATGCATGGGTTAGGGTTAGGGTTAGGGTTGGAGCTAGGGTTAGGGTTAGGGTTAGGGTTGGAGTTAGGGTTAGTGTTGGAGCTAGGGTTAGGGTTGGGCTTGGAGCTAGGATTTTCTGAGTGCACTGAACCAACTCCCGAGTCTCTAGGACATTCCTAAAAAAATTTGATTTTTTCCCATAGGAATGCATGGGTTAGGGTTAGGGTTAGGGTTGGAGCTAGGGTTAGGGTTAGGGTTAGGGTTGGAGTTAGGGTTAGTGTTGGAGCTAGGGTTAGGGTTGGGCTTGGAGCTAGGATTTTTCTGAGTGCACTGAACCAACTCCCGAGTCTCTAGGACATTCCTAAAAAAATTTGATTTTTTCCCATAGGAATGCATGGGTTAGGGTTATGGTTAGGGTTAGGGTTGGAGCTAGGGTTAGGGTTAGGGTTAGGGTTGGAGTTAGGGTTAGTGTTGGAGCTAGGGTTAGGGTTGGGCTTGGAGCTAGGATTTTTCTGAGTGCACTGAACCAACTCCCGAGTCTCTAGGACATTCCTAAAAAAATTTGATTTTTTCCCATAGGAATGCATGGGTTAGGGTTATGGTTAGGGTTAGGGTTGGAGCTAGGGTTAGGGTTAGGGTTAGGGTTGGAGTTAGGGTTAGTGTTGGAGCTAGGGTTAGGGTTGGGCTTGGAGCTAGGATTTTTCTGAGTGCACTGAACCAACTCCCGAGTCTCTAGGACATTCCTAAAAAAATTTGATTTTTTCCCATAGGAATGCATGGGTTAGGGTTATGGTTAGGGTTAGGGTTGGAGCTAGGGTTAGGGTTAGGGTTAGGGTTGGAGTTAGGGTTAGTGTTGGAGCTAGGGTTAGGGTTGGGCTTGGAGCTAGGATTTTTCTGAGTGCACTGAACCAACTCCCGAGTCTCTAGGACGTTCCTAAAAAAAATTTGATTTTTTCCCATAGGAATGCATGGGTTAGGGTTAGGGTTAGGGTTGGAGCTAGGGTTAGGGTTAGGGTTAGGGTTGGAGTTAGGGTTAGTGTTGGAGCTAGGGTTAGGGTTGGGCTTGGAGCTAGGATTTTTCTGAGTGCACTGAACCAACTCCCGAGTCTCTAGGACATTCCTAAAAAAATTTGATTTTTTCCCATAGGAATGCATGGGTTAGGGTTAGGGTTAGGGTTGGAGCTAGGGTTAGGGTTAGGGTTAGGGTTGGAGTTAGGGTTAGTGTTGGAGCTAGGGTTAGGGTTGGGCTTGGAGCTAGGATTTTTCTGAGTGCACTGAACCAACTCCCGAGTCTCTAGGACATTCCTAAAAAAATTTGATTTTTTCCCATAGGAATGCATGGGTTAGGGTTATGGTTAGGGTTAGGGTTGGAGCTAGGGTTAGGGTTAGGGTTAGGGTTGGAGTTAGGGTTAGTGTTGGAGCTAGGGTTAGGGTTGGGCTTGGAGCTAGGACTTTTCTGAGTGCAATGAACCAACTCCCGAGTCTCTAGGACGTTCCTAAAAAAATTTGATTTTTTCCCATAGGAATGCATGGGTTAGGGTTAGGGTTAGGGTTGGAGCTAGGGTTAGGGTTAGGGTTAGGGTTGGAGTTAGGGTTAGTGTTGGAGCTAGGGTTAGGGTTGGGCTTGGAGCTAGGATTTTTCTGAGTGCACTGAACCAACTCCCGAGTCTCTAGGACGTTCCTAAAAAAATTTGATTTTTTCCCATAGGAATGCATGGGTTAGGGTTAGGGTTAGGGTTGGAGCTAGGGTTAGGGTTAGGGTTAGGGTTGGAGTTAGGGTTAGTGTTGGAGCTAGGGTTAGGGTTGGGCTTGGAGCTAGGATTTTTCTGAGTGCACTGAACCAACTCCCGAGTCTCTAGGACATTCCTAAAAAAATTTGATTTTTTCCCATAGGAATGCATGGGTTAGGGTTAGGGTTAGGGTTGGAGCTAGGGTTAGGGTTAGGGTTAGGGTTGGAGTTAGGGTTAGTGTTGGAGCTAGGGTTAGGGTTGGGCTTGGAGCTAGGATTTTTCTGAGTGCACTGAACCAACTCCCGAGTCTCTAGGACATTCCTAAAAAAATTTGATTTTTTCCCATAGGAATGCATGGGTTAGGGTTATGGTTAGGGTTAGGGTTGGAGCTAGGGTTAGGGTTAGGGTTAGGGTTGGAGTTAGGGTTAGTGTTGGAGCTAGGGTTAGGGTTGGGCTTGGAGCTAGGATTTTTCTGAGTGCAATGAACCAACTCCCGAGTCTCTAGGACGTTCCTAAAAAAATTTGATTTTTTTCCCATAGGAATGCATGGGTTAGGGTTAGGGTTAGGGTTGGAGCTAGGGTTAGGGTTAGGGTTAGGGTTGGAGTTAGGGTTAGTGTTGGAGCTAGGGTTAGGGTTGGGCTTGGAGCTAGGATTTTTCTGAGTGCACTGAACCAACTCCCGAGTCTCTAGGACATTCCTAAAAAAATTTGATTTTTTCCCATAGGAATGCATGGGTTAGGGTTAGGGTTAGGGTTGGAGCTAGGGTTAGGGTTAGGGTTAGGGTTGGAGTTAGGGTTAGTGTTGGAGCTAGGGTTAGGGTTGGGCTTGGAGCTAGGATTTTTCTGAGTGCACTGAACCAACTCCCGAGTCTCTAGGACATTCCTAAAAAAATTTGATTTTTTTCCCATAGGAATGCATGGGTTAGGGTTAGGGTTAGGGTTAGGGTTGGAGCTAGGGTTAGGGTTAGGGTTGGAGTTAGGGTTAGTGTTGGAGCTAGGGTTAGGGTTGGGCTTGGAGCTAGGATTTTTCTGAGTGCAATGAACCAACTCCCGAGTCTCTAGGACGTTCCTAAAAAAATTTGATTTTTTCCCATAGGAATGCATGGGTTAGGGTTAGGGTTAGGGTTGGAGCTAGGGTTAGGGTTAGGGTTAGGGTTGGAGTTAGGGTTAGTGTTGGAGCTAGGGTTAGGGTTGGGCTTGGAGCTAGGATTTTTCTGAGTGCACTGAACCAACTCCCGAGTCTCTAGGACGTTCCTAAAAAAATTTGATTTTTTCCCATAGGAATGCATGGGTTAGGGTTAGGGTTAGGGTTGGAGCTAGGGTTAGGGTTAGGGTTAGGGTTGGAGTTAGGGTTAGTGTTGGAGCTAGGGTTAGGGTTGGGCTTGGAGCTAGGATTTTTCTGAGTGCACTGAACCAACTCCCGAGTCTCTAGGACATTCCTAAAAAAATTTGATTTTTTTCCCATAGGAATGCATGGGTTAGGGTTAGGGTTAGGGTTGGAGCTAGGGTTAGGGTTAGGGTTAGGGTTGGAGTTAGGGTTAGTGTTGGAGCTAGGGTTAGGGTTGGGCTTGGAGCTAGGATTTTTCTGAGTGCACTGAACCAACTCCCGAGTCTCTAGGACATTCCTAAAAAAATTTGATTTTTTCCCATAGGAATGCATGGGTTAGGGTTATGGTTAGGGTTAGGGTTGGAGCTAGGGTTAGGGTTAGGGTTAGGGTTGGAGTTAGGGTTAGTGTTGGAGCTAGGGTTAGGGTTGGGCTTGGAGCTAGGACTTTTCTGAGTGCAATGAACCAACTCCCGAGTCTCTAGGACGTTCCTAAAAAAATTTGATTTTTTTCCCATAGGAATGCATGGGTTAGGGTTAGGGTTAGGGTTGGAGCTAGGGTTAGGGTTAGGGTTAGGGTTGGAGTTAGGGTTAGTGTTGGAGCTAGGGTTAGGGTTGGGCTTGGAGCTAGGATTTTTCTGAGTGCAATGAACCAACTCCCGAGTCTCTAGGACGTTCCTAAAAAAATTTGATTTTTTCCCATAGGAATGCATGGGTTAGGGTTATGGTTAGGGTTGGAGCTAGGGTTAGGGTTAGGGTTAGGGTTGGAGTTAGGGTTAGTGTTGGAGCTAGGGTTAGGGTTGGGCTTGGAGCTAGGATTTTTCTGAGTGCAATGAACCAACTCCCGAGTCTCTAGGACGTTCCTAAAAAAATTTGATTTTTTCCCATAGGAATGCATGGGTTAGGGTTAGGGTTAGGGTTGGAGCTAGGGTTAGGGTTAGGGTTAGGGTTGGAGTTAGGGTTAGTGTTGGAGCTAGGGTTAGGGTTGGGCTTGGAGCTAGGATTTTTCTGAGTGCACTGAACCAACTCCCGAGTCTCTAGGACATTCCTAAAAAAATTTGATTTTTTTCCCATAGGAATGCATGGGTTAGGGTTATGGTTAGGGTTAGGGTTGGAGCTAGGGTTAGGGTTAGGGTTAGGGTTAGGGTTAGGGTTGGAGTTAGGGTTAGTGTTGGAGCTAGGGTTAGGGTTGGGCTTGGAGCTAGGATTTTTCTGAGTGCACTGAACCAACTCCCGAGTCTCTAGGACATTCCTAAAAAAATTTGATTTTTTTCCCATAGGAATGCATGGGTTAGGGTTATGGTTAGGGTTAGGGTTGGAGCTAGGTTTAGGGTTAGGGTTAGGGTTGGAGTTAGGGTTAGTGTTGGAGCTAGGGTTAGGGTTGGGCTTGGAGCTAGGATTTTTCTGAGTGCAATGAACCAACTCCCGAGTCTCTAGGACGTTCCTAAAAAAATTTGATTTTTTTCCCATAGGAATGCATGGGTTAGGGTTAGGGTTAGGGTTGGAGCTAGGGTTAGGGTTAGGGTTAGGGTTGGAGTTAGGGTTAGTGTTGGAGCTAGGGTTAGGGTTGGGCTTGGAGCTAGGATTTTTCTGAGTGCACTGAACCAACTCCCGAGTCTCTAGGACATTCCTAAAAAAATTTGATTTTTTCCCATAGGAATGCATGGGTTAGGGTTAGGGTTAGGGTTGGAGCTAGGGTTAGGGTTAGGGTTAGGGTTGGAGTTAGGGTTAGTGTTGGAGCTAGGGTTAGGGTTGGGCTTGGAGCTAGGATTTTTCTGAGTGCACTGAACCAACTCCCGAGTCTCTAGGACATTCCTAAAAAAATTTGATTTTTTTCCCATAGGAATGCATGGGTTAGGGTTAGGGTTAGGGTTGGGGTAGGGTTAGGGTTAGGGTTAGGGTTGGAGTTAGGGTTAGTGTTGGAGCTAGGGTTAGGGTTGGGCTTGGAGCTAGGATTTTTCTGAGTGCAATGAACCAACTCCCGAGTCTCTTGGACGTTCCTAAAAAAATTTGATTTTTTCCCATAGGAATGCATGGGTTAGGGTTAGGGTTAGGGTTGGAGCTAGGGTTAGGGTTAGGGTTAGGGTTGGAGTTAGGGTTAGTGTTGGAGCTAGGGTTAGGGTTGGGCTTGGAGCTAGGATTTTTCTGAGTGCACTGAACCAACTCCCGAGTCTCTAGGACGTTCCTAAAAAAATTTGATTTTTTCCCATAGGAATGCATGGGTTAGGGTTAGGGTTAGGGTTGGAGCTAGGGTTAGGGTTAGGGTTAGGGTTGGAGTTAGGGTTAGTGTTGGAGCTAGGGTTAGGGTTGGGCTTGGAGCTAGGATTTTTCTGAGTGCACTGAACCAACTCCCGAGTCTCTAGGACATTCCTAAAAAAATTTGATTTTTTCCCATAGGAATGCATGGGTTAGGGTTAGGGTTAGGGTTGGAGCTAGGGTTAGGGTTAGGGTTAGGGTTGGAGTTAGGGTTAGTGTTGGAGCTAGGGTTAGGGTTGGGCTTGGAGCTAGGATTTTTCTGAGTGCACTGAACCAACTCCCGAGTCTCTAGGACATTCCTAAAAAAATTTGATTTTTTCCCATAGGAATGCATGGGTTAGGGTTATGGTTAGGGTTAGGGTTGGAGCTAGGGTTAGGGTTAGGGTTAGGGTTGGAGTTAGGGTTAGTGTTGGAGCTAGGGTTAGGGTTGGGCTTTGAGCTAGGATTTTTCTGAGTGCAATGAACCAACTCCCGAGTCTCTTGGACGTTCCTAAAAAAATTTGATTTTTTCCCATAGGAATGCATGGGTTAGGGTTAGGGTTAGGGTTGGAGCTAGGGTTAGGGTTAGGGTTAGGGTTGGAGTTAGGGTTAGTGTTGGAGCTAGGGTTAGGGTTGGGCTTTGAGCTAGGATTTTTCTGAGTGCAATGAACCAACTCCCGAGTCTCTAGGACATTCCTAAAAAAATTTGATTTTTCCCATAGGAATGCATGGTTTAGGGTTATGGTTGGAGCTAGGGTTAGGGTTAGGGTTAGGGTTGGAGTTAGGGTTAGTGTTGGAGCTAGGGTTAGGGTTGGGCTTGGAGCTAGGATTTTTCTGAGTGCACTGAACCAACTCCCGAGTCTCTAGGACATTCCTAAAAAAATTTGATTTTTTCCCATAGGAATGCATGGGTTAGGGTTATGGTTAGGGTTAGGGTTGGAGCTAGGGTTAGGGTTAGGGTTAGGGTTGGAGTTAGGGTTAGTGTTGGAGCTAGGGTTAGGGTTGGGCTTGGAGCTAGGACTTTTCTGAGTGCAATGAACCAACTCCCGAGTCTCTAGGACATTCCTAAAAAAATTTGATTTTTTCCCATAGGAATGCATGGGTTAGGGTTATGGTTAGGGTTAGGGTTGGAGCTAGGGTTAGGGTTAGGGTTAGGGTTGGAGTTAGGGTTAGTGTTGGAGCTAGGGTTAGGGTTGGGCTTGGAGCTAGGATTTTTCTGAGTGCACTGAACCAACTCCCGAGTCTCTAGGACATTCCTAAAAAAATTTGATTTTTTCCCATAGGAATGCATGGGTTAGGGTTAGGGTTAGGGTTAGGGTTGGAGCTAGGGTTAGGGTTAGGGTTGGAGTTAGGGTTAGTGTTGGAGCTAGGGTTAGGGTTGGGCTTGGAGCTAGGATTTTTCTGAGTGCAATGAACCAACTCCCGAGTCTCTTGGACGTTCCTAAAAAAATTTGATTTTTTCCCATAGGAATGCATGGGTTAGGGTTAGGGTTAGGGTTGGAGCTAGGGTTAGGGTTAGGGTTAGGGTTGGAGTTAGGGTTAGTGTTGGAGCTAGGGTTAGGGTTGGGCTTGGAGCTAGGATTTTTCTGAGTGCACTGAACCAACTCCCGAGTCTCTAGGACGTTCCTAAAAAAATTTGATTTTTTTCCCATAGGAATGCATGGGTTAGGGTTAGGGTTAGGGTTGGAGGTAGGGTTAGGGTTAGGGTTAGGGTTGGAGTTAGGGTTAGTGTTGGAGCTAGGGTTAGGGTTGGGCTTGGAGCTAGGATTTTTCTGAGTGCACTGAACCAACTCCCGAGTCTCTAGGACATTCCTAAAAAAATTTGATTTTTTCCCATAGGAATGCATGGGTTAGGGTTAGGGTTAGGGTTGGAGCTAGGGTTAGGGTTAGGGTTAGGGTTGGAGTTAGGGTTAGTGTTGGAGCTAGGGTTAGGGTTGGGCTTGGAGCTAGGATTTTTCTGAGTGCACTGAACCAACTCCCGAGTCTCTAGGACATTCCTAAAAAAATTTGATTTTTTCCCATAGGAATGCATGGGTTAGGGTTATGGTTAGGGTTAGGGTTGGAGCTAGGGTTAGGGTTAGGGTTAGGGTTGGAGTTAGGGTTAGTGTTGGAGCTAGGGTTAGGGTTGGGCTTGGAGCTAGGATTTTTCTGAGTGCACTGAACCAACTCCCGAGTCTCTAGGACATTCCTAAAAAAATTTGATTTTTTCCCATAGGAATGCATGGGTTAGGGTTATGGTTAGGGTTAGGGTTGGAGCTAGGGTTAGGGTTAGGGTTAGGGTTGGAGTTAGGGTTAGTGTTGGAGCTAGGGTTAGGGTTGGGCTTGGAGCTAGGATTTTCTGAGTGCAATGAACCAACTCCCGAGTCTCTAGGACATTCCTAAAAAAAATTGATTTTTTCCCATAGGAATGCATGGGTTAGGGTTAGGGTTAGGGTTGGAGCTAGGGTTAGGGTTAGGGTTAGGGTTGGAGTTAGGGTTAGTGTTGGAGCTAGGGTTAGGGTTGGGCTTGGAGCTAGGATTTTTCTGAGTGCAATGAACCAACTCCCGAGTCTCTAGGACGTTCCTAAAAAATTTGATTTTTTCCCATAGGAATGCATGGGTTAGGGTTATGGTTAGGGTTGGAGCTAGGGTTAGGGTTAGGGTTAGGGTTGGAGTTAGGGTTAGTGTTGGAGTTGGGTTAGGGTTGGGCTTGGAGCTAGGATTTTTCTGAGTGCACTGAACCAACTCCCGAGTCTCTAGGACGTTCCTAAAAAAATTTGATTTTTTTCCCATAGGAATGCATGGGTTAGGGTTAGGGTTAGGGTTGGAGCTAGGGTTAGGGTTAGGGTTAGGGTTGGAGTTAGGGTTAGTGTTGGAGCTAGGGTTAGGGTTGGGCTTGGAGCTAGGATTTTTCTGAGTGCACTGAACCAACTCCCGAGTCTCTAGGACATTCCTAAAAAAATTTGATTTTTTTCCCATAGGAATGCATGGGTTAGGGTTATGGTTAGGGTTAGGGTTGGAGCTAGGGTTAGGGTTAGGGTTAGGGTTGGAGTTAGGGTTAGTGTTGGAGCTAGGGTTAGGGTTGGGCTTGGAGCTAGGACTTTTCTGAGTGCAATGAACCAACTCCCGAGTCTCTAGGACATTCCTAAAAAAATTTGATTTTTTCCCATAGGAATGCATGGGTTAGGGTTATGGTTAGGGTTAGGGTTGGAGCTAGGGTTAGGGTTAGGGTTAGGGTTGGAGTTGGAGTTAGGGTTAGTGTTGGAGCTAGGGTTAGGGTTGGGCTTGGAGCTAGGATTTTTCTGAGTGCACTGAACCAACTCCCGAGTCTCTAGGACATTCCTAAAAAAATTTGATTTTTTCCCATAGGAATGCATGGGTTAGGGTTAGGGTTAGGGTTGGAGCTAGGGTTAGGGTTAGGGTTAGGGTTGGAGTTAGGGTTAGTGTTGGAGCTAGGGTTAGGGTTGGGCTTGGAGCTAGGATTTTTCTGAGTGCACTGAACCAACTCCCGAGTCTCTAGGACATTCCTAAAAAAATTTGATTTTTTCCCATAGGAATGCATGGGTTAGGGTTAGGGTTAGGGTTGGAGCTAGGGTTAGGGTTAGGGTTAGGGTTGGAGTTAGGGTTAGTGTTGGAGCTAGGGTTAGGGTTGGGCTTGGAGCTAGGATTTTTCTGAGTGCACTGAACCAACTCCCGAGTCTCTAGGACATTCCTAAAAAAATTTGATTTTTTTCCCATAGGAATGCATGGGTTAGGGTTATGGTTAGGGTTAGGGTTGGAGCTAGGGTTAGGGTTAGGGTTAGGGTTGGAGTTAGGGTTAGTGTTGGAGCTAGGGTTAGGGTTGGGCTTGGAGCTAGGATTTTTCTGAGTGCAATGAACCAACTCCCGAGTCTCTTGGACGTTCCTAAAAAAATTTGATTTTTTCCCATAGGAATGCATGGGTTAGGGTTAGGGTTAGGGTTGGAGCTAGGGTTAGGGTTAGGGTTAGGGTTGGAGTTAGGGTTAGTGTTGGAGCTAGGGTTAGGGTTGGGCTTGGAGCTAGGATTTTTCTGAGTGCACTGAACCAACTCCCGAGTCTCTAGGACGTTCCCAAAAAAATTTGATTTTTTCCCATAGGAATGCATGGGTTAGGGTTAGGGTTAGGGTTGGAGCTAGGGTTAGGGTTAGGGTTAGGGTTGGAGTTAGGGTTAGTGTTGGAGCTAGGGTTAGGGTTGGGCTTGGAGCTAGGATTTTTCTGAGTGCACTGAACCAACTCCCGAGTCTCTAGGACATTCCTAAAAAAATTTGATTTTTTCCCATAGGAATGCATGGGTTAGGGTTAGGGTTAGGGTTGGAGCTAGGGTTAGGGTTAGGGTTGGAGTTAGGGTTAGTGTTGGAGTTGGGTTAGGGTTGGGCTTGGAGCTAGGATTTTTCTGAGTGCAATGAACCAACTCCCGAGTCTCTAGGACGTTCCTAAAAAAATTTGATTTTTTCCCATAGGAATGCATGGGTTAGGGTTAGGGTTAGGGTTGGAGCTAGGGTTAGGGTTAGGGTTAGGGTTGGAGTTAGGGTTAGTGTTGGAGCTAGGGTTAGGGTTGGGCTTGGAGCTAGGATTTTTCTGAGTGCACTGAACCAACTCCCGAGTCTCTAGGACATTCCTAAAAAAATTTGATTTTTTCCCATAGGAATGCATGGGTTAGGGTTATGGTTAGGGTTAGGGTTGGAGCTAGGGTTAGGGTTAGGGTTAGGGTTGGAGTTAGGGTTAGTGTTGGAGCTAGGGTTAGGGTTGGGCTTGGAGCTAGGACTTTTCTGAGTGCAATGAACCAACTCCCGAGTCTCTAGGAAATTCCTAAAAAAATTTGATTTTTTCCCATAGGAATGCATGGGTTAGGGTTATGGTTAGGGTTAGGGTTGGAGCTAGGGTTAGGGTTAGGGTTAGGGTTGGAGTTAGGGTTAGTGTTGGAGCTAGGGTTAGGGTTGGGCTTGGAGCTAGGATTTTTCTGAGTGCACTGAACCAACTCCCGAGTCTCTAGGACATTCCTAAAAAAATTTGATTTTTTTCCCATAGGAATGCATGGGTTAGGGTTAGGGTTAGGGTTGGAGCTAGGGTTAGGGTTAGGGTTAGGGTTGGAGTTAGGGTTAGTGTTGGAGCTAGGGTTAGGGTTGGGCTTGGAGCTAGGATTTTTCTGAGTGCACTGAACCAACTCCCGAGTCTCTAGGACATTCCTAAAAAAATTTGATTTTTTCCCATAGGAATGCATGGGTTAGGGTTAGGGTTAGGGTTGGAGCTAGGGTTAGGGTTAGGGTTAGGGTTGGAGTTAGGGTTAGTGTTGGAGCTAGGGTTAGGGTTGGGCTTGGAGCTAGGATTTTTCTGAGTGCACTGAACCAACTCCCGAGTCTCTAGGACATTCCTAAAAAAATTTGATTTTTTTCCCATAGGAATGCATGGGTTAGGGTTATGGTTAGGGTTAGGGTTGGAGCTAGGGTTAGGGTTAGGGTTAGGGTTGGAGTTAGGGTTAGTGTTGGAGCTAGGGTTAGGGTTGGGCTTGGAGCTAGGATTTTTCTGAGTGCAATGAACCAACTCCCGAGTCTCTTGGACGTTCCTAAAAAAATTTGATTTTTTCCCATAGGAATGCATGGGTTAGGGTTAGGGTTAGGGTTGGAGCTAGGGTTAGGGTTAGGGTTAGGGTTGGAGTTAGGGTTAGTGTTGGAGCTAGGGTTAGGGTTGGGCTTGGAGCTAGGATTTTTCTGAGTGCACTGAACCAACTCCTGAGTCTCTAGGACGTTCCTAAAAAAATTTGATTTTTTCCCATAGGAATGCATGGGTTAGGGTTAGGGTTAGGGTTGGAGCTAGGGTTAGGGTTAGGGTTAGGGTTGGAGTTAGGGTTAGTGTTGGAGCTAGGGTTAGGGTTGGGCTTGGAGCTAGGATTTTTCTGAGTGCACTGAACCAACTCCCGAGTCTCTAGGACATTCCTAAAAAAATTTGATTTTTTCCCATAGGAATGCATGGGTTAGGGTTAGGGTTAGGGTTGGAGCTAGGGTTAGGGTTAGGGTTAGGGTTGGAGTTAGGGTTAGTGTTGGAGCTAGGGTTAGGGTTGGGCTTGGAGCTAGGATTTTTCTGAGTGCACTGAACCAACTCCCGAGTCTCTAGGACATTCCTAAAAAAATTTGATTTTTTCCCATAGGAATGCATGGGTTAGGGTTATGGTTAGGGTTAGGGTTGGAGCTAGGGTTAGGGTTAGGGTTAGGGTTGGAGTTAGGGTTAGTGTTGGAGCTAGGGTTAGGGTTGGGCTTGGAGCTAGGACTTTTCTGAGTGCAATGAACCAACTCCCGAGTCTCTAGGACGTTCCCTAAAAAAATTTGATTTTTTCCCATAGGAATGCATGGGTTATGGTTAGGGTTAGGGTTGGAGCTAGGGTTAGGGTTAGGGTTAGGGTTGGAGTTAGGGTTAGTGTTGGAGCTAGGGTTAGGGTTGGGCTTGGAGCTAGGATTTTTCTGAGTGCACTGAACCAACTCCCGAGTCTCTAGGACATTCCTAAAAAAATTTGATTTTTTCCCATAGGAATGCATGGGTTAGGGTTAGGGTTAGGGTTGGAGCTAGGGTTAGGGTTAGGGTTAGGGTTGGAGTTAGGGTTAGTGTTGGAGCTAGGGTTAGGGTTGGGCTTGGAGCTAGGATTTTTCTGAGTGCACTGAACCAACTCCCGAGTCTCTAGGACATTCCTAAAAAAATTTGATTTTTTCCCATAGGAATGCATGGGTTAGGGTTATGGTTAGGGTTAGGGTTGGAGCTAGGGTTAGGGTTAGGGTTAGGGTTGGAGTTAGGGTTAGTGTTGGAGCTAGGGTTAGGGTTGGGCTTGGAGCTAGGATTTTTCTGAGTGCAATGAACCAACTCCCGAGTCTCTAGGACTTTCCTAAAAAAATTTGATTTTTTCCCATAGGAATGCATGGGTTAGGGTTAGGGTTAGGGTTGGAGCTAGGGTTAGGGTTAGGGTTAGGGTTGGAGTTAGGGTTAGTGTTGGAGCTAGGGTTAGGGTTGGGCTTGGAGCTAGGATTTTTCTGAGTGCACTGAACCAACTCCCGAGTCTCTAGGACATTCCTAAAAAAATTTGATTTTTTCCCATAGGAATGCATGGGTTAGGGTTAGGGTTAGGGTTGGAGCTAGGGTTAGGGTTAGGGTTAGGGTTGGAGTTAGGGTTAGTGTTGGAGCTAGGGTTAGGGTTGGGCTTGGAGCTAGGATTTTTCTGAGTGCACTGAACCAACTCCCGAGTCTCTAGGACATTCCTAAAAAAATTTGATTTTTTCCCATAGGAATGCATGGGTTATGGTTAGGGTTAGGGTTGGAGCTAGGGTTAGGGTTAGGGTTAGGGTTGGAGTTAGGGTTAGTGTTGGAGCTAGGGTTAGGGTTGGGCTTGGAGCTAGGATTTTTCTGAGTGCACTGAACCAACTCCCGAGTCTCTAGGACATTCCTAAAAAAATTTGATTTTTTCCCATAGGAATGCATGGGTTAGGGTTATGGTTAGGGTTAGGGTTGGAGCTAGGGTTAGGGTTAGGGTTAGGGTTGGAGTTAGGGTTAGTGTTGGAGCTAGGGTTAGGGTTGGGCTTGGAGCTAGGATTTTTCTGAGTGCAATGAACCAACTCCCGAGTCTCTAGGACGTTCCTAAAAAAATTTGATTTTTTCCCATAGGAATGCATGGTTTAGGGTTATGGTTAGGGGCTAGGGTTAGGGTTAGGGTTAGGGTTAGGGTTGGAGTTAGGGTTAGTGTTGGAGCTAGGGTTAGGGTTGGGCTTGGAGCTAGGATTTTTCTGAGTGCACTGAACCAACTCCCGAGTCTCTAGGACGTTCCTAAAAAAATTTGATTTTTTCCCATAGGAATGCATGGGTTAGGGTTATGGTTAGGGTTGGAGCTAGGGTTAGGGTTAGGGTTAGGGTTGGAGTTAGGGTTAGTGTTGGAGCTAGGGTTAGGGTTGGGCTTGGAGCTAGGATTTTTCTGAGTGCAATGAACCAACTCCCGAGTCTCTAGGACGTTCCTAAAAAAATTTGATTTTTTCCCATAGGAATGCATGGGTTAGGGTTAGGGTTAGGGTTGGAGCTAGGGTTAGGGTTAGGGTTAGGGTTGGAGTTAGGGTTAGTGTTGGAGCTAGGGTTAGGGTTGGGCTTGGAGCTAGGACTTTTCTGAGTGCACTGAACCAACTCCCGAGTCTCTAGGACGTTCCCTAAAAAAATTTGATTTTTTCCCATAGGAATGCATGGGTTAGGGTTAGGGTTAGGGTTGGAGCTAGGGTTAGGGTTAGGGTTAGGGTTGGAGTTAGGGTTAGTGTTGGAGCTAGGGTTAGGGTTGGGCTTGGAGCTAGGATTTTTCTGAGTGCACTGAACCAACTCCCGAGTCTCTAGGACATTCCTAAAAAAATTTGATTTTTTCCCATAGGAATGCATGGGTTAGGGTTAGGGTTAGGGTTGGAGCTAGGGTTAGGGTTAGGGTTAGGGTTGGAGTTAGGGTTAGTGTTGGAGCTAGGGTTAGGGTTGGGCTTGGAGCTAGGATTTTTCTGAGTGCACTGAACCAACTCCCGAGTCTCTAGGACATTCCTAAAAAAATTTGATTTTTTCCCATAGGAATGCATGGGTTAGGGTTAGGGTTAGGGTTAGGGTTGGAGCTAGGGTTAGGGTTAGGGTTGGAGTTAGGGTTAGTGTTGGAGCTAGGGTTAGGGTTGGGCTTGGAGCTAGGAATTTTCTGAGTGCAATGAACCAACTCCCGAGTCTCTAGGACGTTCCTAAAAAAATTTGATTTTTTTCCCATAGGAATGCATGGGTTAGGGTTAGGGTTAGGGTTGGAGCTAGGGTTAGGGTTAGGGTTAGGGTTGGAGTTAGGGTTAGTGTTGGAGCTAGGGTTAGGGTTGGGCTTGGAGCTAGGATTTTTCTGAGTGCACTGAACCAACTCCCGAGTCTCTAGGACGTTCCTAAAAAAATTTGATTTTTTCCCATAGGAATGCATGGGTTAGGGTTAGGGTTAGGGTTGGAGGTAGGGTTAGGGTTAGGGTTAGGGTTGGAGTTAGGGTTAGTGTTGGAGCTAGGGTTAGGGTTGGGCTTGGAGCTAGGATTTTTCTGAGTGCACTGAACCAACTCCCGAGTCTCTAGGACATTCCTAAAAAAATTTGATTTTTTTCCCATAGGAATGCATGGGTTAGGGTTATGGTTAGGGTTAGGGTTGGAGCTAGGGTTAGGGTTAGGGTTAGGGTTGGAGTTAGGGTTAGTGTTGGAGCTAGGGTTAGGGTTGGGCTTGGAGCTAGGACTTTTCTGAGTGCAATGAACCAACTCCCGAGTCTCTTGGACGTTCCCTAAAAAAATTTGATTTTTTCCCATAGGAATGCATGGGTTAGGGTTAGGGTTAGGGTTGGAGCTAGGGTTAGGGTTAGGGTTAGGGTTGGAGTTAGGGTTAGTGTTGGAGCTAGGGTTAGGGTTGGGCTTGGAGCTAGGATTTTTCTGAGTGCACTGAACCAACTCCCGAGTCTCTAGGACATTCCTAAAAAAATTTGATTTTTTCCCATAGGAATGCATGGGTTAGGGTTAGGGTTAGGGTTGGAGCTAGGGTTAGGGTTAGGGTTAGGGTTGGAGTTAGGGTTAGTGTTGGAGCTAGGGTTAGGGTTGGGCTTGGAGCTAGGATTTTTCTGAGTGCACTGAACCAACTCCCGAGTCTCTAGGACATTCCTAAAAAAATTTGATTTTTTTCCCATAGGAATGCATGGGTTAGGGTTATGGTTAGGGTTAGGGTTGGAGCTAGGGTTAGGGTTAGGGTTAGGGTTGGAGTTAGGGTTAGTGTTGGAGCTAGGGTTAGGGTTGGGCTTGGAGCTAGGATTTTTCTGAGTGCAATGAACCAACTCCCGAGTCTCTAGGACTTTCCTAAAAAAATTTGATTTTTTCCCATAGGAATGCATGGGTTAGGGTTAGGGTTAGGGTTGGAGCTAGGGTTAGGGTTAGGGTTAGGGTTGGAGTTAGGGTTAGTGTTGGAGCTAGGGTTAGGGTTGGGCTTGGAGCTAGGATTTTTCTGAGTGCACTGAACCAACTCCCGAGTCTCTAGGACATTCCTAAAAAAATTTGATTTTTTCCCATAGGAATGCATGGGTTAGGGTTAGGGTTAGGGTTGGAGCTAGGGTTAGGGTTAGGGTTAGGGTTGGAGTTAGGGTTAGTGTTGGAGCTAGGGTTAGGGTTGGGCTTGGAGCTAGGATTTTTCTGAGTGCACTGAACCAACTCCCGAGTCTCTAGGACATTCCTAAAAAAATTTGATTTTTTCCCATAGGAATGCATGGGTTAGGGTTAGGGTTAGGGTTGGAGCTAGGGTTAGGGTTAGGGTTAGGGTTGGAGTTAGGGTTAGTGTTGGAGCTAGGGTTAGGGTTGGGCTTGGAGCTAGGATTTTTCTGAGTGCACTGAACCAACTCCCGAGTCTCTAGGACATTCCTAAAAAAATTTGATTTTTTCCCATAGGAATGCATGGGTTAGGGTTAGGGTTAGGGTTAGGGTTGGAGCTAGGGTTAGGGTTAGGGTTAGGGTTGGAGTTAGGGTTAGTGTTGGAGCTAGGGTTAGGGTTGGGCTTGGAGCTAGGATTTTTCTGAGTGCACTGAACCAACTCCCAGAGTCTCTAGGACATTCCTAAAAAAATTTGATTTTTTTCCCATAGGAATGCATGGGTTAGGGTTATGGTTAGGGTTGGAGCTAGGGTTAGGGTTAGGGTTAGGGTTGGAGTTAGGGTTAGTGTTGGAGCTAGGGTTAGGGTTGGGCTTGGAGCTAGGATTTTTCTGAGTGCAATGAACCAACTCCCGAGTCTCTAGGACGTTCCTAAAAAAATTTGATTTTTTCCCATAGGAATGCATGGGTTAGGGTTAGGGTTAGGGTTGGAGCTAGGGTTAGGGTTAGGGTTAGGGTTGGAGTTAGGGTTAGTGTTGGAGCTAGGGTTAGGGTTGGGCTTGGAGCTAGGACTTTTCTGAGTGCAATGAACCAACTCCCGAGTCTCTAGGACGTTCCCTAAAAAAATTTGATTTTTTCCCATAGGAATGCATGGGTTAGGGTTAGGGTTAGGGTTGGAGCTAGGGTTAGGGTTAGGGTTAGGGTTGGAGTTAGGGTTAGTGTTGGAGCTAGGGTTAGGGTTGGGCTTGGAGCTAGGATTTTTCTGAGTGCACTGAACCAACTCCCGAGTCTCTAGGACATTCCTAAAAAAATTTGATTTTTTCCCATAGGAATGCATGGGTTAGGGTTAGGGTTAGGGTTGGAGCTAGGGTTAGGGTTAGGGTTAGGGTTGGAGTTAGGGTTAGTGTTGGAGCTAGGGTTAGGGTTGGGCTTGGAGCTAGCATTTTTCTGAGTGCACTGAACCAACTCCCGAGTCTCTAGGACATTCCTAAAAAAATTTGATTTTTTTCCCATAGGAATGCATGGGTTAGGGTTAGGGTTAGGGTTAGGGTTGGAGCTAGGGTTAGGGTTAGGGTTGGAGTTAGGGTTAGTGTTGGAGCTAGGGTTAGGGTTGGGCTTGGAGCTAGGATTTTTCTGAGTGCAATGAACCAACTCCCGAGTCTCTTGGACGTTCCTAAAAAAATTTGATTTTTTCCCATAGGAATGCATGGGTTAGGGTTAGGGTTAGGGTTGGAGCTAGGGTTAGGGTTAGGGTTAGGGTTGGAGTTAGGGTTAGTGTTGGAGCTAGGGTTAGGGTTGGGCTTGGAGCTAGGATTTTTCTGAGTGCACTGAACCAACTCCCGAGTCTCTAGGACATTCCTAAAAAAATTTGATTTTTTCCCATAGGAATGCATGGGTTAGGGTTAGGGTTAGGGTTGGAGGTAGGGTTAGGGTTAGGGTTAGGGTTGGAGTTAGGGTTAGTGTTGGAGCTAGGGTTAGGGTTGGGCTTGGAGCTAGGATTTTTCTGAGTGCACTGAACCAACTCCCGAGTCTCTAGGACATTCCTAAAAAAATTTGATTTTTTCCCATAGGAATGCATGGGTTAGGGTTAGGGTTAGGGTTGGAGCTAGGGTTAGGGTTAGGGTTAGGGTTGGAGTTAGGGTTAGTGTTGGAGCTAGGGTTAGGGTTGGGCTTGGAGCTAGGATTTTTCTGAGTGCACTGAACCAACTCCCGAGTCTCTAGGACATTCCTAAAAAATTTGATTTTTTCCCATAGGAATGCATGGGTTAGGGTTATGGTTAGGGTTAGGGTTGGAGCTAGGGTTAGGGTTAGGGTTAGGGTTGGAGTTAGGGTTAGTGTTGGAGCTAGGGTTAGGGTTGGGCTTGGAGCTAGGATTTTTCTGAGTGCACTGAACCAACTCCCGAGTCTCTAGGACATTCCTAAAAAAATTTGATTTTTTCCCATAGGAATGCATGGGTTAGGGTTATGGTTAGGGTTAGGGTTGGAGCTAGGGTTAGGGTTAGGGTTAGGGTTGGAGTTAGGGTTAGTGTTGGAGCTAGGGTTAGGGTTGGGCTTGGAGCTAGGACTTTTCTGAGTGCAATGAACCAACTCCCGAGTCTCTTGGACGTTCCTAAAAAAATTTGATTTTTTCCCATAGGAATGCATGGGTTAGGGTTAGGGTTAGGGTTGGAGCTAGGGTTAGGGTTAGGGTTAGGGTTGGAGTTAGGGTTAGTGTTGGAGCTAGGGTTAGGGTTGGGCTTGGAGCTAGGATTTTTCTGAGTGCAATGAACCAACTCCCGAGTCTCTAGGACATTCCTAAAAAAATTTGATTTTTTCCCATAGGAATGCATGGGTTAGGGTTATGGTTAGGGTTGGAGCTAGGGTTAGGGTTAGGGTTAGGGTTGGAGTTAGGGTTAGTGTTGGAGCTAGGGTTAGGGTTGGGCTTGGAGCTAGGATTTTTCTGAGTGCAATGAACCAACTCCCGAGTCTCTAGGACATTCCTAAAAAAATTTGATTTTTTTCCCATAGGAATGCATGGGTTAGGGTTAGGGTTAGGGTTGGAGCTAGGGTTAGGGTTAGGGTTAGGGTTGGAGTTAGGGTTAGTGTTGGAGCTAGGGTTAGGGTTGGGCTTGGAGCTAGGATTTTTCTGAGTGCACTGAACCAACTCCCGAGTCTCTAGGACATTCCTAAAAAAATTTGATTTTTTCCCATAGGAATGCATGGGTTAGGGTTATGGTTAGGGTTAGGGTTGGAGCTAGGGTTAGGGTTAGGGTTAGGGTTGGAGTTAGGGTTAGTGTTGGAGCTAGGGTTAGGGTTGGGCTTGGAGCTAGGATTTTTCTGAGTGCAATGAACCAACTCCCGAGTCTCTAGGACATTCCTAAAAAAATTTGATTTTTTCCCATAGGAATGCATGGGTTAGGGTTATGGTTAGGGTTAGGGTTGGAGCTAGGGTTAGGGTTAGGGTTAGGGTTAGGGTTGGAGTTAGGGTTAGTGTTGGAGCTAGGGTTAGGGTTGGGCTTGGAGCTAGGATTTTTCTGAGTGCACTGAACCAACTCCCGAGTCTCTAGGACATTCCTAAAAAATTTGATTTTTTCCCATAGGAATGCATGGGTTAGGGTTAGGGTTAGGGTTAGGGTTGGAGCTAGGGTTAGGGTTAGGGTTGGAGTTAGGGTTAGTGTTGGAGCTAGGGTTAGGGTTGGGCTTGGAGCTAGGATTTTTCTGAGTGCAATGAACCAACTCCCGAGTCTCTTGGACGTTCCTAAAAAAATTTGATTTTTTCCCATAGGAATGCATGGGTTAGGGTTAGGGTTAGGGTTGGAGCTAGGGTTAGGGTTAGGGTTAGGGTTGGAGTTAGGGTTAGTGTTGGAGCTAGGGTTAGGGTTGGGCTTGGAGCTAGGATTTTTCTGAGTGCAATGAACCAACTCCCGAGTCTCTTGGACGTTCCCTAAAAAAATTTGATTTTTTCCCATAGGAATGCATGGTTTAGGGTTAGGGTTAGGGTTGGAGCTAGGGTTAGGGTTAGGGTTAGGGTTGGAGTTAGGGTTAGTGTTGGAGCTAGGGTTAGGGTTGGGCTTGGAGCTAGGATTTTTCTGAGTGCAATGAACCAACTCCCGAGTCTCTAGGACGTTCCTAAAAAAATTTGATTTTTTCCCATAGGAATGCATGGGTTAGGGTTATGGTTAGGGTTGGAGCTAGGGTTAGGGTTAGGGTTAGGGTTGGAGTTAGGGTTAGTGTTGGAGCTAGGGTTAGGGTTGGGCTTGGAGCTAGGATTTTTCTGAGTGCAATGAACCAACTCCCGAGTCTCTAGGACATTCCTAAAAAAATTTGATTTTTTCCCATAGGAATGCATGGGTTAGGGTTAGGGTTAGGGTTGGAGCTAGGGTTAGGGTTAGGGTTAGGGTTGGAGTTAGGGTTAGTGTTGGAGCTAGGGTTAGGGTTGGGCTTGGAGCTAGGATTTTTCTGAGTGCACTGAACCAACTCCCGAGTCTCTAGGACATTCCTAAAAAAATTTGATTTTTTCCCATAGGAATGCATGGGTTAGGGTTATGGTTAGGGTTAGGGTTGGAGCTAGGGTTAGGGTTAGGGTTAGGGTTGGAGTTAGGGTTAGTGTTGGAGCTAGGGTTAGGGTTGGGCTTGGAGCTAGGACTTTTCTGAGTGCACTGAACCAACTCCCGAGTCTCTTGGACGTTCCCTAAAAAAATTTGATTTTTTTCCCATAGGAATGCATGGGTTAGGGTTAGGGTTAGGGTTGGAGCTAGGGTTAGGGTTAGGGTTAGGGTTGGAGTTAGGGTTAGTGTTGGAGCTAGGGTTAGGGTTGGGCTTGGAGCTAGGATTTTTCTGAGTGCACTGAACCAACTCCCGAGTCTCTAGGACATTCCTAAAAAAATTTGATTTTTTCCCATAGGAATGCATGGGTTAGGGTTAGGGTTAGGGTTGGAGCTAGGGTTAGGGTTAGGGTTAGGGTTGGAGTTAGGGTTAGTGTTGGAGCTAGGGTTAGGGTTGGGCTTGGAGCTAGGATTTTTCTGAGTGCACTGAACCAACTCCCGAGTCTCTAGGACATTCCTAAAAAAATTTGATTTTTTTCCCATAGGAATGCATGGGTTAGGGTTAGGGTTAGGGTTGGAGCTAGGGTTAGGGTTAGGGTTGGAGTTAGGGTTAGTGTTGGAGCTAGGGTTAGGGTTGGGCTTGGAGCTAGGATTTTTCTGAGTGCAATGAACCAACTCCCGAGTCTCTTGGACGTTCCTAAAAAAATTTGATTTTTTCCCATAGGAATGCATGGGTTAGGGTTAGGGTTAGGGTTGGAGCTAGGGTTAGGGTTAGGGTTAGGGTTGGAGTTAGGGTTAGTGTTGGAGCTAGGGTTAGGGTTGGGCTTGGAGCTAGGATTTTTCTGAGTGCACTGAACCAACTCCCGAGTCTCTAGGACGTTCCTAAAAAAATTTGATTTTTTCCCATAGGAATGCATGGGTTAGGGTTAGGGTTAGGGTTGGAGCTAGGGTTAGGGTTAGGGTTAGGGTTGGAGTTAGGGTTAGTGTTGGAGCTAGGGTTAGGGTTGGGCTTGGAGCTAGGATTTTTCTGAGTGCACTGAACCAACTCCCGAGTCTCTAGGACATTCCTAAAAAAATTTGATTTTTTCCCATAGGAATGCATGGGTTAGGGTTAGGGTTAGGGTTGGAGCTAGGGTTAGGGTTAGGGTTAGGGTTGGAGTTAGGGTTAGTGTTGGAGCTAGGGTTAGGGTTGGGCTTGGAGCTAGGATTTTTCTGAGTGCACTGAACCAACTCCCGAGTCTCTAGGACATTCCTAAAAAAATTTGATTTTTTCCCATAGGAATGCATGGGTTAGGGTTATGGTTAGGGTTAGGGTTGGAGCTAGGGTTAGGGTTAGGGTTAGGGTTGGAGTTAGGGTTAGTGTTGGAGCTAGGGTTAGGGTTGGGCTTGGAGCTAGGATTTTTCTGAGTGCAATGAACCAACTCCCGAGTCTCTAGGACGTTCCTAAAAAAATTTGATTTTTTTCCCATAGGAATGCATGGGTTAGGGTTAGGGTTAGGGTTGGAGCTAGGGTTAGGGTTAGGGTTGGAGTTAGGGTTAGTGTTGGAGCTAGGGTTAGGGTTGGGCTTGGAGCTAGGATTTTTCTGAGTGCAATGAACCAACTCCCGAGTCTCTAGGACGTTCCTAAAAAATTTGTTTTTTTTCCCATAGGAATGCATGGGTTAGGGTTATGGTTAGGGTTGGAGCTAGGGTTAGGGTTAGGGTTAGGGTTGGAGTTAGGGTTAGTGTTGGAGTTGGGTTAGGGTTGGGCTTGGAGCTAGGATTTTTCTGAGTGCAATGAACCAACTCCCGAGTCTCTAGGACGTTCCTAAAAAAATTTGATTTTTTCCCATAGGAATGCATGGGTTAGGGTTAGGGTTAGGGTTGGAGCTAGGGTTAGGGTTAGGGTTAGGGTTGGAGTTAGGGTTAGTGTTGGAGCTAGGGTTAGGGTTGGGCTTGGAGCTAGGATTTTTCTGAGTGCACTGAACCAACTCCCGAGTCTCTAGGACATTCCTAAAAAAATTTGATTTTTTCCCATAGGAATGCATGGGTTAGGGTTATGGTTAGGGTTAGGGTTGGAGCTAGGGTTAGGGTTAGGGTTAGGGTTGGAGTTAGGGTTAGTGTTGGAGCTAGGGTTAGGGTTGGGCTTGGAGCTAGGACTTTTCTGAGTGCAATGAACCAACTCCCGAGTCTCTAGGACATTCCTAAAAAAATTTGATTTTTTCCCATAGGAATGCATGGTTTAGGGTTATGGTTAGGGTTAGGGTTGGAGCTAGTGTTAGGGTTAGGGTTAGGGTTAGGGTTAGGGTTGGAGTTAGGGTTAGTGTTGGATCTAGGGTTAGGGTTGGGCTTGGAGCTAGGATTTTTCTGAGTGCACTGAACCAACTCCCGAGTCTCTAGGACATTCCTAAAAAAATTTGATTTTTTCCCATAGGAATGCATGGGTTAGGGTTATGGTTAGGGTTAGGGTTGGAGCTAGGGTTAGGGTTAGGGTTAGGGTTGGAGTTAGGGTTAGTGTTGGAGCTAGGGTTAGGGTTGGGCTTGGAGCTAGGACTTTTCTGAGTGCAATGAACCAACTCCCGAGTCTCTTGGACGTTCCCTAAAAAAATTTGATTTTTTCCCATAGGAATGCATGGGTTAGGGTTAGGGTTAGGGTTGGAGCTAGGGTTAGGGTTAGGGTTAGGGTTGGAGTTAGGGTTAGTGTTGGAGCTAGGGTTAGGGTTGGGCTTGGAGCTAGGATTTTCTGAGTGCACTGAACCAACTCCCGAGTCTCTAGGACATTCCTAAAAAAATTTGATTTTTTCCCATAGGAATGCATGGGTTAGGGTTAGGGTTAGGGTTGGAGCTAGGGTTAGGGTTAGGGTTAGGGTTGGAGTTAGGGTTAGTGTTGGAGCTAGGGTTAGGGTTGGGCTTGGAGCTAGGATTTTTCTGAGTGCACTGAACCAACTCCCGAGTCTCTAGGACATTCCTAAAAAAATTTGATTTTTTCCCATAGGAATGCATGGGTTAGGGTTAGGGTTAGGGTTAGGGTTGGAGCTAGGGTTAGGGTTAGGGTTGGAGTTAGGGTTAGTGTTGGAGCTAGGGTTAGGGTTGGGCTTGGAGCTAGGATTTTTCTGAGTGCAATGAACCAACTCCCGAGTCTCTAGGACGTTCCTAAAAAAATTTGATTTTTTCCCATAGGAATGCATGGGTTAGGGTTAGGGTCAGGGTTGGAGCTAGGGTTAGGGTTAGGGTTAATGTTGGAGTTAGGGTTAGTGTTGGAGCTAGGGTTAGGGTTGGGCTTGGAGCTAGGATTTTTCTGAGTGCACTGAACCAACTCCCGAGTCTCTAGGACGTTCCTAAAAAAATTTGATTTTTTCCCATAGGAATGCATGGGTTAGGGTTAGGGTTAGGGTTGGAGGTAGGGTTAGGGTTAGGGTTAGGGTTGGAGTTAGGGTTAGTGTTGGAGCTAGGGTTAGGGTTGGGCTTGGAGCTAGGATTTTTCTGAGTGCACTGAACCAACTCCCGAGTCTCTAGGACATTCCTAAAAACATTTGATTTTTTCCCATAGGAATGCATGGGTTAGGGTTAGGGTTAGGGTTGGAGCTAGGGTTAGGGTTAGGGTTAGGGTTGGAGTTAGGGTTAGTGTTGGAGCTAGGGTTAGGGTTGGGCTTGGAGCTAGGATTTTTCTGAGTGCACTGAACCAACTCCCGAGTCTCTAGGACATTCCTAAAAAAATTTGATTTTTTCCCATAGGAATGCATGGGTTAGGGTTATGGTTAGGGTTAGGGTTGGAGCTAGGGTTAGGGTTAGGGTTAGGGTTGGAGTTAGGGTTAGTGTTGGAGCTAGGGTTAGGGTTGGGCTTGGAGCTAGGACTTTTCTGAGTGCAATGAACCAACTCCCGAGTCTCTTGGACGTTCCTAAAAAAATTTGATTTTTTCCCATAGGAATGCATGGGTTAGGGTTAGGGTTAGGGTTGGAGCTAGGGTTAGGGTTAGGGTTAGGGTTGGAGTTAGGGTTAGTGTTGGAGCTAGGGTTAGGGTTGGGCTTGGAGCTAGGATTTTTCTGAGTGCAATGAACCAACTCCCGAGTCTCTAGGACGTTCCTTAAAAAATTTGATTTTTTCCCATAGGAATGCATGGGTTAGGGTTATGGTTAGGGTTGGAGCTAGGGTTAGGGTTAGGGTTAGGGTTGGAGTTAGGGTTAGTGTTGGAGCTAGGGTTAGGGTTGGGCTTGGAGCTAGGATTTTTCTGAGTGCAATGAACCAACTCCCGAGTCTCTAGGACGTTCCTAAAAAAATTTGATTTTTTCCCATAGGAATGCATGGGTTAGGGTTAGGGTTAGGGTTGGAGCTAGGGTTAGGGTTAGGGTTAGGGTTGGAGTTAGGGTTAGTGTTGGAGCTAGGGTTAGGGTTGGGCTTGGAGCTAGGATTTTTCTGAGTGCACTGAACCAACTCCCGAGTCTCTAGGACATTCCTAAAAAAATTTGATTTTTTCCCATAGGAATGCATGGGTTAGGGTTATGGTTAGGGTTAGGGTTGGAGCTAGGGTTAGGGTTAGGGTTAGGGTTGGAGTTAGGGTTAGTGTTGGAGCTAGGGTTAGGGTTGGGCTTGGAGCTAGGACTTTTCTGAGTGCAATGAACCAACTCCCGAGTCTCTAGGACATTCCTAAAAAAATTTGATTTTTTCCCATAGGAATGCATGGTTTAGGGTTATGGTTAGGGTTAGGGTTGGAGCTAGGGTTAGGGTTAGGGTTAGGGTTAGGGTTGGAGTTAGGGTTAGTGTTGGAGCTAGGGTTAGGGTTGGGCTTGGAGCTAGGATTTTTCTGAGTGCACTGAACCAACTCCCGAGTCTCTAGGACATTCCTAAAAAAAATTGATTTTTTTCCCATAGGAATGCATGGGTTAGGGTTAGGGTTAGGGTTAGGGTTGGAGCTAGGGTTAGGGTTAGGGTTGGAGTTAGGGTTAGTGTTGGAGCTAGGGTTAGGGTTGGGCTTGGAGCTAGGATTTTTCTGAGTGCAATGAACCAACTCCCGAGTCTCTAGGACGTTCCTAAAAAAATTTGATTTTTTCCCATAGGAATGCATGGGTTAGGGTTAGGGTTAGGGTTGGAGCTAGGGTTAGGGTTAGGGTTAGGGTTGGAGTTAGGGTTAGTGTTGGAGCTAGGGTTAGGGTTGGGCTTGGAGCTAGGATTTTTCTGAGTGCACTGAACCAACTCCCGAGTCTCTAGGACGTTCCTAAAAAAATTTGATTTTTTCCCATAGGAATGCATGGGTTAGGGTTAGGGTTAGGGTTGGAGCTAGGGTTAGGGTTAGGGTTAGGGTTGGAGTTAGGGTTAGTGTTGGAGCTAGGGTTAGGGTTGGGCTTGGAGCTAGGATTTTTCTGAGTGCACTGAACCAACTCCCGAGTCTCTAGGACATTCCTAAAAAAATTTGATTTTTTCCCATAGGAATGCATGGGTTAGGGTTAGGGTTAGGGTTGGAGCTAGGGTTAGGGTTAGGGTTAGGGTTGGAGTTAGGGTTAGTGTTGGAGCTAGGGTTAGGGTTGGGCTTGGAGCTAGGATTTTTCTGAGTGCACTGAACCAACTCCCGAGTCTCTAGGACATTCCTAAAAAAATTTGATTTTTTCCCATAGGAATGCATGGGTTAGGGTTATGGTTAGGGTTAGGGTTGGAGCTAGGGTTAGGGTTAGGGTTAGGGTTGGAGTTAGGGTTAGTGTTGGAGCTAGGGTTAGGGTTGGGCTTGGAGCTAGGATTTTTGTGAGTGCACTGAACCAACTCCCGAGTCTCTAGGACATTCCTAAAAAAATTTGATTTTTTCCCATAGGAATGCATGGGTTAGGGTTATGGTTAGGGTTAGGGTTGGAGCTAGGGTTAGGGTTAGGGTTAGGGTTGGAGTTAGGGTTAGTGTTGGAGCTAGGGTTAGGGTTGGGCTTGGAGCTAGGATTTTTCTGAGTGCAATGAACCAACTCCCGAGTCTCTTGGACGTTCCTAAAAAAATTTGATTTTTTCCCATAGGAATGCATGGGTTAGGGTTAGGGTTAGGGTTGGAGCTAGGGTTAGGGTTAGGGTTAGGGTTAGGGTTAGGGTTGGAGTTAGGGTTAGTGTTGGAGCTAGGGTTAGGGTTGGGCTTGGAGCTAGGATTTTTGTGAGTGCACTGAACCAACTCCCGAGTCTCTAGGACATTCCTAAAAAAATTTGAGTTTTTCCCATAGGAATGCATGGGTTAGGGTTAGGGTTAGGGTTGGAGCTAGGGTTAGGGTTAGGGTTAGGGTTGGAGTTAGGGTTAGTGTTGGAGCTAGGGTTAGGGTTGGGCTTGGAGCTAGGATTTTTCTGAGTGCACTGAACCAACTCCCGAGTCTCTAGGACATTCCTAAAAAAATTTGATTTTTTCCCATAGGAATGCATGGGTTAGGGTTATGGTTAGGGTTAGGGTTGGAGCTAGGGTTAGGGTTAGGGTTAGGGTTGGAGTTAGGGTTAGTGTTGGAGCTAGGGTTAGGGTTGGGCTTGGAGCTAGGACTTTTCTGAGTGCAATGAACCAACTCCCGAGTCTCTAGGACGTTCCCTAAAAAATTTGATTTTTTCCCATTGGAATGCATGGGTTAGGGTTAGGGTTAGGGTTGGAGCTAGGGTTAGGGTTAGGGTTAGGGTTGGAGTTAGGGTTAGTGTTGGAGCTAGGGTTAGGGTTGGGCTTGGAGCTAGGATTTTTCTGAGTGCAATGAACCAACTCCCGAGTCTCTAGGACGTTCCTAAAAAAATTTGATTTTTTCCCATAGGAATGCATGGGTTAGGGTTATGGTTAGGGTTGGAGCTAGGGTTAGGGTTAGGGTTAGGGTTGGAGTTAGGGTTAGTGTTGGAGCTAGGGTTAGGGTTGGGCTTGGAGCTAGGATTTTTCTGAGTGCAATGAACCAACTCCCGAGTCTCTAGGACGTTCCTAAAAAAATTTGATTTTTTCCCATAGGAATGCATGGGTTAGGGTTAGGGTTAGGGTTGGAGCTAGGGTTAGGGTTAGGGTTAGGGTTGGAGTTAGGGTTAGTGTTGGAGCTAGGGTTAGGGTTGGGCTTGGAGCTAGGATTTTTCTGAGTGCACTGAACCAACTCCCGAGTCTCTAGGACATTCCTAAAAAAATTTGATTTTTTCCCATAGGAATGCATGGGTTAGGGTTATGGTTAGGGTTAGGGTTGGAGCTAGGGTTAGGGTTAGGGTTAGGGTTGGAGTTAGGGTTAGTGTTGGAGCTAGGGTTAGGGTTGGGCTTGGAGCTAGGATTTTTTCTGAGTGCAATGAACCAACTCCCGAGTCTCTTGGACGTTCCCTAAAAAAATTTGATTTTTTCCCATAGGAATGCATGGGTTAGGGTTAGGGTTAGGGTTGGAGCTAGGGTTAGGGTTAGGGTTAGGGTTGGAGTTAGGGTTAGTGTTGGAGCTAGGGTTAGGGTTGGGCTTGGAGCTAGGATTTTTCTGAGTGCACTGAACCAACTCCCGAGTCTCTAGGACATTTCCTAAAAAAATTTGATTTTTTCCCATAGGAATGCATGGGTTAGGGTTAGGGTTAGGGTTGGAGCTAGGGTTAGGGTTAGGGTTAGGGTTGGAGTTAGGGTTAGTGTTGGAGCTAGGGTTAGGGTTGGGCTTGGAGCTAGGATTTTTCTGAGTGCACTGAACCAACTCCCGAGTCTCTAGGACATTCCTAAAAAAATTTGATTTTTTCCCATAGGAATGCATGGGTTAGGGTTAGGGTTAGGGTTTGGGTTGGAGCTAGGGTTAGGGTTAGGGTTGGGGTTAGGGTTAGTGTTGGAGCTAGGGTTAGGGTTGGGCTTGGAGCTAGGATTTTTCTGAGTGCAATGAACCAACTCCCGAGTCTCTTGGACGTTCCTAAAAAAATTTGATTTTTTCCCATAGGAATGCATGGGTTAGGGTTAGGGTTAGGGTTGGAGCTAGGGTTAGGGTTAGGGTTAGGGTTGGAGTTAGGGTTAGGCTTGGAGCTAGGGTTAGGGTTGGGCTTGGAGCTAGGATTTTTCTGAGTGCACTGAACCAACTCCCGAGTCTCTAGGACGTTCCTAAAAAAATTTGATTTTTTCCCATAGGAATGCATGGGTTAGGGTTAGGGTTAGGGTTGGAGCTAGGGTTAGGGTTAGGGTTAGGGTTGGAGTTAGGGTTAGTGTTGGAGCTAGGGTTAGGGTTGGGCTTGGAGCTAGGACTTTTCTGAGTGCACTGAACCAACTCCCGAGTCTCTAGGACATTCCTAAAAAAATTTGATTTTTTCCCATAGGAATGCATGGGTTAGGGTTAGGGTTAGGGTTGGAGCTAGGGTTAGGGTTAGGGTTAGGGTTGGAGTTAGGGTTAGTGTTGGAGCTAGGGTTAGGGTTGGGCTTGGAGCTAGGATTTTTCTGAGTGCACTGAACCAACTCCCGAGTCTCTAGGACATTCCTAAAAAAATTTGATTTTTTCCCATAGGAATGCATGGGTTAGGGTTATGGTTAGGGTTAGGGTTGGAGCTAGGGTTAGGGTTAGGGTTAGGGTTGGAGTTAGGGTTAGTGTTGGAGCTAGGGTTAGGGTTGGGCTTGGAGCTAGGATTTTTCTGAGTGCAATGAACCAACTCCCGAGTCTCTTGGACGTTCCTAAAAAAATTTGATTTTTTCCCATAGGAATGCATGGGTTAGGGTTAGGGTTAGGGTTGGAGCTAGGGTTAGGGTTAGGGTTGGAGTTAGGGTTAGTGTTGGAGCTAGGGTTAGGGTTGGGCTTGGAGCTAGGATTTTTCTGAGTGCAATGAACCAACTCCCGAGTCTCTAGGACGTTCCTAAAAAAATTTGATTTTTTCCCATAGGAATGCATGGGTTAGGGTTATGGTTAGGGTTGGAGCTAGGGTTAGGGTTAGGGTTAGGGTTGGAGTTAGGGTTAGTGTTGGAGTTGGGTTAGGGTTGGGCTTGGAGCTAGGATTTTTCTGAGTGCAATGAACCAACTCCCGAGTCTCTAGGACGTTCCTAAAAAAATTAGATTTTTTCCCATAGGAATGCATGGGTTAGGGTTAGGGTTAGGGTTGGAGCTAGGGTTAGGGTTAGGGTTAGGGTTGGAGTTAGGGTTAGTGTTGGAGCTAGGGTTAGGGTTGGGCTTGGAGCTAGGATTTTTCTGAGTGCACTGAACCAACTCCCGAGTCTCTAGGACATTCCTAAAAAAATTTGATTTTTTCCCATAGGAATGCATGGGTTAGGGTTATGGTTAGGGTTAGGGTTGGAGCTAGGGTTAGGGTTAGGGTTAGGGTTGGAGTTAGGGTTAGTGTTGGAGCTAGGGTTAGGGTTGGGCTTGGAGCTAGGACTTTTCTGAGTGCAATGAACCAACTCCCGAGTCTCTAGGACATTCCTAAAAAAATTTGATTTTTTTCCCATAGTAATGCATGGTTTAGGGTTATGGTTAGGGTTAGGGTTGGAGCTAGGGTTAGGGTTAGGGTTAGGGTTAGGGTTAGGGTTGGAGTTAGGGTTAGTGTTGGAGCTAGGGTTAGGGTTGGGCTTGGAGCTAGGATTTTTCTGAGTGCACTGAACCAACTCCCGAGTCTCTAGGACATTCCTAAAAAAATTTGATTTTTTCCCATAGGAATGCATGGGTTAGGGTTATGGTTAGGGTTAGGGTTGGAGCTAGGGTTAGGGTTAGGGTTAGGGTTGGAGTTAGGGTTAGTGTTGGAGCTAGGGTTAGGGTTGGGCTTGGAGCTAGGACTTTTCTGAGTGCAATGAACCAACTCCCGAGTCTCTAGGACGTTCCCTAAAAAAATTTGATTTTTTTCCCATAGGAATGCATGGGTTAGGGTTAGGGTTAGGGTTGGAGCTAGGGTTAGGGTTAGGGTTAGGGTTAGGGTTGGAGTTAGGGTTAGTGTTGGAGCTAGGGTTAGGGTTGGGCTTGGAGCTAGGATTTTTCTGAGTGCACTGAACCAACTCCCGAGTCTCTAGGACATTCCTAAAAAAATTTGATTTTTTCCCATAGGAATGCATGGGTTAGGGTTAGGGTTAGGGTTGGAGCTAGGGTTAGGGTTAGGGTTAGGGTTGGAGTTAGGGTTAGTGTTGGAGCTAGGGTTAGGGTTGGGCTTGGAGCTAGGATTTTTCTGAGTGCACTGAACCAACTCCCGAGTCTCTAGGACATTCCTAAAAAAATTTGATTTTTTTCCCATAGGAATGCATGGGTTAGGGTTAGGGTTAGGGTTAGGGTTGGAGCTAGGGTTAGGGTTAGGGTTGGAGTTAGGGTTAGTGTTGGAGCTAGGGTTAGGGTTGGGCTTGGAGCTAGGATTTTTCTGAGTGCAATGAACCAACTCCCGAGTCTCTTGGACGTTCCTAAAAAAATTTGATTTTTTCCCATAGGAATGCATGGGTTAGGGTTAGGGTTAGGGTTGGAGCTAGGGTTAGGGTTAGGGTTAGGGTTGGAGTTAGGGTTAGTGTTGGAGCTAGGGTTAGGGTTGGGCTTGGAGCTAGGATTTTTCTGAGTGCACTGAACCAACTCCCGAGTCTCTAGGACGTTCCTAAAAAAATTTGATTTTTTCCCATAGGAATGCATGGGTTAGGGTTAGGGTTAGGGTTGGAGGTAGGGTTAGGGTTAGGGTTAGGGTTGGAGTTAGGGTTAGTGTTGGAGCTAGGGTTAGGGTTGGGCTTGGAGCTAGGATTTTTCTGAGTGCACTGAACCAACTCCCGAGTCTCTAGGACATTCCTAAAAAAATTTGATTTTTTCCCATAGGAATGCATGGGTTAGGGTTAGGGTTAGGGTTGGAGCTAGGGTTAGGGTTAGGGTTAGGGTTGGAGTTAGGGTTAGTGTTGGAGCTAGGGTTAGGGTTGGGCTTGGAGCTAGGATTTTTCTGAGTGCACTGAACCAACTCCCGAGTCTCTAGGACATTCCTAAAAAAATTTGATTTTTTCCCATAGGAATGCATGGGTTAGGGTTATGGTTAGGGTTAGGGTTGGAGCTAGGGTTAGGGTTAGGGTTAGGGTTGGAGTTAGGGTTAGTGTTGGAGCTAGGGTTAGGGTTGGGCTTGGAGCTAGGAATTTTCTGAGTGCAATGAACCAACTCCCGAGTCTCTAGGACATTCCTAAAAAAATTTGATTTTTTCCCATAGGAATGCATGGTTTAGGGTTATGGTTAGGGTTAGGGTTGGAGCTAGGGTTAGGGTTAGGGTTAGGGTTAGGGTTAGGGTTGGAGTTAGGGTTAGTGTTGGAGCTAGGGTTAGGGTTGGGCTTGGAGCTAGGATTTTTCTGAGTGCACTGAACCAACTCCCGAGTCTCTAGGACATTCCTAAAAAAATTTGATTTTTTCCCATAGGAATGCATGGGTTAGGGTTATGGTTAGGGTTAGGGTTGGAGCTAGGGTTAGGGTTAGGGTTAGGGTTGGAGTTAGGGTTAGTGTTGGAGCTAGGGTTAGGGTTGGGCTTGGAGCTAGGATTTTTCTGAGTGCAATGAACCAACTCCCGAGTCTCTTGGACGTTCCTAAAAAAATTTGATTTTTTTCCCATAGGAATGCATGGGTTAGGGTTAGGGTTAGGGTTGGAGCTAGGGTTAGGGTTAGGGTTAGGGTTGGAGTTAGGGTTAGTGTTGGAGCTAGGGTTAGGGTTGGGCTTGGAGCTAGGATTTTTCTGAGTGCACTGAACCAACTCCCGAGTCTCTAGGACATTCCTAAAAAAATTTGATTTTTTCCCATAGGAATGCATGGGTTAGGGTTAGGGTTAGGGTTGGAGCTAGGGTTAGGGTTAGGGTTAGGGTTGGAGTTAGGGTTAGTGTTGGAGCTAGGGTTAGGGTTGGGCTTGGAGCTAGGATTTTTCTGAGTGCACTGAACCAACTCCCGAGTCTCTAGGACATTCCTAAAAAAATTTGATTTTTTCCCATAGGAATGCATGGGTTAGGGTTATGGTTAGGGTTGGAGCTAGGGTTAGGGTTAGGGTTAGGGTTGGAGTTAGGGTTAGTGTTGGAGTTGGGTTAGGGTTGGGCTTGGAGCTAGGATTTTTCTGAGTGCAATGAACCAACTCCCGAGTCTCTAGGACGTTCCTAAAAAAATTTGATTTTTTCCCATAGGAATGCATGGGTTAGGGTTAGGGTTAGGGTTGGAGCTAGGGTTAGGGTTAGGGTTAGGGTTGGAGTTAGGGTTAGTGTTGGAGCTAGGGTTAGGGTTGGGCTTGGAGCTAGGACTTTTCTGAGTGCAATGAACCAACTCCCGAGTCTCTAGGACGTTCCTAAAAAAATTTGATTTTTTCCCATAGGAATGCATGGGTTAGGGTTAGGGTTAGGGTTGGAGCTAGGGTTAGGGTTAGGGTTAGGGTTGGAGTTAGGGTTAGTGTTGGAGCTAGGGTTAGGGTTGGGCTTGGAGCTAGGATTTTTCTGAGTGCAATGAACCAACTCCCGAGTCTCTAGGACGTTCCTAAAAAAATTTGATTTTTTCCCATAGGAATGCATGGGTTAGGGTTATGGTTAGGGTTGGAGCTAGGGTTAGGGTTAGGGTTAGGGTTGGAGTTAGGGTTAGTGTTGGAGTTGGGTTAGGGTTGGGCTTGGAGCTAGGATTTTTCTGAGTGCAATGAACCAACTCCCGAGTCTCTAGGACGTTCCTAAAAAAATTTGATTTTTTCCCATAGGAATGCATGGGTTAGGGTTAGGGTTAGGGTTGGAGCTAGGGTTAGGGTTAGGGTTAGGGTTGGAGTTAGGGTTAGTGTTGGAGCTAGGGTTAGGGTTGGGCTTGGAGCTAGGATTTTTCTGAGTGCACTGAACCAACTCCCGAGTCTCTAGGACATTCCTAAAAAAATTTGATTTTTTCCCATAGGAATGCATGGGTTAGGGTTATGGTTAGGGTTAGGGTTGGAGCTAGGGTTAGGGTTAGGGTTAGGGTTGGAGTTAGGGTTAGTGTTGGAGCTAGGGTTAGGGTTGGGCTTGGAGCTAGGACTTTTCTGAGTGCAATGAACCAACTCCCGAGTCTCTAGGACATTCCTAAAAAAATTTGATTTTTTCCCATAGGAATGCATGGTTTAGGGTTATGGTTAGGGTTAGGGTTGGAGCTAGGGTTAGGGTTAGGGTTAGGGTTAGGGTTAGGGTTGGAGTTAGGGTTAGTGTTGGAGCTAGGGTTAGGGTTGGGCTTGGAGCTAGGATTTTTCTGAGTGCACTGAACCAACTCCCGAGTCTCTAGGACATTCCTAAAAAAATTTGATTTTTTCCCATAGGAATGCATGGGTTAGGGTTATGGTTAGGGTTAGGGTTGGAGCTAGGGTTAGGGTTAGGGTTAGGGTTGGAGTTAGGGTTAGTGTTGGAGCTAGGGTTAGGGTTGGGCTTGGAGCTAGGACTTTTCTGAGTGCAATGAACCAACTCCCGAGTCTCTTGGACGTTCCCTAAAAAAATTTGATTTTTTTCCCATAGGAATGCATGGGTTAGGGTTAGGGTTAGGGTTGGAGCTAGGGTTAGGGTTAGGGTTAGGGTTGGAGTTAGGGTTAGTGTTGGAGCTAGGGTTAGGGTTGGGCTTGGAGCTAGGATTTTTCTGAGTGCACTGAACCAACTCCCGAGTCTCTAGGACATTCCTAAAAAAATTTGATTTTTTCCCATAGGAATGCATGGGTTAGGGTTAGGGTTAGGGTTGGAGCTAGGGTTAGGGTTAGGGTTAGGGTTGGAGTTAGGGTTAGTGTTGGAGCTAGGGTTAGGGTTGGGCTTGGAGCTAGGATTTTTCTGAGTGCACTGAACCAACTCCCGAGTCTCTAGGACATTCCTAAAAAAATTTGATTTTTTTCCCATAGGAATGCATGGGTTAGGGTTAGGGTTAGGGTTAGGGTTGGAGCTAGGGTTAGGGTTAGGGTTGGAGTTAGGGTTAGTGTTGGAGCTAGGGTTAGGGTTGGGCTTGGAGCTAGGATTTTTCTGAGTGCAATGAACCAACTCCCGAGTCTCTTGGACGTTCCTAAAAAAATTTGATTTTTTCCCATAGGAATGCATGGGTTAGGGTTAGGGTTAGGGTTGGAGCTAGGGTTAGGGTTAGGGTTAGGGTTGGAGTTAGGGTTAGTGTTGGAGCTAGGGTTAGGGTTGGGCTTGGAGCTAGGATTTTTCTGAGTGCACTGAACCAACTCCCGAGTCTCTAGGACGTTCCTAAAAAAATTTGATTTTTTCCCATAGGAATGCATGGGTTAGGGTTAGGGTTAGGGTTGGAGGTAGGGTTAGGGTTAGGGTTAGGGTTGGAGTTAGGGTTAGTGTTGGAGCTAGGGTTAGGGTTGGGCTTGGAGCTAGGATTTTTCTGAGTGCACTGAACCAACTCCCGAGTCTCTAGGACATTCCTAAAAAAATTTGATTTTTTCCCATAGGAATGCATGGGTTAGGGTTAGGGTTAGGGTTGGAGCTAGGGTTAGGGTTAGGGTTAGGGTTGGAGTTAGGGTTAGTGTTGGAGCTAGGGTTAGGGTTGGGCTTGGAGCTAGGATTTTTCTGAGTGCACTGAACCAACTCCCGAGTCTCTAGGACATTCCTAAAAAAATTTGATTTTTTCCCATAGGAATGCATGGGTTAGGGTTATGGTTAGGGTTAGGGTTGGAGCTAGGGTTAGGGTTAGGGTTAGGGTTGGAGTTAGGGTTAGTGTTGGAGCTAGGGTTAGGGTTGGGCTTGGAGCTAGGATTTTTCTGAGTGCACTGAACCAACTCCCGAGTCTCTAGGACATTCCTAAAAAAATTTGATTTTTTCCCATAGGAATGCATGGGTTAGGGTTATGGTTAGGGTTAGGGTTGGAGCTAGGGTTAGGGTTAGGGTTAGGGTTGGAGTTAGGGTTAGTGTTGGAGCTAGGGTTAGGGTTGGGCTTGGAGCTAGGACTTTTCTGAGTGCAATGAACCAACTCCCGAGTCTCTTGGACGTTCCTAAAAAAATTTGATTTTTTCCCATAGGAATGCATGGGTTAGGGTTAGGGTTAGGGTTGGAGCTAGGGTTAGGGTTAGGGTTAGGGTTGGAGTTAGGGTTAGTGTTGGAGCTAGGGTTAGGGTTGGGCTTGGAGCTAGGATTTTTCTGAGTGCAATGAACCAACTCCCGAGTCTCTAGGACGTTCCTAAATAAATTTGATTTTTTCCCATAGGAATGCATGGGTTAGGGTTATGGTTAGGGTTGGAGCTAGGGTTAGGGTTAGGGTTAGGGTTGGAGTTAGGGTTAGTGTTGGAGCTAGGGTTAGGGTTGGGCTTGGAGCTAGGATTTTTCTGAGTGCAATGAACCAACTCCCGAGTCTCTTGGACGTTCCTAAAAAAATTTGATTTTTTCCCATAGGAATGCATGGGTTAGGGTTAGGGTTAGGGTTGGAGCTAGGGTTAGGGTTAGGGTTAGGGTTGGAGTTAGGGTTAGTGTTGGAGCTAGGGTTAGGGTTGGGCTTGGAGCTAGGATTTTTCTGAGTGCAATGAACCAACTCCCGAGTCTCTAGGACATTCCTAAAAAAATTTGATTTTTTCCCATAGGAATGCATGGGTTTAGGGTTATGGTTAGGGTTAGGGTTGGAGCTAGGGTTAGGGTTAGGGTTAGGGTTAGGGTTGGAGTTAGGGTTAGTGTTGGAGCTAGGGTTAGGGTTGGGCTTGGAGCTAGGATTTTTCTGAGTGCACTGAACCAACTCCCGAGTCTCTAGGACATTCCTAAAAAAATTTGATTTTTTTCCCATAGGAATGCATGGGTTAGGGTTAGGGTTAGGGTTAGGGTTGGAGCTAGGGTTAGGGTTAGGGTTGGAGTTAGGGTTAGTGTTGGAGCTAGGGTTAGGGTTGGGCTTGGAGCTAGGATTTTTCTGAGTGCAATGAACCAACTCCCGAGTCTCTAGGACGTTCCTAAAAAAATTTGATTTTTTCCCATAGGAATGCATGGGTTAGGGTTATGGTTAGGGTTGGAGCTAGGGTTAGGGTTAGGGTTAGGGTTGGAGTTAGGGTTAGTGTTGGAGTTGGGTTAGGGTTGGGCTTGGAGCTAGGATTTTTCTGAGTGCAATGAACCAACTCCCGAGTCTCTAGGACGTTCCTAAAAAAATTTGATTTTTTCCCATAGGAATGCATGGGTTAGGGTTAGGGTTAGGGTTGGAGCTAGGGTTAGGGTTAGGGTTAGGGTTGGAGTTTGGGTTAGTGTTGGAGCTAGGGTTAGGGTTGGGCTTGGAGCTAGGATTTTTCTGAGTGCACTGAACCAACTCCCGAGTCTCTAGGACATTCCTAAAAAAATTTGATTTTTTCCCATAGGAATGCATGGGTTAGGGTTATGGTTAGGGTTAGGGTTGGAGCTAGGGTTAGGGTTAGGGTTAGGGTTGGAGTTAGGGTTAGTGTTGGAGCTAGGGTTAGGGTTGGGCTTGGAGCTAGGACTTTTCTGAGTGCAATGAACCAACTCCCGAGTCTCTAGGACATTCCTAAAAAAATTTGATTTTTTCCCATAGGAATGCATGGTTTAGGGTTATGGTTAGGGTTATGGTTGGAGCTAGGGTTAGGGTTAGGGTTAGGGTTAGGGTTGGAGTTAGGGTTAGTGTTGGAGCTAGGGTTAGGGTTGGGCTTGGAGCTAGGATTTTTCTGAGTGCACTGAACCAACTCCCGAGTCTCTAGGACATTCCTAAAAAAATTTGATTTTTTTCCCATAGGAATGCATGGGTTAGGGTTAGGGTTAGGGTTAGGGTTGGAGCTAGGGTTAGGGTTAGGGTTGGAGTTAGGGTTAGTGTTGGAGCTAGGGTTAGGGTTGGGCTTGGAGCTAGGATTTTTCTGAGTGCAATGAACCAACTCCCGAGTCTCTTGGACGTTCCTAAAAAAATTTGATTTTTTCCCATAGGAATGCATGGGTTAGGGTTAGGGTTAGGGTTGGAGCTAGGGTTAGGGTTAGGGTTAGGGTTGGAGTTAGGGTTAGTGTTGGAGCTAGGGTTAGGGTTGGGCTTGGAGCTAGGATTTTTCTGAGTGCACTGAACCAACTCCCGAGTCTCTAGGACGTTCCTAAAAAAATTTGATTTTTTCCCATAGGAATGCATGGGTTAGGGTTAGGGTTAGGGTTGGAGGTAGGGTTAGGGTTAGGGTTAGGGTTGGAGTTAGGGTTAGTGTTGGAGCTAGGGTTAGGGTTGGGCTTGGAGCTAGGATTTTTCTGAGTGCACTGAACCAACTCCCGAGTCTCTAGGACATTCCTAAAAAAATTTGATTTTTTCCCATAGGAATGCATGGGTTAGGGTTAGGGTTAGGGTTGGAGCTAGGGTTAGGGTTAGGGTTAGGGTTGGAGTTAGGGTTAGTGTTGGAGCTAGGGTTAGGGTTGGGCTTGGAGCTAGGATTTTTCTGAGTGCACTGAACCAACTCCCGAGTCTCTAGGACATTCCTAAAAAAATTTGATTTTTTCCCATAGGAATGCATGGGTTAGGGTTATGGTTAGGGTTAGGGTTGGAGCTAGGGTTAGGGTTAGGGTTAGGGTTGGAGTTAGGGTTAGTGTTGGAGCTAGGGTTAGGGTTGGGCTTGGAGCTAGGATTTTTCTGAGTGCACTGAACCAACTCCCGAGTCTCTAGGACATTCCTAAAAAAATTTGATTTTTTCCCATAGGAATGCATGGGTTAGGGTTATGGTTAGGGTTAGGGTTGGAGCTAGGGTTAGGGTTAGGGTTAGGGTTGGAGTTAGGGTTAGTGTTGGAGCTAGGGTTAGGGTTGGGCTTGGAGCTAGGACTTTTCTGAGTGCAATGAACCAACTCCCGAGTCTCTTGGACGTTCCTAAAAAAATTTGATTTTTTCCCATAGGAATGCATGGGTTAGGGTTAGGGTTAGGGTTGGAGCTAGGGTTAGGGTTAGGGTTAGGGTTGGAGTTAGGGTTAGTGTTGGAGCTAGGGTTAGGGTTGGGCTTGGAGCTAGGATTTTTCTGAGTGCAATGAACCAACTCCCGAGTCTCTAGGACGTTCCTAAAAAAATTTGATTTTTTCCCATAGGAATGCATGGGTTAGGGTTATGGTTAGGGTTGGAGCTAGGGTTAGGGTTAGGGTTAGGGTTGGAGTTAGGGTTAGTGTTGGAGCTAGGGTTAGGGTTGGGCTTGGAGCTAGGATTTTTCTGAGTGCACTGAACCAACTCCCGAGTCTCTAGGACGTTCCTAAAAAAATTTGATTTTTTCCCATAGGAATGCATGGGTTAGGGTTAGGGTTAGGGTTGGAGCTAGGGTTAGGGTTAGGGTTAGGGTTGGAGTTAGGGTTAGTGTTGGAGCTAGGGTTAGGGTTGGGCTTGGAGCTAGGATTTTTCTGAGTGCACTGAACCAACTCCCGAGTCTCTAGGACATTCCTAAAAAAATTTGATTTTTTCCCATAGGAATGCATGGGTTAGGGTTATGGTTAGGGTTAGGGTTGGAGCTAGGGTTAGGGTTAGGGTTAGGGTTGGAGTAAGGGTTAGTGTTGGAGCTAGGGTTAGGGTTGGTCGTGGAGCTAGGACTTTTCTGAGTGCAATGAACCAACTCCCGAGTCTCTAGGACATTCCTAAAAAAATTTGATTTTTTCCCATAGGAATGCATGGTTTAGGGTTATGGTTAGGGTTAGGGTTGGAGCTAGGGTTAGGGTTAGGGTTAGGGTTAGGGTTGGAGTTAGGGTTAGTGTTGGAGCTAGGGTTAGGGTTGGGCTTGGAGCTAGGACTTTTCTGAGTGCAATGAACCAACTCCCGAGTCTCTAGGATGTTCCCTAAAAAAATTTGATTTTTTCCCATAGGAATGCATGGGTTAGGGTTAGGGTTAGGGTTGGAGCTAGGGTTAGGGTTAGGGTTAGGGTTGGAGTTAGGGTTAGTGTTGGAGCTAGGGTTAGGGTTGGGCTTGGAGCTAGGATTTTTCTGAGTGCACTGAACCAACTCCCGAGTCTCTAGGACATTCCTAAAAAAATTTGATTTTTTCCCATAGGAATGCATGGGTTAGGGTTAGGGTTAGGGTTGGAGCTAGGGTTAGGGTTAGGGTTAGGGTTGGAGTTAGGGTTAGTGTTGGAGCTAGGGTTAGGGTTGGGCTTGGAGCTAGGATTTTTCTGAGTGCACTGAACCAACTCCCGAGTCTCTAGGACATTCCTAAAAAAATTTGATTTTTTCCCATAGGAATGCATGGGTTAGGGTTATGGTTAGGGTTAGGGTTGGAGCTAGGGTTAGGGTTAGGGTTAGGGTTGGAGTTAGGGTTAGTGTTGGAGCTAGGGTTAGGGTTGGGCTTGGAGCTAGGATTTTTCTGAGTGCAATGAACCAACTCCCGAGTCTCTTGGACATTCCTAAAAAAATTTGATTTTTTCCCATAGGAATGCATGGGTTAGGGTTATGGTTAGGGTTGGAGCTAGGGTTAGGGTTAGGGTTAGGGTTGGAGTTAGGGTTAGTGTTGGAGCTAGGGTTAGGGTTGGGCTTGGAGCTAGGATTTTTCTGAGTGCACTGAACCAACTCCTGAGTCTCTAGGACGTTCCTAAAAAAATTTGATTTTTTCCCATAGGAATGCATGGGTTAGGGTTAGGGTTAGGGTTGGAGCTAGGGTTAGGGTTAGGGTTAGGGTTGGAGTTAGGGTTAGTGTTGGAGCTAGGGTTAGGGTTGGGCTTGGAGCTAGGATTTTTCTGAGTGCACTGAACCAACTCCCGAGTCTCTAGGACATTCCTAAAAAAATTTGATTTTTTCCCATAGGAATGCATGGGTTAGGGTTAGGGTTAGGGTTGGAGCTAGGGTTAGGGTTAGGGTTGGAGTTAGGGTTAGTGTTGGAGCTAGGGTTAGGGTTGGGCTTGGAGCTAGGATTTTTCTGAGTGCAATGAACCAACTCCCGAGTCTCTAGGACGTTCCTAAAAAAATTTGATTTTTTCCCATAGGAATGCATGGGTTAGGGTTAGGGTTAGGGTTGGAGCTAGGGTTAGGGTTAGGGTTAGGGTTGGAGTTAGGGTTAGTGTTGGAGCTAGGGTTAGGGTTGGGCTTGGAGCTAGGATTTTTCTGAGTGCACTGAACCAACTCCCGAGTCTCTAGGACATTCCTAAAAAAATTTGATTTTTTCCCATAGGAATGCATGGGTTAGGGTTATGGTTAGGGTTAGGGTTGGAGCTAGGGTTAGGGTTAGGGTTAGGGTTGGAGTTAGGGTTAGTGTTGGAGCTAGGGTTAGGGTTGGGCTTGGAGCTAGGACTTTTCTGAGTGCAATGAACCAACTCCCGAGTCTCTAGGAAATTCCTAAAAAAATTTGATTTTTTCCCATAGGAATGCATGGTTTAGGGTTATGGTTAGGGTTAGGGTTGGAGCTAGGGTTAGGGTTAGGGTTAGGGTTAGGGTTGGAGTTAGGGTTAGTGTTGGAGCTAGGGTTAGGGTTGGGCTTGGAGCTAGGACTTTTCTGAGTGCAATGAACCAACTCCCGAGTCTCTAGGATGTTCCCTAAAAAAATTTGATTTTTTTCCCATAGGAATGCATGGGTTAGGGTTAGGGTTAGGGTTGGAGCTAGGGTTAGGGTTAGGGTTAGGGTTGGAGTTAGGGTTAGTGTTGGAGCTAGGGTTAGGGTTGGGCTTGGAGCTAGGATTTTTCTGAGTGCACTGAACCAACTCCCGAGTCTCTAGGACATTCCTAAAAAAATTTGATTTTTTTCCCATAGGAATGCATGGGTTAGGGTTAGGGTTAGGGTTGGAGCTAGGGTTAGGGTTAGGGTTAGGGTTGGAGTTAGGGTTAGTGTTGGAGCTAGGGTTAGGGTTGGGCTTGGAGCTAGGATTTTTCTGAGTGCACTGAACCAACTCCCGAGTCTCTAGGACATTCCTAAAAAAATTTGATTTTTTTCCCATAGGAATGCATGGGTTAGGGTTATGGTTAGGGTTAGGGTTGGAGCTAGGGTTAGGGTTAGGGTTAGGGTTGGAGTTAGGGTTAGTGTTGGAGCTAGGGTTAGGGTTGGGCTTGGAGCTAGGATTTTTCTGAGTGCAATGAACCAACTCCCGAGTCTCTTGGACGTTCCTAAAAAAATTTGATTTTTTCCCATAGGAATGCATGGGTTAGGGTTAGGGTTAGGGTTGGAGCTAGGGTTAGGGTTAGGGTTAGGGTTGGAGTTAGGGTTAGTGTTGGAGCTAGGGTTAGGGTTGGGCTTGGAGCTAGGATTTTTCTGAGTGCACTGAACCAACTCCCGAGTCTCTAGGACATTCCTAAAAAAATTTGATTTTTTCCCATAGGAATGCATGGGTTAGGGTTAGGGTTAGGGTTGGAGCTAGGGTTAGGGTTAGGGTTAGGGTTGGAGTTAGGGTTAGTGTTGGAGCTAGGGTTAGGGTTGGGCTTGGAGCTAGGATTTTTCTGAGTGCACTGAACCAACTCCCGAGTCTCTAGGACATTCCTAAAAAAATTTGATTTTTTCCCATAGGAATGCATGGGTTAGGGTTATGGTTAGGGTTAGGGTTGGAGCTAGGGTTAGGGTTAGGGTTAGGGTTGGAGTTAGGGTTAGTGTTGGAGCTAGGGTTAGGGTTGGGCTTGGAGCTAGGACTTTTCTGAGTGCAATGAACCAACTCCCGAGTCTCTAGGACGTTCCCTAAAAAAATTTGATTTTTTCCCATAGGAATGCATGGGTTAGGGTTAGGGTTAGGGTTGGAGCTAGGGTTAGGGTTAGGGTTAGGGTTGGAGTTAGGGTTAGTGTTGGAGCTAGGGTTAGGGTTGGGCTTGGAGCTAGGATTTTTCTGAGTGCACTGAACCAACTCCCGAGTCTCTAGGACATTCCTAAAAAAATTTGATTTTTTCCCATAGGAATGCATGGGTTAGGGTTAGGGTTAGGGTTGGAGCTAGGGTTAGGGTTAGGGTTAGGGTTGGAGTTAGGGTTAGTGTTGGAGCTAGGGTTAGGGTTGGGCTTGGAGCTAGGATTTTTCTGAGTGCACTGAACCAACTCCCGAGTCTCTAGGACATTCCTAAAAAAATTTGATTTTTTTCCCATAGGAATGCATGGGTTAGGGTTATGGTTAGGGTTAGGGTTGGAGCTAGGGTTAGGGTTAGGGTTAGGGTTGGAGTTAGGGTTAGTGTTGGAGCTAGGGTTAGGGTTGGGCTTGGAGCTAGGATTTTTCTGAGTGCAATGAACCAACTCCCGAGTCTCTAGGACATTCCTAAAAAAATTTGATTTTTTCCCATAGGAATGCATGGGTTAGGGTTAGGGTTAGGGTTGGAGCTAGGGTTAGGGTTAGGGTTAGGGTTGGAGTTAGGGTTAGTGTTGGAGCTAGGGTTAGGGTTGGGCTTGGAGCTAGGATTTTTCTGAGTGCACTGAACCAACTCCCGAGTCTCTAGGACATTCCTAAAAAAATTTGATTTTTTTCCCATAGGAATGCATGGGTTAGGGTTAGGGTTAGGGTTGGAGCTAGGGTTAGGGTTAGGGTTAGGGTTGGAGTTAGGGTTAGTGTTGGAGCTAGGGTTAGGGTTGGGCTTGGAGCTAGGATTTTTCTGAGTGCACTGAACCAACTCCCGAGTCTCTAGGACATTCCTAAAAAAATTTGATTTTTTCCCATAGGAATGCATGGGTTATGGTTAGGGTTAGGGTTGGAGCTAGGGTTAGGGTTAGGGTTAGGGTTGGAGTTAGGGTTAGTGTTGGAGCTAGGGTTAGGGTTGGGCTTGGAGCTAGGATTTTTCTGAGTGCACTGAACCAACTCCCGAGTCTCTAGGACATTCCTAAAAAAATTTGATTTTTTCCCATAGGAATGCATGGGTTAGGGTTATGGTTAGGGTTAGGGTTGGAGCTAGGGTTAGGGTTAGGGTTAGGGTTGGAGTTAGGGTTAGTGTTGGAGCTAGGGTTAGGGTTGGGCTTGGAGCTAGGATTTTTCTGAGTGCAATGAACCAACTCCCGAGTCTCTAGGACGTTCCTAAAAAAATTTGATTTTTTCCCATAGGAATGCATGGGTTAGGGTTATGGTTAGGGTTGGAGCTAGGGTTAGGGTTAGGGTTAGGGTTGGAGTTAGGGTTAGTGTTGGAGCTAGGGTTAGGGTTGGGCTTGGAGCTAGGATTTTTCTGAGTGCAATGAACCAACTCCCGAGTCTCTAGGACGTTCCTAAAAAAATTTGATTTTTTCCCATAGGAATGCATGGGTTAGGGTTAGGGTTAGGGTTGGAGCTAGGGTTAGGGTTAGGGTTAGGGTTGGAGTTAGGGTTAGTGTTGGAGCTAGGGTTAGGGTTGGGCTTGGAGCTAGGACTTTTCTGAGTGCAATGAACCAACTCCCGAGTCTCTAGGACATTCCCTAAAAAAATTTGATTTTTTCCCATAGGAATGCATGGGTTAGGGTTAGGGTTAGGGTTGGAGCTAGGGTTAGGGTTAGGGTTAGGGTTGGAGTTAGGGTTAGTGTTGGAGCTAGGGTTAGGGTTGGGCTTGGAGCTAGGATTTTTCTGAGTGCACTGAACCAACTCCCGAGTCTCTAGGACATTCCTAAAAAAATTTGATTTTTTCCCATAGGAATGCATGGGTTAGGGTTATGGTTAGGGTTAGGGTTGGAGCTAGGGTTAGGGTTAGGGTTAGGGTTGGAGTTAGGGTTAGTGTTGGAGCTAGGGTTAGGGTTGGGCTTGGAGCTAGGATTTTTCTGAGTGCACTGAACCAACTCCCGAGTCTCTTGGACATTCCTAAAAAAATTTGATTTTTTCCCATAGGAATGCATGGGTTAGGGTTAGGGTTAGGGTTGGAGCTAGGGTTAGGGTTAGGGTTAGGGTTGGAGTTAGGGTTAGTGTTGGAGCTAGGGTTAGGGTTGGGCTTGGAGCTAGGATTTTTCTGAGTGCAATGAACCAACTCCCGAGTCTCTAGGACGTTTCTAAAAAAATTTGATTTTTTTCCCATAGGAATGCATGGGTTAGGGTTATGGTTAGGGTTGGAGCTAGGGTTAGGGTTAGGGTTAGGGTTGGAGTTAGGGTTAGTGTTGGAGCTAGGGTTAGGGTTGGGCTTGGAGCTAGGATTTTTCTGAGTGCACTGAACCAACTCCCGAGTCTCTAGGACATTCCTAAAAAATTTTGATTTTTTCCCATAGGAATGCATGGGTTAGGGTTAGGGTTAGGGTTGGAGCTAGGGTTAGGGTTAGGGTTAGGGTTGGAGTTAGGGTTAGTGTTGGAGCTAGGGTTAGGGTTGGGCTTGGAGCTAGGATTTTTCTGAGTGCACTGAACCAACTCCCGAGTCTCTAGGACATTCCTAAAAAAATTTGATTTTTTCCCATAGGAATGCATGGTTTAGGGTTATGGTTAGGGTTAGGGTTGGAGCTAGGGTTAGGGTTAGGGTTAGGGTTGGAGTTAGGGTTAGTGTTGGAGCTAGGGTTAGGGTTGGGCTTGGAGCTAGGACTTTTCTGAGTGCAATGAACCAACTCCCGAGTCTCTAGGACGTTCCCTAAAAAAATTTGATTTTTTCCCATAGGAATGCATGGGTTAGGGTTAGGGTTAGGGTTGGAGCTAGGGTTAGGGTTAGGGTTAGGGTTGGAGTTAGGGTTAGTGTTGGAGCTAGGGTTAGGGTTGGGCTTGGAGCTAGGATTTTTCTGAGTGCACTGAACCAACTCCCGAGTCTCTAGGACATTCCTAAAAAAATTTGATTTTTTCCCATAGGAATGCATGGGTTAGGGTTATGGTTAGGGTTAGGGTTGGAGCTAGGGTTAGGGTTAGGGTTAGGGTTGGAGTTAGGGTTAGTGTTGGAGCTAGGGTTAGGGTTGGGCTTGGAGCTAGGATTTTTCTGAGTGCACTGAACCAACTCCCGAGTCTCTAGGACGTTCCTAAAAAAATTTGATTTTTTCCCATAGGAATGCATGGGTTAGGGTTAGGGTTAGGGTTAGGGTTGGAGCTAGGGTTAGGGTTAGGGTTAGGGTTGGAGTTAGGGTTAGTGTTGGAGCTAGGGTTAGGGTTGGGCTTGGAGCTAGGATTTTTCTGAGTGCACTGAACCAACTCCCGAGTCTCTAGGACATTCCTAAAAAAATTTGAGTTTTTCCCATAGGAATGCATGGGTTAGGGTTAGGGTTAGGGTTGGAGCTAGGGTTAGGGTTAGGGTTAGGGTTGGAGTTAGGGTTAGTGTTTGAGCTAGGTTTAGGGTTGGGCTTTGGAGCTAGGATTTTTCTGAGTGCACTGAACCAACTCCCGAGTCTCTAGGACTTTCCTAAAAAAATTTGATTTTTTCCCATAGGAATGCATGGGTTAGGGTTATGGTTAGGGTTAGGGTTGGAGCTAGGGTTAGGGTTAGGGTTAGGGTTGGAGTTAGAGTTAGTGTTGGAGCTAGGGTTAGGGTTGGGCTTGGAGCTAGGATTTTTCTGAGTGCACTGAACCAACTCCCGAGTCTCTAGGACATTCCTAAAAAAATTTGATTTTTTCCCATAGGAATGCATGGGTTAGGGTTATGGTTAGGGTTAGGGTTGGAGCTAGGGTTAGGGTTAGGGTTAGGGTTGGAGTTAGGGTTAGTGTTGGAGCTAGGGTTAGGGTTGGGCTTGGAGCTAGGATTTTTCTGAGTGCACTGAACCAACTCCCGAGTCTCTAGGACGTTCCTAAAAAATTTGATTTTTTCCCATAGGAATGCATGGGTTAGGGTTAGGGTTAGGGTTGGAGCTAGGGTTAGGGTTAGGGTTAGGGTTGGAGTTAGGGTTAGTGTTGGAGCTAGGGTTAGGGTTGGGCTTGGAGCTAGGATTTTTCTGAGTGCACTGAACCAACTCCCGAGTCTCTAGGACATTCCTAAAAAAATTTGATTTTTTCCCATAGGAATGCATGGGTTAGGGTTAGGGTTGGAGCTAGGGTTAGGGTTAGGGTTAGGGTTGGAGTTAGGGTTAGTGTTGGAGCTAGGGTTAGGGTTGGGCTTGGAGCTAGGATTTTTCTGAGTGCACTGAACCAACTCCCGAGTCTCTAGGACGTTCCTAAAAAAATTTGATTTTTTCCCATAGGAATGCATGGGTTAGGGTTAGGGTTAGGGTTGGAGCTAGGGTTAGGGTTAGGGTTAGGGTTGGAGTTAGGGTTAGTGTTGGAGCTAGGGTTAGGGTTGGGCTTGGAGCTAGGATTTTTCTGAGTGCACTGAACCAACTCCCGAGTCTCTAGGACATTCCTAAAAAAATTTGATTTTTTCCCATAGGAATGCATGGGTTAGGGTTATGGTTAGGGTTAGGGTTGGAGCTAGGGTTAGGGTTAGGGTTAGGGTTGGAGTTAGGGTTAGTGTTGGAGCTAGGGTTAGGGTTGGGCTTGGAGCTAGGACTTTTCTGAGTGCAATGAACCAACTCCCGAGTCTCTTGGACGTTCCCTAAAAAAATTTGATTTTTTCCCATAGGAATGCATGGGTTAGGGTTATGGTTAGGGTTGGAGCTAGGGTTAGGGTTAGGGTTAGGGTTGGAGTTAGGGTTAGTGTTGGAGCTAGGGTTAGGGTTGGGCTTGGAGCTAGGATTTTTCTGAGTGCACTGAACCAACTCCCGAGTCTCTAGGACATTCCTAAAAAAATTTGATTTTTTCCCATAGGAATGCATGGTTTAGGGTTATGGTTAGGGTTAGGGTTGGAGCTAGGGTTAGGGTTAGGGTTAGGGTTGGAGTTAGGGTTAGTGTTGGAGCTAGGGTTAGGGTTGGGCTTGGAGCTAGGACTTTTCTGAGTGCAATGAACCAACTCCCGAGTCTCTAGGACGTTCCCTAAAAAAAATTTGATTTTTTCCCATAGGAATGCATGGGTTAGGGTTAGGGTTAGGGTTGGAGCTAGGGTTAGGGTTAGGGTTAGGGTTGGAGTTAGGGTTAGTGTTGGAGCTAGGGTTAGGGTTGGGCTTGGAGCTAGGATTTTTCTGAGTGCACTGAACCAACTCCCGAGTCTCTAGGACATTCCTAAAAAAATTTGATTTTTTCCCATAGGAATGCATGGGTTAGGGTTATGGTTAGGGTTAGGGTTGGAGCTAGGGTTAGGGTTAGGGTTAGGGTTGGAGTTAGGGTTAGTGTTGGAGCTAGGGTTAGGGTTGGGCTTGGAGCTAGGATTTTTCTGAGTGCACTGAACCAACTCCCGAGTCTCTAGGACATTCCTAAAAAAATTTGATTTTTTCCCATAGGAATGCATGGGTTAGGGTTAGGGTTAGGGTTAGGGTTGGAGCTAGGGTTAGGGTTAGGGTTAGGGTTGGAGTTAGGGTTAGTGTTGGAGCTAGGGTTAGGGTTGGGCTTGGAGCTAGGATTTTTCTGAGTGCACTGAACCAACTCCCGAGTCTCTAGGACGTTCCTAAAAAAATTTGATTTTTTCCCATAGGAATGCATGGGTTAGGGTTAGGGTTAGGGTTAGGGTTGGAGCTAGGGTTAGGGTTAGGGTTAGGGTTGGAGTTAGGGTTAGTGTTGGAGCTAGGGTTAGGGTTGGGCTTGGAGCTAGGATTTTTCTGAGTGCACTGAACCAACTCCCGAGTCTCTAGGACGTTCCTAAAAAAATTTGATTTTTTCCCATAGGAATGCATGGGTTAGGGTTATGGTTAGGGTTGGAGCTAGGGTTAGGGTTAGGGTTAGGGTTGGAGTTAGGGTTAGTGTTGGAGCTAGGGTTAGGGTTTGGCTTGGAGCTAGGACTTTTCTGAGTGCAATGAACCAACTCCCGAGTCTCTTGGACGTTCCCTAAAAAAATTTGATTTTTTCCCATAGGAATGCATGGGTTAGGGTTAGGGTTAGGGTTGGAGCTAGGGTTAGGGTTAGGGTTAGGGTTGGAGTTAGGGTTAGTGTTGGAGCTAGGGTTAGGGTTGGGCTTGGAGCTAGGATTTTTCTGAGTGCAATGAACCAACTCCCGAGTCTCTAGGACGTTCCTAAAAAAATTTGATTTTTTCCCATAGGAATGCATGGGTTAGGGTTATGGTTAGGGTTGGAGCTAGGGTTAGGGTTAGGGTTAGGGTTGGAGTTAGGGTTAGTGTTGGAGCTAGGGTTAGGGTTGGGCTTGGAGCTAGGATTTTTCTGAGTCCAGTGAACCAACTCCCGAGTCTCTAGGACGTTCCTAAAAAAATTTGATTTTTTCCCATAGGAATGCATGGGTTAGGGTTAGGGTTAGGGTTGGAGCTAGGGTTAGGGTTAGGGTTAGGGTTGGAGTTAGGGTTAGTGTTGGAGCTAGGGTTAGGGTTGGGCTTGGAGCTAGGATTTTTCTGAGTGCACTGAACCAACTCCCGAGTCTCTAGGACATTCCTAAAAAAATTTGATTTTTTCCCATAGGAATGCATGGTTTAGGGTTATGGTTAGGGTTAGGGTTGGAGCTAGGGTTAGGGTTAGGGTTAGGGTTGGAGTTAGGGTTAGTGTTGGAGCTAGGGTTAGGGTTGGGCTTGGAGCTAGGACTTTTCTGAGTGCAATGAACCAACTCCCGAGTCTCTAGGACGTTCCCTAAAAAAATTTGATTTTTTCCCATAGGAATGCATGGGTTAGGGTTAGGGTTAGGGTTGGAGCTAGGGTTAGGGTTAGGGTTAGGGTTGGAGTTAGGGTTAGTGTTGGAGCTAGGGTTAGGGTTGGGCTTGGAGCTAGGATTTTTCTGAGTGCACTGAACCAACTCCCGAGTCTCTAGGACATTCCTAAAAAAATTTGATTTTTTCCCATAGGAATGCATGGGTTAGGGTTATGGTTAGGGTTAGGGTTGGAGCTAGGGTTAGGGTTAGGGTTAGGGTTGGAGTTAGGGTTAGTGTTGGAGCTAGGGTTAGGGTTGGGCTTGGAGCTAGGATTTTTCTGAGTGCACTGAACCAACTCCCGAGTCTCTAGGACATTCCTAAAAAAATTTGATTTTTTTCCCATAGGAATGCATGGGTTAGGGTTAGGGTTAGGGTTAGGGTTGGAGCTAGGGTTAGGGTTAGGGTTAGGGTTGGAGTTAGGGTTAGTGTTGGAGCTAGGGTTAGGGTTGGGCTTGGAGCTAGGATTTTTCTGAGTGCACTGAACCAACTCCCGAGTCTCTAGGACACTCCTAAAAAAATTTGATTTTTTCCCATAGGAATGCATGGGTTAGGGTTAGGGTTAGGGTTAGGGTTGGAGCTAGGGTTAGGGTTAGGGTTAGGGTTGGAGTTAGGGTTAGTGTTGGAGCTAGGGTTAGGGTTGGGCTTGGAGCTAGGATTTTTCTGAGTGCACTGAACCAACTCCCGAGTCTCTAGGACATTCCTAAAAAAATTTGATTTTTTCCCATAGGAATGCATGGGTTAGGGTTATGGTTAGGGTTAGGGTTGGAGCTAGGATTTTTCTGAGTGCACTGAACCAACTCCCGAGTCTCTAGGACATTCCTAAAAAAATTTGATTTTTTCCCATAGGAATGCATGGGTTAGGGTTAGGGTTAGGGTTAGGGTTGGAGCTAGGGTTAGGGTTAGGGTTAGGGTTGGAGTTAGGGTTAGTGTTGGAGCTAGGGTTAGGGTTGGGCTTGGAGCTAGGATTTTTCTGAGTGCACTGAACCAACTCCCGAGTCTCTAGGACATTCCTAAAAAAATTTGAGTTTTTCCCATAGGAATGCATGGGTTAGGGTTAGGGTTAGGGTTGGAGCTAGGGTTAGGGTTAGGGTTAGGGTTGGAGTTAGGGTTAGTGTTGGAGCTAGGGTTAGGGTTGGGCTTGGAGCTAGGATTTTTCTGAGTGCACTGAACCAACTCCCGAGTCTCTAGGACATTCCTAAAAAAATTTGATTTTTTCCCATAGGAATGCATGGGTTAGGGTTATGGTTAGGGTTAGGGTTGGAGCTAGGGTTAGGGTTAGGGTTAGGGTTGGAGTTAGAGTTAGTGTTGGAGCTAGGGTTAGGGTTGGGCTTGGAGCTAGGATTTTTCTGAGTGCACTGAACCAACTCCCGAGTCTCTAGGACATTCCTAAAAAAAATTGATTTTTTCCCATAGGAATGCATGGGTTAGGGTTATGGTTAGGGTTAGGGTTGGAGCTAGGGTTAGGGTTAGGGTTAGGGTTGGAGTTAGGGTTAGTGTTGGAGTTAGGGTTAGGGTTGGGCTTGGAGCTAGGATTTTTCTGAGTGCAGTGAACCAACTCCCGAGTCTCTAGGACGTTCCTAAAAAAATTTGATTTTTTCCCATAGGAATGCATGGGTTAGGGTTAGGGTTAGGGTTGGAGCTAGGGTTAGGGTTAGGGTTAGGGTTGGAGTTAGGGTTAGTGTTGGAGCTAGGGTTAGGGTTGGGCTTGGAGCTAGGATTTTTCTGAGTGCACTGAACCAACTCCCGAGTCTCTAGGACATTCCTAAAAAAATTTGATTTTTTTCCCATAGGAATGCATGGGTTAGGGTTATGGTTAGGGTTAGGGTTGGAGCTAGGGTTAGGGTTAGGGTTAGGGTTGGAGTTAGGGTTAGTGTTGGAGCTAGGGTTAGGGTTGGGCTTGGAGCTAGGATTTTTCTGAGTGCACTGAACCAACTCCCGAGTCTCTAGGACATTCCTAAAAAATTTGATTTTTTCCCATAGGAATGCATGGGTTAGGGTTATGGTTAGGGTTAGGGTTGGAGCTAGGGTTAGGGTTAGGGTTAGGGTTGGAGTTAGGGTTAGTGTTGGAGCTAGGGTTAGGGTTGGGCTTGGAGCTAGGATTTTTCTGAGTGCACTGAACCAACTCCCGAGTCTCTAGGACATTCCTAAAAAAATTTGATTTTTTCCCATAGGAATGCATGGGTTAGGGTTATGGTTAGGGTTAGGGTTTGAGCTAGGGTTAGGGTTAGGGTTAGGGTTGGAGTTAGGGTTAGTGTTGGAGCTAGGGTTAGGGTTGGGCTTGGAGCTAGGATTTTTCTGAGTGCACTGAACCAACTCCCGAGTCTCTAGGACATTCCTAAAAAAATTTGATTTTTCCCATAGGAATGCATGGGTTAGGGTTAGGGTTAGGGTTGGAGCTAGGGTTAGGGTTAGGGTTAGGGTTGGAGTTAGGGTTAGTGTTGGAGCTAGGGTTAGGGTTGGGCTTGGAGCTAGGATTTTTCTGAGTGCACTGAACCAACTCCCGAGTCTCTAGGACATTCCTAAAAAAATTTGATTTTTTCCCATAGGAATGCATGGGTTAGGGTTATGGTTAGGGTTAGGGTTGGAGCTAGGGTTAGGGTTAGGGTTAGGGTTGGAGTTAGGGTTAGTGTTGGAGCTAGGGTTAGGGTTGGGCTTGGAGCTAGGATTTTTCTGAGTGCACTGAACCAACTCCCGAGTCTCTAGGACATTCCTAAAAAAAATTGATTTTTTCCCATAGGAATGCATGGGTTAGGGTTATGGTTAGGGTTAGGGTTGGAGCTAGGGTTAGGGTTAGGGTTAGGGTTGGAGTTAGGGTTAGTGTTGGAGTTAGGGTTAGGGTTGGGCTTGGAGCTAGGATTTTTCTGAGTGCACTGAACCAACTCCCGAGTCTCTAGGACATTCCTAAAAAAATTTGATTTTTTCCCATAGGAATGCATGGTTTAGGGTTATGGTTAGGGTTAGGGTTGGAGCTAGGGTTAGGGTTAGGGTTAGGGTTGGAGTTAGGGTTAGTGTTGGAGCTAGGGTTAGGGTTGGGCTTGGAGCTAGGATTTTTCTGAGTGCACTGAACCAACTCCCGAGTCTCTAGGACATTCCTAAAAAAATTTGATTTTTTTCCCATAGGAATGCATGGGTTAGGGTTATGGTTAGGGTTAGGGTTGGAGCTAGGGTTAGGGTTAGGGTTAGGGTTGGAGTTAGGGTTAGTGTTGGAGCTAGGGTTAGGGTTGGGCTTGGAGCTAGGATTTTTCTGAGTGCACTGAACCAACTCCCGAGTCTCTAGGACATTCCTAAAAAAATTTGATTTTTTCCCATAGGAATGCATGGGTTAGGGTTATGGTTAGGGTTAGGGTTGGAGCTAGGGTTAGGGTTAGGGTTAGGGTTGGAGTTAGGGTTAGTGTTGGAGCTAGGGTTAGGGTTGGGCTTGGAGCTAGGATTTTTCTGAGTGCACTGAACCAACTCCCGAGTCTCTAGGACATTCCTAAAAAAATTTGATTTTTTCCCATAGGAATGCATGGGTTAGGGTTATGGTTAGGGTTAGGGTTTGAGCTAGGGTTAGGGTTAGGGTTAGGGTTGGAGTTAGGGTTAGTGTTGGAGCTAGGGTTAGGGTTGGGCTTGGAGCTAGGATTTTTCTGAGTGCACTGAACCAACTCCCGAGTCTCTAGGACATTCCTAAAAAAATTTGATTTTTTCCCATAGGAATGCATGGGTTAGGGTTAGGGTTAGGGTTGGAGCTAGGGTTAGGGTTAGGGTTGGAGTTAGGGTTAGTGTTGGAGCTAGGGTTAGGGTTGGGCTTGGAGCTAGGATTTTTCTGAGTGCACTGAACCAACTCCCGAGTCTCTAGGACATTCCTAAAAAAATTGATTTTTTCCCATAGGAATGCATGGGTTAGGGTTATGGTTAGGGTTAGGGTTGGAGCTAGGGTTAGGGTTAGGGTTAGGGTTGGAGTTAGGGTTAGTGTTGGAGCTAGGGTTAGGGTTGGGCTTGGAGCTAGGATTTTTCTGAGTGCACTGAACCAACTCCCGAGTCTCTAGGACATTCCTAAAAAAATTTGATTTTTTTCCCATAGGAATGCATGGGTTAGGGTTATGGTTAGGGTTAGGGTTGGAGCTAGGGTTAGGGTTAGGGTTAGGGTTGGAGTTAGGGTTAGTGTTGGAGCTAGGGTTAGGGTTGGGCTTGGAGCTAGGATTTTTCTGAGTGCACTGAACCAACTCCCGAGTCTCTAGGACGTTCCTAAAAAAATTTGATTTTTTCCCATAGGAATGCATGGGTTAGGGTTATGGTTAGGGTTAGGGTTGGAGCTAGGGTTAGGGTTAGGGTTAGGGTTGGAGTTAGGGTTAGTGTTGGAGCTAGGGTTAGGGTTGGGCTTGGAGCTAGGATTTTTCTGAGTGCACTGAACCAACTCCCGAGTCTCTAGGACATTCCTAAAAAAATTTGAGTTTTTCCCATAGGAATTTATGGGTTAGGGTTAGGGTTAGGGTTGGAGCTAGGGTTAGGGTTAGGGTTAGGGTTGGAGTTAGGGTTAGTGTTGGAGCTAGGGTTAGGGTTGGGCTTGGAGCTAGGATTTTTCTGAGTGCACTGAACCAACTCCCGAGTCTCTAGGACATTCCTAAAAAAATTTGATTTTTTCCCATAGGAATGCATGGGTTAGGGTTATGGTTAGGGTTAGGGTTGGAGCTAGGGTTAGGGTTAGGGTTAGGGTTGGAGTTAGGGTTAGTGTTGGAGCTAGGGTTAGGGTTGGGCTTGGAGCTAGGATTTTTCTGAGTGCACTGAACCAACTCCCGAGTCTCTAGGACATTCCTAAAAAAATTTGATTTTTTCCCATAGGAATGCATGGGTTAGGGTTATGGTTAGGGTTAGGGTTGGAGCTAGGGTTAGGGTTAGGGTTAGGGTTGGAGTTAGGGTTAGTGTTGGAGCTAGGGTTAGGGTTGGGCTTGGAGCTAGGATTTTTCTGAGTGCACTGAACCAACTCCCGAGTCTCTAGGACATTCCTAAAAAATTTGATTTTTTCCCATAGGAATGCATGGGTTAGGGTTATGGTTAGGGTTAGGGTTGGAGCTAGGGTTAGGGTTAGGGTTAGGGTTGGAGTTAGGGTTAGTGTTGGAGCTAGGGTTAGGGTTGGGCTTGGAGCTAGGATTTTTCTGAGTGCACTGAACCAACTCCCGAGTCTCTAGGACATTCCTAAAAAAATTTGATTTTTTCCCATAGGAATGCATGGGTTAGGGTTAGGGTTAGGGTTGGAGCTAGGGTTAGGGTTAGGGTTAGGGTTGGAGATAGGGTTAGTGTTGGAGCTAGGGTTAGGGTTGGGCTTGGAGCTAGGATTTTTCTGAGTCCACTGAACCAACTCCCGAGTCTCTAGGACGTTCCTAAAAAAATTTGATTTTTTCCCATAGGAATGCATGGGTTAGGGTTAGGGTTAGGGTTGGAGCTAGGGTTAGGGTTAGGGTTAGGGTTGGAGTTAGGGTTAGTGTTGGAGCTAGGGTTAGGGTTGGGCTTGGAGCTAGGATTTTTCTGAGTGCACTGAACCAACTCCCGAGTCTCTAGGACATTCCTAAAAAAATTTGATTTTTTCCCATAGGAATGCATGGGTTAGGGTTAGGGTTAGGGTTGGAGCTAGGGTTAGGGTTAGGGTTAGGGTTGGAGTTAGGGTTAGTGTTGGAGCTAGGGTTAGGGTTGGGCTTGGAGCTAGGATTTTTCTGAGTGCACTGAACCAACTCCCGAGTCTCTAGGACATTCCTAAAAAAATTTGAGTTTTTCCCATAGGAATGCATGGGTTAGGGTTAGGGTTAGGGTTGGAGCTAGGGTTAGGGTTAGGGTTAGGGTTGGAGTTAGGGTTAGTGTTGGAGCTAGGGTTAGGGTTGGGCTTGGAGCTAGGATTTTTCTGAGTGCACTGAACCAACTCCCGAGTCTCTAGGACATTCCTAAAAAAATTTGATTTTTTCCCATAGGAATGCATGGGTTAGGGTTATGGTTAGGGTTAGGGTTGGAGCTAGGGTTAGGGTTAGGGTTAGGGTTGGAGTTAGAGTTAGTGTTGGAGCTAGGGTTAGGGTTGGGCTTGGAGCTAGGATTTTTCTGAGTGCACTGAACCAACTCCCGAGTCTCTAGGACGTTCCTAAAAAAATTTGATTTTTTCCCATAGGAATGCATGGGTTAGGGTTAGGGTTAGGGTTGGAGCTAGGGTTAGGGTTAGGGTTAGGGTTGGAGTTAGGGTTAGTGTTGGAGCTAGGGTTAGGGTTGGGCTTGGAGCTAGGATTTTTCTGAGTGCACTGAACCAACTCCCGAGTCTCTAGGACATTCCTAAAAAAATTTGATTTTTTCCCATAGGAATGCATGGGTTAGGGTTAGGGTTAGGGTTGGAGCTAGGGTTAGGGTTAGGGTTAGGGTTGGAGTTAGGGTTAGTGTTGGAGCTAGGGTTAGGGTTGGGCTTGGAGCTAGGATTTTTCTGAGTGCACTGAACCAACTCCCGAGTCTCTAGGACATTCCTAAAAAAATTTGAGTTTTTCCCATAGGAATGCATGGGTTAGGGTTAGGGTTAGGGTTGGAGCTAGGGTTAGGGTTAGGGTTAGGGTTGGAGTTAGGGTTAGTGTTGGAGCTAGGGTTAGGGTTGGGCTTGGAGCTAGGATTTTTCTGAGTGCACTGAACCAACTCCCGAGTCTCTAGGACATTCCTAAAAAAATTTGATTTTTTTCCCATAGGAATGCATGGTTTAGGGTTATGGTTAGGGTTAGGGTTGGAGCTAGGGTTAGGGTTAGGGTTAGGGTTGGAGTTAGAGTTAGTGTTGGAGCTAGGGTTAGGGTTGGGCTTGGAGCTAGGATTTTTCTGAGTGCACTGAACCAACTCCCGAGTCTCTAGGACGTTCCTAAAAAAATTTGATTTTTTCCCATAGGAATGCATGGGTTAGGGTTATGGTTAGGGTTAGGGTTGGAGCTAGGGTTAGGGTTAGGGTTAGGGTTGGAGTTAGGGTTAGTGTTGGAGCTAGGGTTAGGGTTGGGCTTGGAGCTAGGATTTTTCTGAGTGCACTGAACCAACTCCCGAGTCTCTAGGACGTTCCTAAAAAAATTTGATTTTTTCCCATAGGAATGCATGGGTTAGGGTTAGGGTTAGGGTTGGAGCTAGGGTTAGGGTTAGGGTTAGGGTTGGAGTTAGGGTTAGTGTTGGAGCTAGGGTTAGGGTTGGGCTTGGAGCTAGGATTTTTCTGAGTGCACTGAACCAACTCCCGAGTCTCTAGGACATTCCTAAAAAAATTTGATTTTTTCCCATAGGAATGCATGGGTTAGGGTTAGGGTTAGGGTTGGAGCTAGGGTTAGGGTTAGGGTTGCAGTTAGGGTTAGTGTTGGAGCTAGGGTTAGGGTTGGGCTTGGAGCTAGGATTTTTCTGAGTGCACTGAACCAACTCCCGAGTCTCTAGGACATTCCTAAAAAAATTTGATTTTTTCCCATAGGAATGCATGGGTTAGGGTTATGGTTAGGGTTAGGGTTGGAGCTAGGGTTAGGGTTAGGGTTAGGGTTGGAGTTAGAGTTAGTGTTGGAGCTAGGGTTAGGGTTGGGCTTGGAGCTAGGATTTTTCTGAGTGCACTGAACCAACTCCCGAGTCTCTAGGACATTCCTAAAAAAATTTGATTTTTTCCCATAGGAATGCATGGGTTAGGGTTATGGTTAGGGTTAGGGTTGGAGCTAGGGTTAGGGTTAGGGTTAGGGTTGGAGTTAGGGTTAGTGTTGGAGCTAGGGTTAGGGTTGGGCTTGGAGCTAGGATTTTTCTGAGTGCACTGAACCAACTCCCGAGTCTCTAGGACGTTCCTAAAAAATTTGATTTTTTCCCATAGGAATGCATGGGTTAGGGTTAGGGTTAGGGTTGGAGCTAGGGTTAGGGTTAGGGTTAGGGTTGGAGTTAGGGTTAGTGTTGGAGCTAGGGTTAGGGTTGGGCTTGGAGCTAGGATTTTTCTGAGTGCACTGAACCAACTCCCGAGTCTCTAGGACATTCCTAAAAAAATTTGATTTTTTTCCCATAGGAATGCATGGGTTAGGGTTATGGTTAGGGTTAGGGTTGGAGCTAGGGTTAGGGTTAGGGTTAGGGTTGGAGTTAGGGTTAGTGTTGGAGCTAGGGTTAGGGTTGGGCTTGGAGCTAGGATTTTTCTGAGTGCACTGAACCAACTCCCGAGTCTCTAGGACATTCCTAAAAAAATTTGATTTTTTTCCCATAGGAATGCATGGGTTAGGGTTATGGTTAGGGTTAGGGTTGGAGCTAGGGTTAGGGTTAGGGTTAGGGTTGGAGTTAGGGTTAGTGTTGGAGCTAGGGTTAGGGTTGGGCTTGGAGCTAGGATTTTTCTGAGTGCACTGAACCAACTCCCGAGTCTCTAGGACATTCCTAAAAAAATTTGATTTTTTCCCATAGGAATGCATGGGTTAGGGTTAGGGTTAGGGTTGGAGCTAGGGTTAGGGTTAGGGTTAGGGTTGGAGTTAGGGTTAGTGTTGGAGCTAGGGTTAGGGTTGGGCTTGGAGCTAGGATTTTTCTGAGTGCACTGAACCAACTCCCGAGTCTCTAGGACATTCCTAAAAAAATTTGATTTTTTCCCATAGGAATGCATGGGTTAGGGTTATGGTTAGGGTTAGGGTTGGAGCTAGGGTTAGGGTTAGGGTTAGGGTTGGAGTTAGGGTTAGTGTTGGAGCTAGGGTTAGGGTTGGGCTTGGAGCTAGGATTTTTCTGAGTGCACTGAACCAACTCCCGAGTCTCTAGGACATTCCTAAAAAAATTTGATTTTTTCCCATAGGAATGCATGGGTTAGGGTTATGGTTAGGGTTAGGGTTGGAGCTAGGGTTAGGGTTAGGGTTAGGGTTGGAGTTAGGGTTAGTGTTGGAGCTAGGGTTAGGGTTGGGCTTGGAGCTAGGATTTTTCTGAGTGCACTGAACCAACTCCCGAGTCTCTAGGACGTTCCTAAAAAAATTTGATTTTTTCCCATAGGAATGCATGGGTTAGGGTTAGGGTTAGGGTTGGAGCTAGGGTTAGGGTTAGGGTTAGGGTTGGAGTTAGGGTTAGTGTTGGAGCTAGGGTTAGGGTTGGGCTTGGAGCTAGGATTTTTCTGAGTGCACTGAACCAACTCCCGAGTCTCTAGGACATTCCTAAAAAATTTGATTTTTTCCCATAGGAATGCATGGGTTAGGGTTAGGGTTAGGGTTGGAGCTAGGGTTAGGGTTAGGGTTGCAGTTAGGGTTAGTGTTGGAGCTAGGGTTAGGGTTGGGCTTGGAGCTAGGATTTTTCTGAGTGCACTGAACCAACTCCCGAGTCTCTAGGACATTCCTAAAAAAATTTGATTTTTTCCCATAGGAATGCATGGGTTAGGGTTATGGTTAGGGTTAGGGTTGGAGCTAGGGTTAGGGTTAGGGTTAGGGTTGGAGTTAGGGTTAGTGTTGGAGCTAGGGTTAGGGTTGGGCTTGGAGCTAGGATTTTTCTGAGTGCACTGAACCAACTCCCGAGTCTCTAGGACGTTCCTAAAAAAATTTGATTTTTTCCCATAGGAATGCATGGGTTAGGGTTAGGGTTAGGGTTGGAGCTAGGGTTAGGGTTAGGGTTAGGGTTGGAGTTAGGGTTAGTGTTGGAGCTAGGGTTAGGGTTGGGCTTGGAGCTAGGATTTTTCTGAGTGCACTGAACCAACTCCCGAGTCTCTAGGACATTCCTAAAAAAATTTGAGTTTTTCCCATAGGAATTTATGGGTTAGGGTTAGGGTTAGGGTTGGAGCTAGGGTTAGGGTTAGGGTTAGGGTTGGAGTTAGGGTTAGTGTTGGAGCTAGGGTTAGGGTTGGGCTTGGAGCTAGGATTTTTCTGAGTGCACTGAACCAACTCCCGAGTCTCTAGGACATTCCTAAAAAAATTTGATTTTTTCCCATAGGAATGCATGGGTTAGGGTTATGGTTAGGGTTAGGGTTGGAGCTAGGGTTAGGGTTAGGGTTAGGGTTGGAGTTAGGGTTAGTGTTGGAGCTAGGGTTAGGGTTGGGCTTGGAGCTAGGATTTTTCTGAGTGCACTGAACCAACTCCCGAGTCTCTAGGACATTCCTAAAAAAATTTGATTTTTTCCCATAGGAATGCATGGGTTAGGGTTATGGTTAGGGTTAGGGTTGGAGCTAGGGTTAGGGTTAGGGTTAGGGTTGGAGTTAGGGTTAGTGTTGGAGCTAGGGTTAGGGTTGGGCTTGGAGCTAGGATTTTTCTGAGTGCACTGAACCAACTCCCGAGTCTCTAGGACATTCCTAAAAAAATTTGATTTTTTCCCATAGGAATGCATGGGTTAGGGTTATGGTTAGGGTTAGGGTTGGAGCTAGGGTTAGGGTTAGGGTTAGGGTTGGAGTTAGGGTTAGTGTTGGAGCTAGGGTTAGGGTTGGGCTTGGAGCTAGGATTTTTCTGAGTGCACTGAACCAACTCCCGAGTCTCTAGGACATTCCTAAAAAAATTTGATTTTTTCCCATAGGAATGCATGGGTTAGGGTTAGGGTTAGGGTTGGAGCTAGGGTTAGGGTTAGGGTTAGGGTTGGAGATAGGGTTAGTGTTGGAGCTAGGGTTAGGGTTGGGCTTGGAGCTAGGATTTTTCTGAGTCCACTGAACCAACTCCCGAGTCTCTAGGACGTTCCTAAAAAAATTTGATTTTTTCCCATAGGAATGCATGGGTTAGGGTTAGGGTTAGGGTTGGAGCTAGGGTTAGGGTTAGGGTTAGGGTTGGAGTTAGGGTTAGTGTTGGAGCTAGGGTTAGGGTTGGGCTTGGAGCTAGGATTTTTCTGAGTGCACTGAACCAACTCCCGAGTCTCTAGGACATTCCTAAAAAAATTTGATTTTTTCCCATAGGAATGCATGGGTTAGGGTTAGGGTTAGGGTTGGAGCTAGGGTTAGGGTTAGGGTTAGGGTTGGAGTTAGGGTTAGTGTTGGAGCTAGGGTTAGGGTTGGGCTTGGAGCTAGGATTTTTCTGAGTGCACTGAACCAACTCCCGAGTCTCTAGGACATTCCTAAAAAAATTTGAGTTTTTCCCATAGGAATGCATGGGTTAGGGTTAGGGTTAGGGTTGGAGCTAGGGTTAGGGTTAGGGTTAGGGTTGGAGTTAGGGTTAGTGTTGGAGCTAGGGTTAGGGTTGGGCTTGGAGCTAGGATTTTTCTGAGTGCACTGAACCAACTCCCGAGTCTCTAGGACATTCCTAAAAAATTTGATTTTTTCCCATAGGAATGCATGGGTTAGGGTTATGGTTAGGGTTAGGGTTGGAGCTAGGGTTAGGGTTAGGGTTAGGGTTGGAGTTAGAGTTAGTGTTGGAGCTAGGGTTAGGGTTGGGCTTGGAGCTAGGATTTTTCTGAGTGCACTGAACCAACTCCCGAGTCTCTAGGACGTTCCTAAAAAAAATTGATTTTTTCCCATAGGAATGCATGGGTTAGGGTTAGGGTTAGGGTTGGAGCTAGGGTTAGGGTTAGGGTTAGGGTTGGAGTTAGGGTTAGTGTTGGAGCTAGGGTTAGGGTTGGGCTTGGAGCTAGGATTTTTCTGAGTGCACTGAACCAACTCCCGAGTCTCTAGGACATTCCTAAAAAAATTTGAGTTTTTCCCATAGGAATGCATGGGTTAGGGTTAGGGTTAGGGTTGGAGCTAGGGTTAGGGTTAGGGTTAGGGTTGGAGTTAGGGTTAGTGTTGGAGCTAGGGTTAGGGTTGGGCTTGGAGCTAGGATTTTTCTGAGTGCACTGAACCAACTCCCGAGTCTCTAGGACATTCCTAAAAAAATTTGAGTTTTTCCCATAGGAATGCATGGGTTAGGGTTAGGGTTAGGGTTGGAGCTAGGGTTAGGGTTAGGGTTAGGGTTGGAGTTAGGGTTAGTGTTGGAGCTAGGGTTAGGGTTGGGCTTGGAGCTAGGATTTTTCTGAGTGCACTGAACCAACTCCCGAGTCTCTAGGACATTCCTAAAAAAATTTGATTTTTTTCCCATAGGAATGCATGGTTTAGGGTTATGGTTAGGGTTAGGGTTGGAGCTAGGGTTAGGGTTAGGGTTAGGGTTGGAGTTAGGGTTAGTGTTGGAGCTAGGGTTAGGGTTGGGCTTGGAGCTAGGATTTTTCTGAGTGCACTGAACCAACTCCCGAGTCTCTAGGACGTTCCTAAAAAAATTTGATTTTTTCCCATAGGAATGCATGGGTTAGGGTTATGGTTAGGGTTAGGGTTGGAGCTAGGGTTAGGGTTAGGGTTAGGGTTGGAGTTAGGGTTAGTGTTGGAGCTAGGGTTAGGGTTGGGCTTGGAGCTAGGATTTTTCTGAGTGCACTGAACCAACTCCCGAGTCTCTAGGACGTTCCTAAAAAAATTTGATTTTTTCCCATAGGAATGCATGGGTTAGGGTTAGGGTTAGGGTTGGAGCTAGGGTTAGGGTTAGGGTTAGGGTTGGAGTTAGGGTTAGTGTTGGAGCTAGGGTTAGGGTTGGGCTTGGAGCTAGGATTTTTCTGAGTGCACTGAACCAACTCCCGAGTCTCTAGGACATTCCTAAAAAAATTTGATTTTTTCCCATAGGAATGCATGGGTTAGGGTTAGGGTTAGGGTTGGAGCTAGGGTTAGGGTTAGGGTTGCAGTTAGGGTTAGTGTTGGAGCTAGGGTTAGGGTTGGGCTTGGAGCTAGGATTTTTCTGAGTGCACTGAACCAACTCCCGAGTCTCTAGGACATTCCTAAAAAATTTTGATTTTTTCCCATAGGAATGCATGGGTTAGGGTTATGGTTAGGGTTAGGGTTGGAGCTAGGGTTAGGGTTAGGGTTAGGGTTGGAGTTAGAGTTAGTGTTGGAGCTAGGGTTAGGGTTGGGCTTGGAGCTAGGATTTTTCTGAGTGCACTGAACCAACTCCCGAGTCTCTAGGACATTCCTAAAAAAATTTGATTTTTTCCCATAGGAATGCATGGGTTAGGGTTATGGTTAGGGTTAGGGTTGGAGCTAGGGTTAGGGTTAGGGTTAGGGTTGGAGTTAGGGTTAGTGTTGGAGCTAGGGTTAGGGTTGGGCTTGGAGCTAGGATTTTTCTGAGTGCACTGAACCAACTCCCGAGTCTCTAGGACGTTCCTAAAAAAATTTGATTTTTTCCCATAGGAATGCATGGGTTAGGGTTAGGGTTAGGGTTGGAGCTAGGGTTAGGGTTAGGGTTAGGGTTGGAGTTAGGGTTAGTGTTGGAGCTAGGGTTAGGGTTGGGCTTGGAGCTAGGATTTTTCTGAGTGCACTGAACCAACTCCCGAGTCTCTAGGACATTCCTAAAAAAATTTGATTTTTTCCCATAGGAATGCATGGGTTAGGGTTATGGTTAGGGTTAGGGTTGGAGCTAGGGTTAGGGTTAGGGTTAGGGTTGGAGTTAGGGTTAGTGTTGGAGCTAGGGTTAGGGTTGGGCTTGGAGCTAGGATTTTTCTGAGTGCACTGAACCAACTCCCGAGTCTCTAGGACATTCCTAAAAAAATTTGATTTTTTTCCCATAGGAATGCATGGGTTAGGGTTATGGTTAGGGTTAGGGTTGGAGCTAGGGTTAGGGTTAGGGTTAGGGTTGGAGTTAGGGTTAGTGTTGGAGCTAGGGTTAGGGTTGGGCTTGGAGCTAGGATTTTTCTGAGTGCACTGAACCAACTCCCGAGTCTCTAGGACATTCCTAAAAAAATTTGATTTTTTCCCATAGGAATGCATGGGTTAGGGTTAGGGTTAGGGTTGGAGCTAGGGTTAGGGTTAGGGTTAGGGTTGGAGTTAGGGTTAGTGTTGGAGCTAGGGTTAGGGTTGGGCTTGGAGCTAGGATTTTTCTGAGTGCACTGAACCAACTCCCGAGTCTCTAGGACATTCCTAAAAAAATTTGATTTTTTCCCATAGGAATGCATGGGTTAGGGTTATGGTTAGGGTTAGGGTTGGAGCTAGGGTTAGGGTTAGGGTTAGGGTTGGAGTTAGGGTTAGTGTTGGAGCTAGGGTTAGGGTTGGGCTTGGAGCTAGGATTTTTCTGAGTGCACTGAACCAACTCCCGAGTCTCTAGGACATTCCTAAAAAAATTTGATTTTTTCCCATAGGAATGCATGGGTTAGGGTTATGGTTAGGGTTAGGGTTGGAGCTAGGGTTAGGGTTAGGGTTAGGGTTGGAGTTAGGGTTAGTGTTGGAGCTAGGGTTAGGGTTGGGCTTGGAGCTAGGATTTTTCTGAGTGCACTGAACCAACTCCCGAGTCTCTAGGACGTTCCTAAAAAAATTTGATTTTTTCCCATAGGAATGCATGGGTTAGGGTTAGGGTTAGGGTTGGAGCTAGGGTTAGGGTTAGGGTTAGGGTTGGAGTTAGGGTTAGTGTTGGAGCTAGGGTTAGGGTTGGGCTTGGAGCTAGGATTTTTCTGAGTGCACTGAACCAACTCCCGAGTCTCTAGGACATTCCTAAAAAAATTTGATTTTTTCCCATAGGAATGCATGGGTTAGGGTTAGGGTTAGGGTTGGAGCTAGGGTTAGGGTTAGGGTTGCAGTTAGGGTTAGTGTTGGAGCTAGGGTTAGGGTTGGGCTTGGAGCTAGGATTTTTCTGAGTGCACTGAACCAACTCCCGAGTCTCTAGGACATTCCTAAAAAAATTTGATTTTTTCCCATAGGAATGCATGGGTTAGGGTTATGGTTAGGGTTAAGGTTGGAGCTAGGGTTAGGGTTAGGGTTAGGGTTGGAGTTAGGGTTAGTGTTGGAGCTAGGGTTAGGGTTGGGCTTGGAGCTAGGATTTTTCTGAGTGCACTGAACCAACTCCCGAGTCTCTAGGACGTTCCTAAAAAAATTTGATTTTTTCCCATAGGAATGCATGGGTTAGGGTTAGGGTTAGGGTTGGAGCTAGGGTTAGGGTTAGGGTTAGGGTTGGAGTTAGGGTTAGTGTTGGAGCTAGGGTTAGGGTTGGGCTTGGAGCTAGGATTTTTCTGAGTGCACTGAACCAACTCCCGAGTCTCTAGGACATTCCTAAAAAAAAATTGAGTTTTTCCCATAGGAATGCATGGGTTAGGGTTAGGGTTAGGGTTGGAGCTAGGGTTAGGGTTAGGGTTAGGGTTGGAGTTAGGGTTAGTGTTGGAGCTAGGGTTAGGGTTGGGCTTGGAGCTAGGATTTTTCTGAGTGCACTGAACCAACTCCCGAGTCTCTAGGACATTCCTAAAAAAATTTGATTTTTTCCCATAGGAATGCATGGGTTAGGGTTATGGTTAGGGTTAGGGTTGGAGCTAGGGTTAGGGTTAGGGTTAGGGTTGGAGTTAGGGTTAGTGTTGGAGCTAGGGTTAGGGTTGGGCTTGGAGCTAGGATTTTTCTGAGTGCACTGAACCAACTCCCGAGTCTCTAGGACATTCCTAAAAAAATTTGATTTTTTCCCATAGGAATGCATGGGTTAGGGTTAGGGTTAGGGTTGGAGCTAGGGTTAGGGTTAGGGTTGGAGTTAGGGTTAGTGTTGGAGCTAGGGTTAGGGTTGGGCTTGGAGCTAGGATTTTTCTGAGTGCACTGAACCAACTCCCGAGTCTCTAGGACATTCCTAAAAAAATTTGATTTTTTCCCATAGGAATGCATGGGTTAGGGTTATGGTTAGGGTTAGGGTTGGAGCTAGGGTTAGGGTTAGGGTTAGGGTTGGAGTTAGGGTTAGTGTTGGAGCTAGGGTTAGGGTTGGGCTTGGAGCTAGGATTTTTCTGAGTGCACTGAACCAACTCCCGAGTCTCTAGGACATTCCTAAAAAAATTTGATTTTTTCCCATAGGAATGCATGGGTTAGGGTTATGGTTAGGGTTAGGGTTGGAGCTAGGGTTAGGGTTAGGGTTAGGGTTGGAGTTAGGGTTAGTGTTGGAGCTAGGGTTAGGGTTGGGCTTGGAGCTAGGATTTTTCTGAGTGCACTGAACCAACTCCCGAGTCTCTAGGACATTCCTAAAAAAATTTGATTTTTTCCCATAGGAATGCATGGGTTAGGGTTAGGGTTAGGGTTGGAGCTAGGGTTAGGGTTAGGGTTGCAGTTAGGGTTAGTGTTGGAGCTAGGGTTAGGGTTGGGCTTGGAGCTAGGATTTTTCTGAGTGCACTGAACCAACTCCCGAGTCTCTAGGACATTCCTAAAAAAATTTGATTTTTTCCCATAGGAATGCATGGGTTAGGGTTATGGTTAGGGTTAGGGTTGGAGCTAGGGTTAGGGTTAGGGTTAGGGTTGGAGTTAGAGTTAGTGTTGGAGCTAGGGTTAGGGTTGGGCTTGGAGCTAGGATTTTTCTGAGTGCACTGAACCAACTCCCGAGTCTCTAGGACATTCCTAAAAAAATTTGATTTTTTCCCATAGGAATGCATGGGTTAGGGTTATGGTTAGGGTTAGGGTTGGAGCTAGGGTTAGGGTTAGGGTTAGGGTTGGAGTTAGGGTTAGTGTTGGAGCTAGGGTTAGGGTTGGGCTTGGAGCTAGGATTTTTCTGAGTGCACTGAACCAACTCCCGAGTCTCTAGGACGTTCCTAAAAAAATTTGATTTTTTCCCATAGGAATGCATGGGTTAGGGTTAGGGTTAGGGTTGGAGCTAGGGTTAGGGTTAGGGTTAGGGTTGGAGTTAGGGTTAGTGTTGGAGCTAGGGTTAGGGTTGGGCTTGGAGCTAGGATTTTTCTGAGTGCACTGAACCAACTCCCGAGTCTCTAGGACATTCCTAAAAAAATTTGATTTTTTCCCATAGGAATGCATGGGTTAGGGTTATGGTTAGGGTTAGGGTTGGAGCTAGGGTTAGGGTTAGGGTTAGGGTTGGAGTTAGGGTTAGTGTTGGAGCTAGGGTTAGGGTTGGGCTTGGAGCTAGGATTTTTCTGAGTGCACTGAACCAACTCCCGAGTCTCTAGGACATTCCTAAAAAAATTTGATTTTTTTCCCATAGGAATGCATGGGTTAGGGTTATGGTTAGGGTTAGGGTTGGAGCTAGGGTTAGGGTTAGGGTTAGGGTTGGAGTTAGGGTTAGTGTTGGAGCTAGGGTTAGGGTTGGGCTTGGAGCTAGGATTTTTCTGAGTGCACTGAACCAACTCCCGAGTCTCTAGGACATTCCTAAAAAAATTTGATTTTTTCCCATAGGAATGCATGGGTTAGGGTTAGGGTTAGGGTTGGAGCTAGGGTTAGGGTTAGGGTTAGGGTTGGAGTTAGGGTTAGTGTTGGAGCTAGGGTTAGGGTTGGGCTTGGAGCTAGGATTTTTCTGAGTGCACTGAACCAACTCCCGAGTCTCTAGGACATTCCTAAAAAAATTTGATTTTTTCCCATAGGAATGCATGGGTTAGGGTTATGGTTAGGGTTAGGGTTGGAGCTAGGGTTAGGGTTAGGGTTAGGGTTGGAGTTAGGGTTAGTGTTGGAGCTAGGGTTAGGGTTGGGCTTGGAGCTAGGATTTTTCTGAGTGCACTGAACCAACTCCCGAGTCTCTAGGACATTCCTAAAAAAATTTGATTTTTTCCCATAGGAATGCATGGGTTAGGGTTATGGTTAGGGTTAGGGTTGGAGCTAGGGTTAGGGTTAGGGTTAGGGTTGGAGTTAGGGTTAGTGTTGGAGCTAGGGTTAGGGTTGGGCTTGGAGCTAGGATTTTTCTGAGTGCACTGAACCAACTCCCGAGTCTCTAGGACGTTCCTAAAAAAATTTGATTTTTTCCCATAGGAATGCATGGGTTAGGGTTAGGGTTAGGGTTGGAGCTAGGGTTAGGGTTAGGGTTAGGGTTGGAGTTAGGGTTAGTGTTGGAGCTAGGGTTAGGGTTGGGCTTGGAGCTAGGATTTTTCTGAGTGCACTGAACCAACTCCCGAGTCTCTAGGACATTCCTAAAAAAATTTGATTTTTTCCCATAGGAATGCATGGGTTAGGGTTAGGGTTAGGGTTGGAGCTAGGGTTAGGGTTAGGGTTGCAGTTAGGGTTAGTGTTGGAGCTAGGGTTAGGGTTGGGCTTGGAGCTAGGATTTTTCTGAGTGAACTGAACCAACTCCCGAGTCTCTAGGACATTCCTAAAAAAATTTGATTTTTTCCCATAGGAATGCATGGGTTAGGGTTATGGTTAGGGTTAGGGTTGGAGCTAGGGTTAGGGTTAGGGTTAGGGTTGGAGTTAGGGTTAGTGTTGGAGCTAGGGTTAGGGTTGGGCTTGGAGCTAGGATTTTTCTGAGTGCACTGAACCAACTCCCGAGTCTCTAGGACGTTCCTAAAAAAATTTGATTTTTTCCCATAGGAATGCATGGGTTAGGGTTAGGGTTAGGGTTGGAGCTAGGGTTAGGGTTAGGGTTAGGGTTGGAGTTAGGGTTAGTGTTGGAGCTAGGGTTAGGGTTGGGCTTGGAGCTAGGATTTTTCTGAGTGCACTGAACCAACTCCCGAGTCTCTAGGACATTCCTAAAAAAAATTGAGTTTTTCCCATAGGAATGCATGGGTTAGGGTTAGGGTTAGGGTTGGAGCTAGGGTTAGGGTTAGGGTTAGGGTTGGAGTTAGGGTTAGTGTTGGAGCTAGGGTTAGGGTTGGGCTTGGAGCTAGGATTTTTCTGAGTGCACTGAACCAACTCCCGAGTCTCTAGGACATTCCTAAAAAAATTTGATTTTTTCCCATAGGAATGCATGGGTTAGGGTTATGGTTAGGGTTAGGGTTGGAGCTAGGGTTAGGGTTAGGGTTAGGGTTGGAGTTAGGGTTAGTGTTGGAGCTAGGGTTAGGGTTGGGCTTGGAGCTAGGATTTTTCTGAGTGCACTGAACCAACTCCCGAGTCTCTAGGACATTCCTAAAAAAATTTGATTTTTTCCCATAGGAATGCATGGGTTAGGGTTATGGTTAGGGTTAGGGTTGGAGCTAGGGTTAGGGTTAGGGTTAGGGTTGGAGTTAGGGTTAGTGTTGGAGCTAGGGTTAGGGTTGGGCTTGGAGCTAGGATTTTTCTGAGTGCACTGAACCAACTCCCGAGTCTCTAGGACATTCCTAAAAAAATTTGATTTTTTCCCATAGGAATGCATGGGTTAGGGTTATGGTTAGGGTTAGGGTTGGAGCTAGGGTTAGGGTTAGGGTTAGGGTTGGAGTTAGGGTTAGTGTTGGAGCTAGGGTTAGGGTTGGGCTTGGAGCTAGGATTTTTCTGAGTGCACTGAACCAACTCCCGAGTCTCTAGGACATTCCTAAAAAAATTTGATTTTTTCCCATAGGAATGCATGGGTTAGGGTTATGGTTAGGGTTAGGGTTGGAGCTAGGGTTAGGGTTAGGGTTAGGGTTGGAGTTAGGGTTAGTGTTGGAGCTAGGGTTAGGGTTGGGCTTGGAGCTAGGATTTTTCTGAGTGCACTGAACCAACTCCCGAGTCTCTAGGACGTTCCTAAAAAAATTTGATTTTTTCCCATAGGAATGCATGGGTTAGGGTTAGGGTTAGGGTTGGAGCTAGGGTTAGGGTTAGGGTTAGGGTTGGAGTTAGGGTTAGTGTTGGAGCTAGGGTTAGGGTTGGGCTTGGAGCTAGGATTTTTCTGAGTGCACTGAACCAACTCCCGAGTCTCTAGGACATTCCTAAAAAAATTTGAGTTTTTCCCATAGGAATGCATGGGTTAGGGTTAGGGTTAGGGTTGGAGCTAGGGTTAGGGTTAGGGTTAGGGTTGGAGTTAGGGTTAGTGTTGGAGCTAGGGTTAGGGTTGGGCTTGGAGCTAGGATTTTTCTGAGTGCACTGAACCAACTCCCGAGTCTCTAGGACATTCCTAAAAAAATTTGATTTTTTCCCATAGGAATGCATGGGTTAGGGTTATGGTTAGGGTTAGGGTTGGAGCTAGGGTTAGGGTTAGGGTTAGGGTTGGAGTTAGGGTTAGTGTTGGAGCTAGGGTTAGGGTTGGGCTTGGAGCTAGGATTTTTCTGAGTGCACTGAACCAACTCCCGAGTCTCTAGGACATTCCTAAAAAAATTGATTTTTTCCCATAGGAATGCATGGGTTAGGGTTATGGTTAGGGTTAGGGTTGGAGCTAGGGTTAGGGTTAGGGTTAGGGTTGGAGTTAGGGTTAGTGTTGGAGCTAGGGTTAGGGTTGGGCTTGGAGCTAGGATTTTTCTGAGTGCACTGAACCAACTCCCGAGTCTCTAGGACATTCCTAAAAAAATTTGATTTTTTCCCATAGGAATGCATGGGTTAGGGTTATGGTTAGGGTTAGGGTTGGAGCTAGGGTTAGGGTTAGGGTTAGGGTTGGAGTTAGAGTTAGTGTTGGAGCTAGGGTTAGGGTTGGGCTTGGAGCTAGGATTTTTCTGAGTGCACTGAACCAACTCCCGAGTCTCTAGGACATTCCTAAAAAAATTTGATTTTTTCCCATAGGAATGCATGGGTTAGGGTTATGGTTAGGGTTAGGGTTGGAGCTAGGGTTAGGGTTAGGGTTAGGGTTGGAGTTAGGGTTAGTGTTGGAGCTAGGGTTAGGGTTGGGCTTGGAGCTAGGATTTTTCTGAGTGCACTGAACCAACTCCCGAGTCTCTAGGACATTCCTAAAAAAATTTGATTTTTTCCCATAGGAATGCATGGGTTAGGGTTATGGTTAGGGTTAGGGTTGGAGCTAGGGTTAGGGTTAGGGTTAGGGTTGGAGTTAGGGTTAGTGTTGGAGCTAGGGTTAGGGTTGGGCTTGGAGCTAGGATTTTTCTGAGTGCACTGAACCAACTCCCGAGTCTCTAGGACATTCCTAAAAAAATTTGAGTTTTTCCCATAGGAATGCATGGGTTAGGGTTAGGGTTAGGGTTGGAGCTAGGGTTAGGGTTAGGGTTAGGGTTGCAGTTAGGGTTAGTGTTGGAGCTAGGGTTAGGGTTGGGCTTGGAGCTAGGATTTTTCTGAGTGCACTGAACCAACTCCCGAGTCTCTAGGACATTCCTAAAAAAATTTGATTTTTTCCCATAGGAATGCATGGGTTAGGGTTATGGTTAGGGTTAGGGTTGGAGCTAGGGTTAGGGTTAGGGTTAGGGTTGGAGTTAGAGTTAGTGTTGGAGCTAGGGTTAGGGTTGGGCTTGGAGCTAGGATTTTTCTGAGTGCACTGAACCAACTCCCGAGTCTCTAGGACATTCCTAAAAAAATTTGATTTTTTCCCATAGGAATGCATGGGTTAGGGTTATGGTTAGGGTTAGGGTTGGAGCTAGGGTTAGGGTTAGGGTTAGGGTTGGAGTTAGGGTTAGTGTTGGAGCTAGGGTTAGGGTTGGGCTTGGAGCTAGGATTTTTCTGAGTGCACTGAACCAACTCCCGAGTCTCTAGGACGTTCCTAAAAAAATTTGATTTTTTCCCATAGGAATGCATGGGTTAGGGTTAGGGTTAGGGTTGGAGCTAGGGTTAGGGTTAGGGTTAGGGTTGGAGTTAGGGTTAGTGTTGGAGCTAGGGTTAGGGTTGGGCTTGGAGCTAGGATTTTTCTGAGTGCACTGAACCAACTCCCGAGTCTCTAGGACATTCCTAAAAAAATTTGAGTTTTTCCCATAGGAATGCATGGGTTAGGGTTAGGGTTAGGGTTGGAGCTAGGGTTAGGGTTAGGGTTAGGGTTGGAGTTAGGGTTAGTGTTGGAGCTAGGGTTAGGGTTGGGCTTGGAGCTAGGATTTTTCTGAGTGCACTGAACCAACTCCCGAGTCTCTAGGACATTCCTAAAAAAATTTGATTTTTTTCCCATAGGAATGCATGGGTTAGGGTTATGGTTAGGGTTAGGGTTGGAGCTAGGGTTAGGGTTAGGGTTAGGGTTGGAGTTAGGGTTAGTGTTGGAGCTAGGGTTAGGGTTGGGCTTGGAGCTAGGATTTTTCTGAGTGCACTGAACCAACTCCCGAGTCTCTAGGACATTCCTAAAAAATTTGATTTTTTCCCATAGGAATGCATGGGTTAGGGTTAGGGTTAGGGTTGGAGCTAGGGTTAGGGTTAGGGTTAGGGTTGGAGTTAGGGTTAGTGTTGGAGCTAGGGTTAGGGTTGGGCTTGGAGCTAGGATTTTTCTGAGTGCACTGAACCAACTCCCGAGTCTCTAGGACATTCCTAAAAAAATTTGATTTTTTCCCATAGGAATGCATGGGTTAGGGTTATGGTTAGGGTTAGGGTTGGAGCTAGGGTTAGGGTTAGGGTTAGGGTTGGAGTTAGGGTTAGTGTTGGAGCTAGGGTTAGGGTTGGGCTTGGAGCTAGGATTTTTCTGAGTGCACTGAACCAACTCCCGAGTCTCTAGGACATTCCTAAAAAAATTTGATTTTTTTCCCATAGGAATGCATGGGTTAGGGTTATGGTTAGGGTTAGGGTTGGAGCTAGGGTTAGGGTTAGGGTTAGGGTTGGAGTTAGGGTTAGTGTTGGAGCTAGGGTTAGGGTTGGGCTTGGAGCTAGGATTTTTCTGAGTGCACTGAACCAACTCCCGAGTCTCTAGGACGTTCCTAAAAAAATTTGATTTTTTCCCATAGGAATGCATGGGTTAGGGTTAGGGTTAGGGTTGGAGCTAGGGTTAGGGTTAGGGTTAGGGTTGGAGTTAGGGTTAGTGTTGGAGCTAGGGTTAGGGTTGGGCTTGGAGCTAGGATTTTTCTGAGTGCACTGAACCAACTCCCGAGTCTCTAGGACATTCCTAAAAAAATTTGATTTTTTCCCATAGGAATGCATGGGTTAGGGTTATGGTTAGGGTTAGGGTTGGAGCTAGGGTTAGGGTTAGGGTTAGGGTTGGAGTTAGGGTTAGTGTTGGAGCTAGGGTTAGGGTTGGGCTTGGAGCTAGGATTTTTCTGAGTGCACTGAACCAACTCCCGAGTCTCTAGGACATTCCTAAAAAAATTTGATTTTTTCCCATAGGAATGCATGGGTTAGGGTTAGGGTTAGGGTTGGAGCTAGGGTTAGGGTTAGGGTTGGAGTTAGGGTTAGTGTTGGAGCTAGGGTTAGGGTTGGGCTTGGAGCTAGGATTTTTCTGAGTGCACTGAACCAACTCCCGAGTCTCTAGGACATTCCTAAAAAAATTTGATTTTTTCCCATAGGAATGCATGGGTTAGGGTTATGGTTAGCGTTAGGGTTGGAGCTAGGGTTAGGGTTAGGGTTGGAGTTAGGGTTAGTGTTGGAGCTAGGGTTAGGGTTGGGCTTGGAGCTAGGATTTTTCTGAGTGCACTGAACCAACTCCCGAGTCTCTAGGACATTCCTAAAAAAATTTGATTTTTTCCCATAGGAATGCATGGGTTAGGGTTATGGTTAGGGTTAGGGTTGGAGCTAGGGTTAGGGTTAGGGTTAGGGTTGGAGTTAGGGTTAGTGTTGGAGCTAGGGTTAGGGTTGGGCTTGGAGCTAGGATTTTTCTGAGTGCACTGAACCAACTCCCGAGTCTCTAGGACATTCCTAAAAAAATTTGATTTTTTCCCATAGGAATGCATGGGTTAGGGTTATGGTTAGGGTTAGGGTTGGAGCTAGGGTTAGGGTTAGGTTTAGGGTTGGAGTTAGGGTTAGTGTTGGAGCTAGGGTTAGGGTTGGGCTTGGAGCTAGGATTTTTCTGAGTGCACTGAACCAACTCCCGAGTCTCTAGGACATTCCTAAAAAAATTTGATTTTTTCCCATAGGAATGCATGGGTTAGGGTTATGGTTAGGGTTAGGGTTGGAGCTAGGGTTAGGGTTAGGGTTAGGGTTGGAGTTAGGGTTAGTGTTGGAGCTAGGGTTAGGGTTGGGCTTGGAGCTAGGATTTTTCTGAGTGCACTGAACCAACTCCCGAGTCTCTAGGACGTTCCTAAAAAAATTTGATTTTTTCCCATAGGAATGCATGGGTTAGGGTTAGGGTTAGGGTTGGAGCTAGGGTTAGGGTTAGGGTTAGGGTTGGAGTTAGGGTTAGTGTTGGAGCTAGGGTTAGGGTTGGGCTTGGAGCTAGGATTTTTCTGAGTGCACTGAACCAACTCCCGAGTCTCTAGGACATTCCTAAAAAAATTTGAGTTTTTCCCATAGGAATGCATGGGTTAGGGTTAGGGTTAGGGTTGGAGCTAGGGTTAGGGTTAGGGTTAGGGTTGGAGTTAGGGTTAGTGTTGGAGCTAGGGTTAGGGTTGGGCTTGGAGCTAGGATTTTTCTGAGTGCACTGAACCAACTCCCGAGTCTCTAGGACATTCCTAAAAAAATTTGATTTTTTCCCATAGGAATGCATGGGTTAGGGTTATGGTTAGGGTTAGGGTTGGAGCTAGGGTTAGGGTTAGGGTTAGGGTTGGAGTTAGGGTTAGTGTTGGAGCTAGGGTTAGGGTTGGGCTTGGAGCTAGGATTTTTCTGAGTGCACTGAACCAACTCCCGAGTCTCTAGGACATTCCTAAAAAAATTTGATTTTTTCCCATAGGAATGCATGGGTTAGGGTTATGGTTAGGGTTAGGGTTGGAGCTAGGGTTGGAGTTAGGGTTAGGGTTGGAGTTAGGGTTAGTGTTGGAGCTAGGGTTAGGGTTGGGCTTGGAGCTAGGATTTTTCTGAGTGCACTGAACCAACTCCCGAGTCTCTAGGACATTCCTAAAAAAATTTGATTTTTTCCCATAGGAATGCATGGGTTAGGGTTATGGTTAGGGTTAGGGTTGGAGCTAGGGTTAGGGTTAGGGTTAGGGTTGGAGTTAGAGTTAGTGTTGGAGCTAGGGTTAGGGTTGGGCTTGGAGCTAGGATTTTTCTGAGTGCACTGAACCAACTCCCGAGTCTCTAGGACATTCCTAAAAAAATTTGATTTTTTCCCATAGGAATGCATGGGTTAGGGTTATGGTTAGGGTTAGGGTTGGAGCTAGGGTTTGTGTTAGGGTTAGGGTTGGAGTTAGGGTTAGTGTTGGAGCTAGGGTTAGGGTTGGGCTTGGAGCTAGGATTTTTCTGAGTGCACTGAACCAACTCCCGAGTCTCTAGGACATTCCTAAAAAAATTTGATTTTTTCCCATAGGAATGCATGGGTTAGGGTTATGGTTAGGGTTAGGGTTGGAGCTAGGGTTAGGGTTAGGGTTAGGGTTGGAGTTAGGGTTAGTGTTGGAGCTAGGGTTAGGGTTGGGCTTGGAGCTAGGATTTTTCTGAGTGCACTGAACCAACTCCCGAGTCTCTAGGACATTCCTAAAAAAATTTGAGTTTTTCCCATAGGAATGCATGGGTTAGGGTTAGGGTTAGGGTTGGAGCTAGGGTTAGGGTTAGGGTTAGGGTTGGAGTTAGGGTTAGTGTTGGAGCTAGGGTTAGGGTTGGGCTTGGAGCTAGGATTTTTCTGAGTGCACTGAACCAACTCCCGAGTCTCTAGGACATTCCTAAAAAAATTTGATTTTTTCCCATAGGAATGCATGGGTTAGGGTTATGGTTAGGGTTAGGGTTGGAGCTAGGGTTAGGGTTAGGGTTAGGGTTGGAGTTAGGGTTAGTGTTGGAGCTAGGGTTAGGGTTGGGCTTGGAGCTAGGATTTTTCTGAGTGCACTGAACCAACTCCCGAGTCTCTAGGACATTCCTAAAAAAATTTGATTTTTTCCCATAGGAATGCATGGGTTAGGGTTATGGTTAGGGTTAGGGTTGGAGCTAGGGTTAGGGTTAGGGTTAGGGTTGGAGTTAGGGTTAGTGTTGGAGCTAGGGTTAGGGTTGGGCTTGGAGCTAGGATTTTTCTGAGTGCACTGAACCAACTCCCGAGTCTCTAGGACGTTCCTAAAAAAATTTGATTTTTTCCCATAGGAATGCATGGGTTAGGGTTAGGGTTAGGGTTGGAGCTAGGGTTAGGGTTAGGGTTAGGGTTGGAGTTAGGGTTAGTGTTGGAGCTAGGGTTAGGGTTGGGCTTGGAGCTAGGATTTTTCTGAGTGCACTGAACCAACTCCCGAGTCTCTAGGACATTCCTAAAAAAATTTGAGTTTTTCCCATAGGAATGCATGGGTTAGGGTTAGGGTTAGGGTTGGAGCTAGGGTTAGGGTTAGGGTTAGGGTTGGAGTTAGGGTTAGTGTTGGAGCTAGGGTTAGGGTTGGGCTTGGAGCTAGGATTTTTCTGAGTGCACTGAACCAACTCCCGAGTCTCTAGGACATTCCTAAAAAAATTTGATTTTTTCCCATAGGAATGCATGGGTTAGGGTTAGGGTTAGGGTTAGGGTTGGAGCTAGGGTTAGGGTTAGGGTTAGGGTTGGAGTTAGGGTTAGTGTTGGAGCTAGGGTTAGGGTTGGGCTTGGAGCTAGGATTTTTCTGAGTGCACTGAACCAACTCCCGAGTCTCTAGGACGTTCCTAAAAAAATTTGATTTTTTCCCATAGGAATGCATGGGTTAGGGTTATGGTTAGGGTTAGGGTTTGAGCTAGGGTTAGGGTTAGGGTTAGGGTTGGAGTTAGGGTTAGTGTTGGAGCTAGGGTTAGGGTTGGGCTTGGAGCTAGGATTTTTCTGAGTGCACTGAACCAACTCCCGAGTCTCTAGGACGTTCCTAAAAAAATTTGATTTTTTCCCATAGGAATGCATGGGTTAGGGTTAGGGTTAGGGTTGGAGCTAGGGTTAGGGTTAGGGTTAGGGTTGGAGTTAGGGTTAGTGTTGGAGCTAGGGTTAGGGTTGGGCTTGGAGCTAAGATTTTTCTGAGTGCACTGAACCAACTCCCGAGTCTCTAGGACATTCCTAAAAAAATTTGATTTTTTCCCATAGGAATGCATGGGTTAGGGTTATGGTTAGGGTTGGAGCTAGGGTTAGGGTTAGGGTTAGGGTTGGAGTTAGGGTTAGTGTTGGAGCTAGGGTTAGGGTTGGGCTTGGAGCTAGGATTTTTCTGAGTGCACTGAACCAACTCCCGAGTCTCTAGGACATTCCTAAAAAATTTGAGTTTTTCCCATAGGAATGCATGGGTTAGGGTTAGGGTTAGGGTTGGAGCTAGGGTTAGGGTTAGGGTTAGGGTTGGAGTTAGGGTTAGTGTTGGAGCTAGGGTTAGGGTTGGGCTTGGAGCTAGGATTTTTCTGAGTGCACTGAACCAACTCCCGAGTCTCTAGGACATTCCTAAAAAAATTTGATTTTTTCCCATAGGAATGCATGGGTTAGGGTTATGGTTAGGGTTGGAGCTAGGGTTAGGGTTAGGGTTAGGGTTGGAGTTAGGGTTAGTGTGTTGGAGCTAGGGTTAGGGTTGGGCTTGGAGCTAGGATTTTTCTGAGTGCACTGAACCAACTCCCGAGTCTCTAGGACATTCCTAAAAAAATTTGAGTTTTTCCCATAGGAATGCATGGGTTAGGGTTAGGGTTAGGGTTGGAGCTAGGGTTAGGGTTAGGGTTAGGGTTGGAGTTAGGGTTAGTGTTGGAGCTAGGGTTAGGGTTGGGCTTGGAGCTAGGATTTTTCTGAGTGCACTGAACCAACTCCCGAGTCTCTAGGACATTCCTAAAAAAATTTGATTTTTTCCCATAGGAATGCATGGGTTAGGGTTATGGTTAGGGTTAGGGTTGGAGCTAGGGTTAGGGTTAGGGTTAGGGTTGGAGTTAGGGTTAGTGTTGGAGCTAGGGTTAGGGTTGGGCTTGGAGCTAGGATTTTTCTGAGTGCACTGAACCAACTCCCGAGTCTCTAGGACATTCCTAAAAAAATTTGATTTTTTCCCATAGGAATGCATGGGTTAGGGTTATGGTTAGGGTTAGGGTTGGAGCTAGGGTTAGGGTTAGGGTTAGGGTTGGAGTTAGGGTTAGTGTTGGAGCTAGGGTTAGGGTTGGGCTTGGAGCTAGGATTTTTCTGAGTGCACTGAACCAACTCCCGAGTCTCTAGGACATTCCTAAAAAAATTTGATTTTTTCCCATAGGAATGCATGGGTTAGGGTTATGGTTAGGGTTAGGGTTGGAGCTAGGGTTAGGGTTAGGGTTAGGGTTGGAGTTAGGGTTAGTGTTGGAGCTAGGGTTAGGGTTGGGCTTGGAGCTAGGATTTTTCTGAGTGCACTGAACCAACTCCCGAGTCTCTAGGACATTCCTAAAAAAATTTGAGTTTTTCCCATAGGAATGCATGGGTTAGGGTTATGGTTAGGGTTAGGGTTGGAGCTAGGGTTAGGGTTAGGGTTAGGGTTGGAGTTAGGGTTAGTGTTGGAGCTAGGGTTAGGGTTGGGCTTGGAGCTAGGATTTTTCTGAGTGCACTGAACCAACTCCCGAGTCTCTAGGACATTCCTAAAAAAATTTGATTTTTTTCCCATAGGAATGCATGGGTTAGGGTTATGGTTAGGGTTAGGGTTGGAGCTAGGGTTAGGGTTAGGGTTAGGGTTGGAGTTAGGGTTAGTGTTGGAGCTAGGGTTAGGGTTGGGCTTGGAGCTAGGATTTTTCTGAGTGCATTGAACCAACTCCCGAGTCTCTAGGACATTCCTAAAAAAAATTGATTTTTTCCCATAGGAATGCATGGGTTAGGGTTATGGTTAGGGTTAGGGTTGGAGCTAGGGTTAGGGTTAGGGTTAGGGTTGGAGTTAGGGTTAGTGTTGGAGCTAGGGTTAGGGTTGGGCTTGGAGCTAGGATTTTTCTGAGTGCCCTGAACCAACTCCCGAGTCTCTAGGACATTCCTAAAAAAATTTGATTTTTTCCCATAGGAATGCATGGGTTAGGGTTATGGTTAGGGTTAGGGTTGGAGCTAGGGTTAGGGTTAGGGTTAGGGTTGGAGTTAGGGTTAGTGTTGGAGCTAGGGTTAGGGTTGGGCTTGGAGCTAGGATTTTTCTGAGTGCACTGAACCAACTCCCGAGTCTCTAGGACATTCCTAAAAAAATTTGATTTTTTCCCATAGGAATGCATGGGTTAGGGTTATGGTTAGGGTTAGGGTTGGAGCTAGGGTTAGGGTTAGGGTTAGGGTTGGAGTTAGGGTTAGTGTTGGAGCTAGGGTTAGGGTTGGGCTTGGAGCTAGGATTTTTCTGAGTGCACTGAACCAACTCCCGAGTCTCTAGGACATTCCTAAAAAAATTTGATTTTTTCCCATAGGAATGCATGGGTTAGGGTTAGGGTTAGGGTTGGAGCTAGGGTTAGGGTTAGGGTTAGGGTTGGAGTTAGGGTTAGTGTTGGAGCTAGGGTTAGGGTTGGGCTTGGAGCTAGGATTTTTCTGAGTGCACTGAACCAACTCCCGAGTCTCTAGGACATTCCTAAAAAAATTTGAGTTTTTCCCATAGGAATGCATGGGTTAGGGTTAGGGTTAGGGTTGGAGCTAGGGTTAGGGTTAGGGTTAGGGTTGGAGTTAGGGTTAGTGTTGGAGCTAGGGTTAGGGTTGGGCTTGGAGCTAGGATTTTTCTGAGTGCACTGAACCAACTCCCGAGTCTCTAGGACATTCCTAAAAAAATTTGATTTTTTCCCATAGGAATGCATGGGTTAGGGTTAGGGTTAGGGTTGGAGCTAGGGTTAGGGTTAGGGTTGCAGTTAGGGTTAGTGTTGGAGCTAGGGTTAGGGTTGGGCTTGGAGCTAGGATTTTTCTGAGTGCACTGAACCAACTCCCGAGTCTCTAGGACATTCCTAAAAAAATTTGATTTTTTCCCATAGGAATGCATGGGTTAGGGTTATGGTTAGGGTTAGGGTTGGAGCTAGGGTTAGGGTTAGGGTTAGGGTTGGAGTTAGAGTTAGTGTTGGAGCTAGGGTTAGGGTTGGGCTTGGAGCTAGGATTTTTCTGAGTGCACTGAACCAACTCCCGAGTCTCTAGGACATTCCTAAAAAAATTTGATTTTTTCCCATAGGAATGCATGGGTTAGGGTTATGGTTAGGGTTAGGGTTGGAGCTAGGGTTAGGGTTAGGGTTAGGGTTGGAGTTAGGGTTAGTGTTGGAGCTAGGGTTAGGGTTGGGCTTGGAGCTAGGATTTTTCTGAGTGCACTGAACCAACTCCCGAGTCTCTAGGACGTTCCTAAAAAAATTTGATTTTTTCCCATAGGAATGCATGGGTTAGGGTTAGGGTTAGGGTTGGAGCTAGGGTTAGGGTTAGGGTTAGGGTTGGAGTTAGGGTTAGTGTTGGAGCTAGGGTTAGGGTTGGGCTTGGAGCTAGGATTTTTCTGAGTGCACTGAACCAACTCCCGAGTCTCTAGGACATTCCTAAAAAAAATTTGATTTTTTCCCATAGGAATGCATGGGTTAGGGTTATGGTTAGGGTTAGGGTTGGAGCTAGGGTTAGGGTTAGGGTTAGGGTTGGAGTTAGGGTTAGTGTTGGAGCTAGGGTTAGGGTTGGGCTTGGAGCTAGGATTTTTCTGAGTGCACTGAACCAACTCCCGAGTCTCTAGGACATTCCTAAAAAAATTTGATTTTTTTCCCATAGGAATGCATGGGTTAGGGTTATGGTTAGGGTTAGGGTTGGAGCTAGGGTTAGGGTTAGGGTTAGGGTTGGAGTTAGGGTTAGTGTTGGAGCTAGGGTTAGGGTTGGGCTTGGAGCTAGGATTTTTCTGAGTGCACTGAACCAACTCCCGAGTCTCTAGGACATTCCTAAAAAAATTTGATTTTTTCCCATAGGAATGCATGGGTTAGGGTTAGGGTTAGGGTTGGAGCTAGGGTTAGGGTTAGGGTTAGGGTTGGAGTTAGGGTTAGTGTTGGAGCTAGGGTTAGGGTTGGGCTTGGAGCTAGGATTTTTCTGAGTGCACTGAACCAACTCCCGAGTCTCTAGGACATTCCTAAAAAAATTTGATTTTTTCCCATAGGAATGCATGGGTTAGGGTTATGGTTAGGGTTAGGGTTGGAGCTAGGGTTAGGGTTAGGGTTAGGGTTGGAGTTAGGGTTAGTGTTGGAGCTAGGGTTAGGGTTGGGCTTGGAGCTAGGATTTTTCTGAGTGCACTGAACCAACTCCCGAGTCTCTAGGACATTCCTAAAAAAATTTGATTTTTTCCCATAGGAATGCATGGGTTAGGGTTATGGTTAGGGTTAGGGTTGGAGCTAGGGTTAGGGTTAGGGTTAGGGTTGGAGTTAGGGTTAGTGTTGGAGCTAGGGTTAGGGTTGGGCTTGGAGCTAGGATTTTTCTGAGTGCACTGAACCAACTCCCGAGTCTCTAGGACGTTCCTAAAAAAATTTGATTTTTTCCCATAGGAATGCATGGGTTAGGGTTAGGGTTAGGGTTGGAGCTAGGGTTAGGGTTAGGGTTAGGGTTGGAGTTAGGGTTAGTGTTGGAGCTAGGGTTAGGGTTGGGCTTGGAGCTAGGATTTTTCTGAGTGCACTGAACCAACTCCCGAGTCTCTAGGACATTCCTAAAAAAATTTGATTTTTTCCCATAGGAATGCATGGGTTAGGGTTAGGGTTAGGGTTGGAGCTAGGGTTAGGGTTAGGGTTGCAGTTAGGGTTAGTGTTGGAGCTAGGGTTAGGGTTGGGCTTGGAGCTAGGATTTTTCTGAGTGCACTGAACCAACTCCCGAGTCTCTAGGACATTCCTAAAAAAATTTGATTTTTTCCCATAGGAATGCATGGGTTAGGGTTATGGTTAGGGTTAGGGTTGGAGCTAGGGTTAGGGTTAGGGTTAGGGTTGGAGTTAGGGTTAGTGTTGGAGCTAGGGTTAGGGTTGGGCTTGGAGCTAGGATTTTTCTGAGTGCACTGAACCAACTCCCGAGTCTCTAGGACGTTCCTAAAAAAATTTGATTTTTTCCCATAGGAATGCATGGGTTAGGGTTAGGGTTAGGGTTGGAGCTAGGGTTAGGGTTAGGGTTAGGGTTGGAGTTAGGGTTAGTGTTGGAGCTAGGGTTAGGGTTGGGCTTGGAGCTAGGATTTTTCTGAGTGCACTGAACCAACTCCCGAGTCTCTAGGACGTTCCTAAAAAAATTTGATTTTTTCCCATAGGAATGCATGGGTTAGGGTTAGGGTTAGGGTTGGAGCTAGGGTTAGGGTTAGGGTTAGGGTTGGAGTTAGGGTTAGTGTTGGAGCTAGGGTTAGGGTTGGGCTTGGAGCTAGGATTTTTCTGAGTGCACTGAACCAACTCCCGAGTCTCTAGGACATTCCTAAAAAAATTTGATTTTTTCCCATAGGAATGCATGGGTTAGGGTTAGGGTTAGGGTTGGAGCTAGGGTTAGGGTTAGGGTTGCAGTTAGGGTTAGTGTTGGAGCTAGGGTTAGGGTTGGGCTTGGAGCTAGGATTTTTCTGAGTGCACTGAACCAACTCCCGAGTCTCTAGGACATTCCTAAAAAAATTTGATTTTTTCCCATAGGAATGCATGGGTTAGGGTTATGGTTAGGGTTAGGGTTGGAGCTAGGGTTAGGGTTAGGGTTAGGGTTGGAGTTAGGGTTAGTGTTGGAGCTAGGGTTAGGGTTGGGCTTGGAGCTAGGATTTTTCTGAGTGCACTGAACCAACTCCCGAGTCTCTAGGACGTTCCTAAAAAAATTTGATTTTTTCCCATAGGAATGCATGGGTTAGGGTTAGGGTTAGGGTTGGAGCTAGGGTTAGGGTTAGGGTTAGGGTTGGAGTTAGGGTTAGTGTTGGAGCTAGGGTTAGGGTTGGGCTTGGAGCTAGGATTTTTCTGAGTGCACTGAACCAACTCCCGAGTCTCTAGGACATTCCTAAAAAAAATTGAGTTTTTCCCATAGGAATGCATGGGTTAGGGTTAGGGTTAGGGTTGGAGCTAGGGTTAGGGTTAGGGTTAGGGTTGGAGTTAGGGTTAGTGTTGGAGCTAGGGTTAGGGTTGGGCTTGGAGCTAGGATTTTTCTGAGTGCACTGAACCAACTCCCGAGTCTCTAGGACATTCCTAAAAAATTTGATTTTTTCCCATAGGAATGCATGGGTTAGGGTTATGGTTAGGGTTAGGGTTGGAGCTAGGGTTAGGGTTAGGGTTAGGGTTGGAGTTAGGGTTAGTGTTGGAGCTAGGGTTAGGGTTGGGCTTGGAGCTAGGATTTTTCTGAGTGCACTGAACCAACTCCCGAGTCTCTAGGACATTCCTAAAAAAATTTGATTTTTTCCCATAGGAATGCATGGGTTAGGGTTAGGGTTAGGGTTGGAGCTAGGGTTAGGGTTAGGGTTGGAGTTAGGGTTAGTGTTGGAGCTAGGGTTAGGGTTGGGCTTGGAGCTAGGATTTTTCTGAGTGCACTGAACCAACTCCCGAGTCTCTAGGACATTCCTAAAAAAATTTGATTTTTTCCCATAGGAATGCATGGGTTAGGGTTATGGTTAGGGTTAGGGTTGGAGCTAGGGTTAGGGTTAGGGTTAGGGTTGGAGTTAGGGTTAGTGTTGGAGCTAGGGTTAGGGTTGGGCTTGGAGCTAGGATTTTTCTGAGTGCACTGAACCAACTCCCGAGTCTCTAGGACATTCCTAAAAAAATTTGATTTTTTCCCATAGGAATGCATGGGTTAGGGTTATGGTTAGGGTTAGGGTTGGAGCTAGGGTTAGGGTTAGGGTTAGGGTTGGAGTTAGGGTTAGTGTTGGAGCTAGGGTTAGGGTTGGGCTTGGAGCTAGGATTTTTCTGAGTGCACTGAACCAACTCCCGAGTCTCTAGGACATTCCTAAAAAAATTTGATTTTTTCCCATAGGAATGCATGGGTTAGGGTTATGGTTAGGGTTAGGGTTGGAGCTAGGGTTAGGGTTAGGGTTAGGGTTGGAGTTAGGGTTAGTGTTGGAGCTAGGGTTAGGGTTGGGCTTGGAGCTAGGATTTTTCTGAGTGCACTGAACCAACTCCCGAGTCTCTAGGACATTCCTAAAAAAATTTGATTTTTTCCCATAGGAATGCATGGGTTAGGGTTATGGTTAGGGTTAGGGTTGGAGCTAGGGTTAGGGTTAGGGTTAGGGTTGGAGTTAGGGTTAGTGTTGGAGCTAGGGTTAGGGTTGGGCTTGGAGCTAGGATTTTTCTGAGTGCACTGAACCAACTCCCGAGTCTCTAGGACGTTCCTAAAAAAATTTGATTTTTTCCCATAGGAATGCATGGGTTAGGGTTAGGGTTAGGGTTGGAGCTAGGGTTAGGGTTAGGGTTAGGGTTGGAGTTAGGGTTAGTGTTGGAGCTAGGGTTAGGGTTGGGCTTGGAGCTAGGATTTTTCTGAGTGCACTGAACCAACTCCCGAGTCTCTAGGACATTCCTAAAAAAATTTGAGTTTTTCCCATAGGAATGCATGGGTTAGGGTTAGGGTTAGGGTTGGAGCTAGGGTTAGGGTTAGGGTTAGGGTTGGAGTTAGGGTTAGTGTTGGAGCTAGGGTTAGGGTTGGGCTTGGAGCTAGGATTTTTCTGAGTGCACTGAACCAACTCCCGAGTCTCTAGGACATTCCTAAAAAAATTTGATTTTTTCCCATAGGAATGCATGGGTTAGGGTTATGGTTAGGGTTAGGGTTGGAGCTAGGGTTAGGGTTAGGGTTAGGGTTGGAGTTAGGGTTAGTGTTGGAGCTAGGGTTAGGGTTGGGCTTGGAGCTAGGATTTTTCTGAGTGCACTGAACCAACTCCCGAGTCTCTAGGACATTCCTAAAAAAAATTGATTTTTTCCCATAGGAATGCATGGGTTAGGGTTATGGTTAGGGTTAGGGTTGGAGCTAGGGTTAGGGTTAGGGTTAGGGTTGGAGTTAGGGTTAGTGTTGGAGCTAGGGTTAGGGTTGGGCTTGGAGCTAGGATTTTTCTGAGTGCACTGAACCAACTCCCGAGTCTCTAGGACATTCCTAAAAAATTTGATTTTTTCCCATAGGAATGCATGGGTTAGGGTTATGGTTAGGGTTAGGGTTGGAGCTAGGGTTAGGGTTAGGGTTAGGGTTGGAGTTAGAGTTAGTGTTGGAGCTAGGGTTAGGGTTGGGCTTGGAGCTAGGATTTTTCTGAGTGCACTGAACCAACTCCCGAGTCTCTAGGACATTCCTAAAAAAATTTGATTTTTTCCCATAGGAATGCATGGGTTAGGGTTATGGTTAGGGTTAGGGTTGGAGCTAGGGTTAGGGTTAGGGTTAGGGTTGGAGTTAGGGTTAGTGTTGGAGCTAGGGTTAGGGTTGGGCTTGGAGCTAGGATTTTTCTGAGTGCACTGAACCAACTCCCGAGTCTCTAGGACATTCCTAAAAAAATTTGATTTTTTCCCATAGGAATGCATGGGTTAGGGTTATGGTTAGGGTTAGGGTTGGAGCTAGGGTTAGGGTTAGGGTTAGGGTTGGAGTTAGGGTTAGTGTTGGAGCTAGGGTTAGGGTTGGGCTTGGAGCTAGGATTTTTCTGAGTGCACTGAACCAACTCCCGAGTCTCTAGGACATTCCTAAAAAAATTTGAGTTTTTCCCATAGGAATGCATGGGTTAGGGTTAGGGTTAGGGTTGGAGCTAGGGTTAGGGTTAGGGTTGCAGTTAGGGTTAGTGTTGGAGCTAGGGTTAGGGTTGGGCTTGGAGCTAGGATTTTTCTGAGTGCACTGAACCAACTCCCGAGTCTCTAGGACATTCCTAAAAAAATTTGATTTTTTCCCATAGGAATGCATGGGTTAGGGTTATGGTTAGGGTTAGGGTTGGAGCTAGGGTTAGGGTTAGGGTTAGGGTTGGAGTTAGAGTTAGTGTTGGAGCTAGGGTTAGGGTTGGGCTTGGAGCTAGGATTTTTCTGAGTGCACTGAACCAACTCCCGAGTCTCTAGGACATTCCTAAAAAAATTTGATTTTTTCCCATAGGAATGCATGGGTTAGGGTTATGGTTAGGGTTAGGGTTGGAGCTAGGGTTAGGGTTAGGGTTAGGGTTGGAGTTAGGGTTAGTGTTGGAGCTAGGGTTAGGGTTGGGCTTGGAGCTAGGATTTTTCTGAGTGCACTGAACCAACTCCCGAGTCTCTAGGACGTTCCTAAAAAAATTTGATTTTTTCCCATAGGAATGCATGGGTTAGGGTTAGGGTTAGGGTTGGAGCTAGGGTTAGGGTTAGGGTTAGGGTTGGAGTTAGGGTTAGTGTTGGAGCTAGGGTTAGGGTTGGGCTTGGAGCTAGGATTTTTCTGAGTGCACTGAACCAACTCCCGAGTCTCTAGGACATTCCTAAAAAAATTTGAGTTTTTCCCATAGGAATGCATGGGTTAGGGTTAGGGTTAGGGTTGGAGCTAGGGTTAGGGTTAGGGTTAGGGTTGGAGTTAGGGTTAGTGTTGGAGCTAGGGTTAGGGTTGGGCTTGGAGCTAGGATTTTTCTGAGTGCACTGAACCAACTCCCGAGTCTCTAGGACATTCCTAAAAAAATTTGATTTTTTTCCCATAGGAATGCATGGGTTAGGGTTATGGTTAGGGTTAGGGTTGGAGCTAGGGTTAGGGTTAGGGTTAGGGTTGGAGTTAGGGTTAGTGTTGGAGCTAGGGTTAGGGTTGGGCTTGGAGCTAGGATTTTTCTGAGTGCACTGAACCAACTCCCGAGTCTCTAGGACATTCCTAAAAAAATTTGATTTTTTCCCATAGGAATGCATGGGTTAGGGTTAGGGTTAGGGTTGGAGCTAGGGTTAGGGTTAGGGTTAGGGTTGGAGTTAGGGTTAGTGTTGGAGCTAGGGTTAGGGTTGGGCTTGGAGCTAGGATTTTTCTGAGTGCACTGAACCAACTCCCGAGTCTCTAGGACATTCCTAAAAAAATTTGATTTTTTCCCATAGGAATGCATGGGTTAGGGTTATGGTTAGGGTTAGGGTTGGAGCTAGGGTTAGGGTTAGGGTTAGGGTTGGAGTTAGGGTTAGTGTTGGAGCTAGGGTTAGGGTTGGGCTTGGAGCTAGGATTTTTCTGAGTGCACTGAACCAACTCCCGAGTCTCTAGGACATTCCTAAAAAAATTTGATTTTTTCCCATAGGAATGCATGGGTTAGGGTTATGGTTAGGGTTAGGGTTGGAGCTAGGGTTAGGGTTAGGGTTAGGGTTGGAGTTAGGGTTAGTGTTGGAGCTAGGGTTAGGGTTGGGCTTGGAGCTAGGATTTTTCTGAGTGCACTGAACCAACTCCCGAGTCTCTAGGACGTTCCTAAAAAAATTTGATTTTTTCCCATAGGAATGCATGGGTTAGGGTTAGGGTTAGGGTTGGAGCTAGGGTTAGGGTTAGGGTTAGGGTTGGAGTTAGGGTTAGTGTTGGAGCTAGGGTTAGGGTTGGGCTTGGAGCTAGGATTTTTCTGAGTGCACTGAACCAACTCCCGAGTCTCTAGGACATTCCTAAAAAAATTTGATTTTTTCCCATAGGAATGCATGGGTTAGGGTTAGGGTTAGGGTTGGAGCTAGGGTTAGGGTTAGGGTTGCAGTTAGGGTTAGTGTTGGAGCTAGGGTTAGGGTTGGGCTTGGAGCTAGGATTTTTCTGAGTGCACTGAACCAACTCCCGAGTCTCTAGGACATTCCTAAAAAAATTTGATTTTTTCCCATAGGAATGCATGGGTTAGGGTTATGGTTAGGGTTAGGGTTGGAGCTAGGGTTAGGGTTAGGGTTAGGGTTGGAGTTAGGGTTAGTGTTGGAGCTAGGGTTAGGGTTGGGCTTGGAGCTAGGATTTTTCTGAGTGCACTGAACCAACTCCCGAGTCTCTAGGACATTCCTAAAAAAATTTGATTTTTTCCCATAGGAATGCATGGGTTAGGGTTATGGTTAGGGTTAGGGTTGGAGCTAGGGTTAGGGTTAGGGTTAGGGTTGGAGTTAGGGTTAGTGTTGGAGCTAGGGTTAGGGTTGGGCTTGGAGCTAGGATTTTTCTGAGTGCACTGAACCAACTCCCGAGTCTCTAGGACGTTCCTAAAAAAATTTGATTTTTTCCCATAGGAATGCATGGGTTAGGGTTAGGGTTAGGGTTGGAGCTAGGGTTAGGGTTAGGGTTAGGGTTGGAGTTAGGGTTAGTGTTGGAGCTAGGGTTAGGGTTGGGCTTGGAGCTAGGATTTTTCTGAGTGCACTGAACCAACTCCCGAGTCTCTAGGACATTCCTAAAAAAATTTGAGTTTTTCCCATAGGAATGCATGGGTTAGGGTTAGGGTTAGGGTTGGAGCTAGGGTTAGGGTTAGGGTTAGGGTTGGAGTTAGGGTTAGTGTTGGAGCTAGGGTTAGGGTTGGGCTTGGAGCTAGGATTTTTCTGAGTGCACTGAACCAACTCCCGAGTCTCTAGGACATTCCTAAAAAAATTTGATTTTTTCCCATAGGAATGCATGGGTTAGGGTTATGGTTAGGGTTAGGGTTGGAGCTAGGGTTAGGGTTAGGGTTAGGGTTGGAGTTAGGGTTAGTGTTGGAGCTAGGGTTAGGGTTGGGCTTGGAGCTAGGATTTTTCTGAGTGCACTGAACCAACTCCCGAGTCTCTAGGACATTCCTAAAAAAAATTGATTTTTTCCCATAGGAATGCATGGGTTAGGGTTATGGTTAGGGTTAGGGTTGGAGCTAGGGTTAGGGTTAGGGTTAGGGTTGGAGTTAGGGTTAGTGTTGGAGCTAGGGTTAGGGTTGGGCTTGGAGCTAGGATTTTTCTGAGTGCACTGAACCAACTCCCGAGTCTCTAGGACATTCCTAAAAAAATTTGATTTTTTCCCATAGGAATGCATGGGTTAGGGTTATGGTTAGGGTTAGGGTTGGAGCTAGGGTTAGGGTTAGGGTTAGGGTTGGAGTTAGAGTTAGTGTTGGAGCTAGGGTTAGGGTTGGGCTTGGAGCTAGGATTTTTCTGAGTGCACTGAACCAACTCCCGAGTCTCTAGGACATTCCTAAAAAAATTTGATTTTTTCCCATAGGAATGCATGGGTTAGGGTTATGGTTAGGGTTAGGGTTGGAGCTAGGGTTAGGGTTAGGGTTAGGGTTGGAGTTAGGGTTAGTGTTGGAGCTAGGGTTAGGGTTGGGCTTGGAGCTAGGATTTTTCTGAGTGCACTGAACCAACTCCCGAGTCTCTAGGACATTCCTAAAAAAATTTGATTTTTTCCCATAGGAATGCATGGGTTAGGGTTATGGTTAGGGTTAGGGTTGGAGCTAGGGTTAGGGTTAGGGTTAGGGTTGGAGTTAGGGTTAGTGTTGGAGCTAGGGTTAGGGTTGGGCTTGGAGCTAGGATTTTTCTGAGTGCACTGAACCAACTCCCGAGTCTCTAGGACATTCCTAAAAAAATTTGAGTTTTTCCCATAGGAATGCATGGGTTAGGGTTAGGGTTAGGGTTGGAGCTAGGGTTAGGGTTAGGGTTGCAGTTAGGGTTAGTGTTGGAGCTAGGGTTAGGGTTGGGCTTGGAGCTAGGATTTTTCTGAGTGCACTGAACCAACTCCCGAGTCTCTAGGACATTCCTAAAAAAATTTGATTTTTTCCCATAGGAATGCATGGGTTAGGGTTATGGTTAGGGTTAGGGTTGGAGCTAGGGTTAGGGTTAGGGTTAGGGTTGGAGTTAGAGTTAGTGTTGGAGCTAGGGTTAGGGTTGGGCTTGGAGCTAGGATTTTTCTGAGTGCACTGAACCAACTCCCGAGTCTCTAGGACATTCCTAAAAAAATTTGATTTTTTCCCATAGGAATGCATGGGTTAGGGTTATGGTTAGGGTTAGGGTTGGAGCTAGGGTTAGGGTTAGGGTTAGGGTTGGAGTTAGGGTTAGTGTTGGAGCTAGGGTTAGGGTTGGGCTTGGAGCTAGGATTTTTCTGAGTGCACTGAACCAACTCCCGAGTCTCTAGGACGTTCCTAAAAAAATTTGATTTTTTCCCATAGGAATGCATGGGTTAGGGTTAGGGTTAGGGTTGGAGCTAGGGTTAGGGTTAGGGTTAGGGTTGGAGTTAGGGTTAGTGTTGGAGCTAGGGTTAGGGTTGGGCTTGGAGCTAGGATTTTTCTGAGTGCACTGAACCAACTCCCGAGTCTCTAGGACATTCCTAAAAAAATTTGAGTTTTTCCCATAGGAATGCATGGGTTAGGGTTAGGGTTAGGGTTGGAGCTAGGGTTAGGGTTAGGGTTAGGGTTGGAGTTAGGGTTAGTGTTGGAGCTAGGGTTAGGGTTGGGCTTGGAGCTAGGATTTTTCTGAGTGCACTGAACCAACTCCCGAGTCTCTAGGACATTCCTAAAAAAATTTGATTTTTTCCCATAGGAATGCATGGGTTAGGGTTATGGTTAGGGTTAGGGTTGGAGCTAGGGTTAGGGTTAGGGTTAGGGTTGGAGTTAGGGTTAGTGTTGGAGCTAGGGTTAGGGTTGGGCTTGGAGCTAGGATTTTTCTGAGTGCACTGAACCAACTCCCGAGTCTCTAGGACATTCCTAAAAAAATTTGATTTTTTCCCATAGGAATGCATGGGTTAGGGTTAGGGTTAGGGTTGGAGCTAGGGTTAGGGTTAGGGTTAGGGTTGGAGTTAGGGTTAGTGTTGGAGCTAGGGTTAGGGTTGGGCTTGGAGCTAGGATTTTTCTGAGTGCACTGAACCAACTCCCGAGTCTCTAGGACATTCCTAAAAAAATTTGATTTTTTCCCATAGGAATGCATGGGTTAGGGTTATGGTTAGGGTTAGGGTTGGAGCTAGGGTTAGGGTTAGGGTTAGGGTTGGAGTTAGGGTTAGTGTTGGAGCTAGGGTTAGGGTTGGGCTTGGAGCTAGGATTTTTCTGAGTGCACTGAACCAACTCCCGAGTCTCTAGGACGTTCCTAAAAAAATTTGATTTTTTCCCATAGGAATGCATGGGTTAGGGTTATGGTTAGGGTTAGGGTTGGAGCTAGGGTTAGGGTTAGGGTTAGGGTTGGAGTTAGGGTTAGTGTTGGAGCTAGGGTTAGGGTTGGGCTTGGAGCTAGGATTTTTCTGAGTGCACTGAACCAACTCCCGAGTCTCTAGGACATTCCTAAAAAAATTTGATTTTTTCCCATAGGAATGCATGGGTTAGGGTTAGGGTTAGGGTTGGAGCTAGGGTTAGGGTTAGGGTTAGGGTTGGAGTTAGGGTTAGTGTTGGAGCTAGGGTTAGGGTTGGGCTTGGAGCTAGGATTTTT